AAGAAAAATCCAACCACTATATGGTTTGTGGACAGCAATGGAGAATGTGTGAGAAGCAGTTCCTTTAAATCATCTGAAAAGCTTTAGGGAAAATGACAAAGCAGTGTGGAGTTATGACAAAGCAGTGTGGAGCTGTCCTCAACACTTGTGGAACTAGAAAATGCGGATAAACACTACAATTACAAACCTTAATTATTAGGTGTGTGACACAGTAGTTTTAGTTTAAAGGCACTGCGTTTCCACACATACTTTACTGTTGGTCACTGACCATCAATCTTGGTTTGATTTTTCTTCTCCACACATTTCCAAATGCAGCCCCATAAGAATATTAAATTATGCCTGAATTTAATGAACTCTGGTGTGTCTTCTCAGAATATCCATCATTTGTTGTGGTTTCCCCCTTTAAGTGAACAGACAGGATAAATACATCAAAACCAGCTGCTGAACAACAGTATACAACAGTTGTGCATGTGAGCAGTTCTTAATGACGGCCAGTGCATGTTCATGAACATGAAGTGCTGCAAAATCTACCCCAAGTATTAGTAAAGCAGTTGTTTTATGTCAACAAAACCTTTACAGTTTTCTTACTTGCTTACAGTGAAAAAAACATCTTTAGAAAACCTCAGCTGTCAGCAGTTTGTACCTGTAATGCATTGCAATAACTACATAACTAAAAATGTAATCTGTATTTTCTGCATGACTAAAGAAAATTAAATTTGACACCAACGACACTTTAACAAGTGCATGACCAGAACACAAAATCATATTTCCATTTCACCAAGTCTCAAAAATATGGCCAAAGTAATACTCTGATGAAATGTATATGGTACAATGTGCTAAATATTTTTGTCAGAATCCTGCCATTTCACACAAACACACTCCATTATGGTCTCCCCTACAAAGAGCAACTTCATGTGTTACAAGATGGAAATCCATCTAAGTGGTTTAAAGAGCCCAAGTAACAATACTGATAAAAAAAATTCCCTACTTTATCAAAAACCAAGTTTGATGCACAGTACAGTGCAAAAGTCAGAGACCACTCTTCAATTTATTTAATTTCCAGTCAAAACAGCTATAAAACTATTCATTTTTCAAGAGTTTTTTTTTCCTGAAGAGATAAAATAGAAGTTATTCCACTTGCATAAATAAAGGGAAGGTCAAAGGAAAATAAACGAAGAAACAGGAATTTCCAAAATTGGATTTAAAAAAAGATACAGAGAAAACAGGAATCCTAACAAGACCTGGTCCACCACCAAAACTGTCACCATAAGATAAACAGTACTTTCATCTTTGAGAGACAGATGAAAAATCGAGCTCCACTCTGGATTCAAAAGCAATAAAAATCACCCCACAGTTGTTTGTTAGAACTTGGAAAAACTTGCCAGATTGGAACCAACTGCTAACATGGGGTTCAGAAGTAATACATATCTGCCTGCCTTTTACTTTTGGGTTCACACAGCCCATCTCTCATTTTAACAGTTTTTACTCTGCCTTCCCTTTTCTTAATTTTTTCTCCCTCCCTACTTTCATTGCTGTGTGTTGGGTTGGGCCAGGTTGAAATTTCAGGCCTGAATAATCTCTTCTATTCATCCTTTCTCTGTGAAAAGACAACTCAGTGCTATGGGTACTAAAAGCAAGTCTCCTGTAAAGAATGGAAACTAATAAATGCAAAGAGTGGACACATTTAATATGGAAAATATTATATTGTACTGGGCTTCACATTTATGCCTGTCTGGGACAAGTGAAAATTTGTGTAGGACAAGAGGATTATAACTTTACTTGTCTGAGTAAATGTACTATACCTTATGAGAAGTAAAAATAAACAGGCTAACAAACTATTTTACAAAACAAAATCCCTTTACGAACAATATGCCTCATTCACCGACCGAATTTCTTTTCTTAAAACCCAGTTTTCACGAAGATTTTCACATTCAGCAATGTTTTCTTATTTGGGATTTGTTCTTAGTTGAGAACACAACCTACACACACTCAAGAGCACAAAGATACAAACTATTCTGCAGTTTAAAAACCATGTCATGTATCTGACAAAGACTTTTTCTTTTCTTAGGACCTTTCTCAAGAACAAATTTAAGAAAAAACTTAGGAGGATATTGGTGAATTAATCGAGGTGTGTGTGCAGTAGTTACGACCAGAGAGTAAGTTTATTTCTTCATCAGTCTTGAGGGTTTAACAACAGCAGCAGCAGCTAAGCTAAATCAGTCAGAACAGTTTTGAAATTCCAGAATCTGTCCAAATGCCAGATAAAAAGATGGAAGGCTGCTTGGAAGGATGAACTTGACTGAGTGAGTTATGACAATTAACAATGTTTTGTGTTACCTGCTGTGTGCACCCCAATTTGGCAAAATTTGAAGCTGATTAGGTAGCCACATTGGCTGCAAAAATAACCATAAAATTATACAGCTTAAACCATGTGTTATAGGTGTGCTTTTTTGATAACATTAATTGTATATTGAGTTAATAAGCACTCAGTTAATGCTAGTATTAGTTTTTAATTTAATGACATTCAATCTTAGCACTTCAGCTGGTCACTTAACTGAACAAATGGTTTTGGCCTTCAGACAAGTAAAATGCAGATTTAGTCGTCTACAGGACAAGTCCTCGCAAAAGCTTAACGTCAAGCCCTGTTATATTTAGTTGTTGATGTAAATTTCTGTTTTATGTTTTAGGTTTTTTTTCCTGATGCTGAAAATGATTAATATGTACTTAATGGCTGTTTTGACTGGAAATTAAGTAAATGAAGGGTGGTCACTGATGTAACCAAAGCAAAAAGCACAGCATTTATCCACAATATGGCCAAAAGTTTGTAGACACCTGCTCATCTCTTCTGAAATCAAGGGTATTAATAGGAAGTTTATCCTTTCTTTTGCTGCAGTAACAGTCTCTACTCTGCTGGGGAGGCTTAATACCAGATTTTGGAACATCACAAATCCAACTCCACAGTTTTAATAAACGGACCTACAGTCACAACAAAACTGACTTAATATAAAGACAACCCAAATCTGATTGCAAACCTCATGACTTTTTCTGATATACAAACAACCTATTTTTCTTTGGTTGTCTTTAGGCCAATACACAACAGCCCAACACACACAATAATTTTTCAACCTGAGCTTGTGACAACTGCCAGTGCTAGAAAAACTGTGCACTGCTGATTAAGGAATAATACCGACAGCCAAACTGCTCAATTCAAGTTAAGTTACTATCAAAATAAGACTATACTTCTGACTTTACTGCACATGTACAGGAAGATTCACTCGAAAGAGGCCCTGAATATTCTGTAATAACTCTTGCTAGGACGAAGCAATCTGAACGAAACAACGTGCAATGTGCTCCTTAGTATATGGAGCTTCGAACAAGCCGGGATGCCCCTGCGTCGGAGCGATAAGGAAGGCGCCGGACAGCCATCGCAACATGTAACCTCCGTTTGCAATTTCTGGGTGCATACCCCCATAGCCCTTCACTCAGTCACTTGACTTCTCATCAGGATGGTGGTGCACAGTATTGAGCAGCACATTGAGGTATGTAGCGTATTTTTTTGGTTCAGATTGCTTCATCCTAACGGGAGTTACAACAGAATATTCGGGGCCTCTTTCGAGTGAATCTCCCTGTATATCAGTTGTCACCTGCTCAGGGTAATAGCCTTGTATCCTATTCAAGGCCTGGTATTTAATTTCCAATTCGTCCACTAGTCTCTCCTCTTCTTACATTCTTGCATCACACCATCAGCAATTTGTGAATACAAAGACCACACATTTCCTTCAAGTCTGCTGAGAAGTTATCACTACTTTTCATACCAACATCTACAGATCACTTCAGAAACTCTCAATGTGATCCAGGGACAATGAAAACAGCAGAAGTCATGGAATGACAGAGAGCTAAACATCTCTTGTCAATGTGAAAAATGACATTTTTAAATACAGTATTAAGTGCAACTCTGTGCCCACAGGTTTCAGACATTTTTCAAAAGCTCCACTGAACGCCAGATAAGAGGGCACTTTCTAACCATTTAATGTCCTGTTTCAAATAATTCTAAGAACACTTTCTTGCTCTACAGCTCCTTCTTCACTTTCAAAACATACTATTATACTACTAACATTATACAACATTGAGCAGGCCTAGCATTATGAAGTTTTAGAGCCCAGTATTCTGCCTGAACAAAACAAGTCTGATATTTTGACTTGCTTGCGGAACATTTTTATAACAAGTCATGCTAGAACATCACAAGGCTCCACTGCTACACTGCCCATCAAATGTTTGGGCACACAGTCTTCTTTTGAAACGATCACTGTTACTTCAGTTAAGGAAGAAAAAGACTTGTGAACATAAAACAGTTATTTACTAATACTCTGAAAAGATTCTAAAAACAAGAAAAAATGTTTCTGATTAAAGAAGATGGACCACTTCTTTACGCTCTGAATGAATACAAGGTTGTATGGGCTGAATCAGCTTTTGATCCTCTGTTTAGGAAACCACTTAGTAAATTACACATTTCTATCACTGCCATTGGCGTCACGTCATTTGATGCTTTCATATCAAACTCAGCTGTCTTTCCAAAGCGAACAGTTCATCATTTCCTTCAGAGTAGTTGATAGCATTTCAGATGAGTAGGTGGTTAAGCACAGAAGGGAGCAAAAGCCACTGTCACTGACAAAGACTGCCTCATGAAGGTGCATAAGAAAAAGAGAAAGCCCAGAAATAACCTCTTTATGACTACAATGACCAGCAATACTACAACATACATAGCCTATTTATGATGATTGTCCTGTGCACAACCTCAGGACTGCAGTGGCAAAACAGTGGTCCAAAGGCACAGTTTCAGCTACTTCTAATATCAGCTGTTTGAAGTAACTGTGTAATACCTTAAAAATAAACATGCAAAACAGTTATTGTAAAACAATCAATTAACACAATGACTTCGATCAAGCTTTTAAACTGACCGTATATCTTGTTTTCCATGCTAATGTGCATGTTAGTATATGGGAAAACTGACACACAGGAAGATGCTTCTGTTGCCTACTCAGTCACTCTCACTTCCACTCTCTGAAGTGACATAGGAGCCCTCCTCTCCTGTGTTTGCCAGGAACCAGTGACCTAAGAGAAAACATACAAATCCATATTCCACAATTAAACCTGCAGAACATCACTTTAATATTAAATGAAAGCTGCTAAAACTCCATTCTTACCATTTGAGGCACAAATGTCTTCATCCTCAATGTGGTCAAAGTCATAGCTTACAAAAGCACTCTGTTTGGGAAATGACCATGGAAATATTTAAACATCATTTTACAAGAACAGTGTTGCAGTGCTACAGCTACAGGCCTATGCTATAAATAAACACCATGATAATGTTAAAAATATGAAACGATTCTAAGGGCAGAAGTGGGCACATTCAATAAAGCAAAAACTTGCCTTGTATTTGAGGAGTGATTTCCACTCTCCCTTCTCTTTCTTCACCAGTTGGATCACAGGTTCATTGCACTTCATTTCCCATAAGCACTGTTCTGTTTTGATGTCACCATGCAACTCCAGGTTGGCACGGTAACGTCGGTTGTTCACATATGCACTGGGCGGGGGGGGGTGGGATACAAAATAAATACTAAATAGATCAACTCATTGCAAAATTTCAGAATATAATCAAAATAATTCATCTAATGAAGAAAATGGCAAAATCATTATAATCAGCACATCTCAATTAATATTGTACAGACTGTACACTGACCTGTAAAGCACCCTGTCAGTGGAGAACTCGCACTTCTGCATAACAGGGTTGATTAGTTTTACTTTAAGAGTGACTGACTCTTCCCTTTGAAACCACTTGATCTGTGGGTGAAAACTGAAGGTACAGGAAAAAAATAAACTAACAAGTACCAACTTTTATTACATTCATACAGCTGTATGCAAAATGTTGAGTCCCCCTAGTCAAATTACATGTTTTGTTATTTTCTAAATGAAAATAAGTTAACAAATGTGTCATTTTTTCTGAAAAAATTTGTGCACCATTTCTATTTTTTGAGGAGTAACATATTTGAAAAAATAAACAAAATATAAAATGTGTCATAACTTTTGCACAGTCCACATTTTGTTTTACTGTTTCCCCCAACATGTTAAAGCCAGCAAATAAACAGTAATTGCGTTTTTAAAATGTGCAGATGCATGTTCTCTGTGGAGGATGAGTGCTTTTTTACATGTATAATTTGACCAGGAGTGTTCAAACTATTGTATACAACTGTACTGCTGTACTAACTGTGCTGTTCTAACATGTGGATGGTGCAAATATTCTCATAATATGGGCTCAAATCTTTACAAATCTAAATCATTATACACTGTTGTTCACAACTTCAAAAAAAAACAAAGAGAGGGGGAAAATTACCTTTGCGGTACAAAACCCAGAGCCTTCTCAGTGTACATGACCTCATTTCTGATCTGAATGTCATCTGTAGGTTCCAAAAATATTTAACATATTTTACATTTCGAAAATTATCTAAGAGAGGGCAGAAGGTTTGCGTCATCTACCAAAATATGCAAGATTCACTTTAAGCTTCACTTGCCTTCTTGTGAGCTGTTAGAAATGGCAGCAGTCCAGATTTGGGGCAAAAATCTTCTTAGATCATCAGATCTAAGTGAAAACAGAAGGCTTGACTGATTTAACCATAAAATACATAACAGAACATTGAGGCTGGCAATATGATGTTTTTACCGTTATCTTGATAAACTGTAGTATTGCGATACATACCATGCTTTTTTGAACATACTGTGGATATCGTCAATACTTAAAAGGGAATTCCACCTGTTTATTTATTTTTTTTAATATAAAGTTTTTGTTCAGTGGTGGTGACAGCAACCAAACATCTAAACAGTTTAATGCCTCTAAAAGCTCCCTCACAGAAAGTTCTCACATAAAATGGTGATGAATACACTGCCTGATGCCTGAGACATTGTTTTGTGATGTTTTGATTAAAGATTTTGGCCTAAAACACATTTTTAAAATACACTAATGTAAAATACACTTAAAAGAACCACATGCAGGGTGCTATAAGGCAAAACAATCCTCAAAAGAAACTCCTCTACACACCCGCCGATTTATCACTTTTACCATTATCAACATTACATATAAAAACATTCTAAAAAAAAACATTGCATTTAAAAATGTTAAATAAAAAGAAGACACATGTAGGTTGACTAACCTTTCTGGATAGTAAATAAAATTCCTATATTTGGGTTGTATACATCGTAACTCCTGGTTCCTATCACCACCACTGTACAGAAATCAAAACTGGTAGGTTTCTCTACAGTACACAATTTCACATCAAACCCCTCTAAATAACTTTGTTTACATGTCAAATCATTTAAATTATACAGAATTAAAAAAAAATGTAAGTGTAATCTTCCCTTAAAAGAACATTGAACAACTGCATGTTTAATTAAAAATGATCACATAATTTGTCCTTTTTAATTGGATGTAGTGCAGCACAGTATATGAAATGTTGAATAAAACTCACTGTGCCAAGATTTGATGGCTGTTTTTAAGTTGGGCACTACTAGTGCATTGAGTCAAAAGATCACAACAAGATTCGAGTATTGTGAAAATGTCTAAGTACTGTGATATATTTTTGCCATATCGCCCACCGCTAACAGAACAGAGGCATCTTGTATCACATCCTCAATCCAAAAAGAGAGTGAAAGGAGTTTTCTTATAAATTAAACGTTATAAATGCCACAGTGAGTACGGCTACTTCACTCACTTTAGCATCTGTTCATCGTCTACCAATAAGTCTTTACTCGATCCTCCTTTAGGAACTGTGATCTGGTTTAGCTCCTCTGAGGGCTCACAGGGTTCAGTATTCCTGCTCTCAACAGTAAGCTCCACTCCACTGCAGAGGCTGACAATTCCAGCCTTCATCCTACTGGCCAGAGCCTCCTCAGCAGCCTGAACCCTTTGCTCCAGAGACACTGCCTCACTCTGACACCTAATCAAGCCAAGAATAGAAAAACAGCAGCAGCTCAGCAATATTTTGACTGAAAATAATTCTAAAAAAAAACAAAACTGATTTCCAACCTCCTGTCCTGCACATTTTTGCTGTCGTCCCTGCTCTGGAACACCTGGTCCAACTAATCACCTCATTAGAAAGCCCTTCTGGCATCAGATGTGTCAGATTAGTAAAAGACTAAATAACCAGGATGTACTCCAGGACTAGGGTTGGGAAACCTATATCCTGAGAACTGCTTACAGATCAAAATTAAGAGGAAATGAGACAGAAAGCTAGATGCTAACCTGCTACTCTCACTGAACTCCACTGCAGCAGAGGCCTCCTCTTTTTGGCAAAGTGTCTTCAGAAGCTCCAAATGTTGAGGGTTTGTGGTGCCCATCCCAGTTGCAAGAATCTCCGTGTGGACATTATATTCGTTTATAAAGGTCTTTAGACCGGCAACACGTGTCATGTGTATCTGTTTTTAACAGATATATATATGTATCTGTTTTTACTTATAAAAACACAGACAAAAGTCTTCAAAATGTTTAATAATATTAATGTAGATTTAAATAGGAAATATCTTTAGCTTCAAAAGGTGACCAAAACACCAAATCCTACCATTGGATCAACCCAAACAGTATTGCCCAGGCACATCACCACTTTGGCTTGATGTATTTTTCCTTTGATCTTCAGATTGATAGCTCTGGTAACCTATCAACATCAACAACAACAAAAAACAAAATCTTGAATGTCTTATTTATTTCTTCCATTGTGGTTATCAGTCCCATTCCTGAGGACCTACTGTCCTGCACAGGTTTAGGTGTCCAACACACCTGATGCAGCTCATGAAGACCTGGATAAGAACCTGATGAGCTGGATCAGCAGTGTCTGGGCAGGGAATAACTGAAATTGTGCATGGCAGTAGGTTCCCAAGACTGGAACCAATTCACTAGGCAACAAGCTAACTATGGGTTTAAGAGAAATAAGGCAGGAAGCAAGACTGAATAAACATTGTGTCAAGAGCTGTGAAAACTGTAGATGTTATAGAGTTGAGCTGATCCTAAAGCATTCAAAGTTGTAAAATCCAGTACACCCATTAGAACATTTATAAAACATTTTGAACATTAAAAAAATAAAAAGAAGTGTTTGAAGGCAATGTTATTTATTTATAAGCTTGACAGCTAGTGTTCTGCCCATAATAGCTTCAGTTAGAGGAAACTGTAATGCACTGATTATAGAAATGCATCACTACCCACTACCCTACATTCGAAAGTGCATAAACTGTGCTAGGTAAATTCTAAGTAAAGAACAGAACAAATATAACCTAAGTGTATATCAAAGCAGAACTACTGGGGGGAAAAAAAAATCTATGTATACTGAGTAGCCTGAACATTTACCAAAGCAAAAAGGCATTTTTAAATATTGTTGGTACCGAGTATTGTATAAGTACCCTTGGATTCCAGTCCATCTCTCCATCGATGGGTTTGATCCTGCATAGAATGATTTCCACAGCCTGACCAGGTAAGCTCTGGAACTCAGGAGGAAGCTGCAGCAGTTGATGTGACTTCACTTCTTGTTTGCGCCCCTCATCAATATAGTGAACAGTGACGCTGCTGAACAGCTGATCTCCTTTATCTGGCACCTTGATCACACACACCCTGCCACACAAAACGAAAGCCCACCATCATTCAAGGCCCTATATTCATGTATGATTATATATAAGAATTGAATACTACTAAAAAGACAACAACGTACCTATGATATTCATTCTCTTCTTGTATTGCATAAAGGCCTCCCTTCACCACTTCCTTTGCACAAAGTCTTTCTTTAGCATAGTGTGAATTCAGTTCATCAGCAAAGTCTTTGTAACTGTCCTCTTTCTGGTTCACAATACGTCCATAGTACACATTTGCACTTTTAATGTAAAGGGGCAAAACCTTGAAAACAGTCAACAGAAAAACAATCCAGTTTTTGATATTTTTTGGAGAAGTACATAAACTTCTAAATTAATATTTAAGTCAGGAAGTAAGTTCAACACAGGATTCTATTAAAATGCACTTCCATTTAGCATGCGGTGAAACACCACGGCTCACTTCAGTATATCTTATTTTTTCCCCCAGCACTAAGGGTACTCGGTTTTGGTACATAGGTTGATAGTTTACACCATCCTGCTAGGGCACAGAAATTTAAATATACAAGACAAAATACTCTCTTGAAACAGACTCTATAAAAGATAGCAGCAAGTTTACCAGGATAGTTCCAGGGTCAGGGTGAAGGGGAAAGTCAAGTGTTTTGTTGACTGTGTGCCTGTCTGGGCAAACCGTACTGTCCCTATGTGGGGCAAAGACAGAGGAGACTGAATGAGACTTTTAAAAATGCTGCTTGTAATTAATAACTGAAGGTATGGCTTTTAACCAAGTCTATTTGCAGTCCATAAGTGGTGGATGGTGTCACGCTTTTGTTATTCTGACTCTGTACTTGAGCACACTGAAATGGAACATCTATGAAGCTGAAGTACTAAATATTAGCTTTAATGTAAGGGGAAAATTGTAGTCAAACCAAAGAACTGAAAAATGTTCATAAAACTGACATTCTCTGTATAGACTGCAATCAATGACTGCTTTAAGAGTGCAACTTACAGACAATCAGATACTAAGTACCTTCCATTTTCAGTTCAAGCTTATTTCAGGGTCCTGTTGCTTTGAGCCTTTTCTTCAGTAGGATTTGGATCAGGTGATTGACAGGCCAACCAAGAACACTGCACGTTTTGGCTTTGAAATACTCCATAGCTGCTTTAGCATTAAGTTTGGGGTTATAATCTTACTGCAAGGTGAAGCTTTCCATTTGGTTGGATCTGAACAGAGTACTTTTGCACACTTTAGATTTCATTCAGTGGCTGCAGTCACATCAACAAACACTTGCGATCAAGGTCTACCAGCAGCCATACATAACCTGACCATAAACTTATCACAGATTAGCTGGCATGCTTCAGATCTTATTTTTTTGTAACACCTCACTCTATTACTCTGAAACAGGTTATCCTACATCTCAGAATTCTCTTCACTTTTTCATGCTTCTTATTAACAGAATTTGAAGGACTCTGCATCTTCAAAATAGGAGGATTGCACTGTTTGTTTTTAAAACTGTTGCACAACGTTCATCCAATAATAATAATCTCTTCTCATTAAATGCTGGCTATGTGTGCTTCAACAACATAGTCAGTGTTTCACTTCAAATCTAATGTGCTAGAATATAGAGCCAAAACAAAAAATGTGTCCTAACTACACACAGACTGCACTGTATGCTGATTAGGCTGAAGTGTAAAGACCTGCAGAAGCCCAGGCTCTTCAAGTGTCTGCAAAGTGCTCTGTCGATCTTCTGTTCCTCCTTGGCTTGCTGGACTCCCTGAGCAAACAGCAGAAGCTCTGGGGGCAATGTAGTGCCTGTGCGCTTCAGGTATCGCAGCACTCCGGAAACATGACGAGCATTTCGCTCCGACAGCAGCAACACAGACCGCACTACAGGAGAGGAGCTCTCAGCGCAGTCCTGACACAGTAAGGTTTAAACACACAAACACTCTTAAACAAAGATATTCATGGTCAACGAATATATTAACTTTGGTTCTAAAAAGGTTGACAGAATGATTAAATACAAATTGGTCTGTTCTGCTATCTAGTGAAACTAATTAAGCCTACTTGTGCAACTTCCATTAATATTATTTTTGCACAAAAACATACAAAGAAAAACACATGACTTGCTGCTACCTTGTTAGAGAGATTCTGAAAGTTCTCAGACATGCAGAATAGTCGATTCCCAAACAGTTTAGGTGAGCTTGGGAACCCATAATGAACCACACATGTGGCGTCCCTGATACTAAGAGCCTTCATGCAATCATTGGTGGTCACTGGCGGAGGAGGTTACAAAGAGAAAAAAAAAAAAGCAGTTACATGAGGTTAATTAAACATAGTTAAATAATATACTCAAAGTGCTCACAATACACATACCCAAGATAACCTGTGTGCCTGCACCAATGTCTTTCTTCCACTGCTCAAACACAAAGTCAAACTGGTGGGTAAGGCCTTCGTGAGCTTTCAAGGAAAATGCTGCTGTGTTGCTGACAGCCTGGATGAATATGTTACAAGTTAGCTTAATTGTAGGTGCTTCTGCAAATGCAAAACCCTAGAATAAGTTACACTGCCATTCCCCTTAAACCGCATTCCTGGAAATACTTGTAAGTCTAACACAGGGAATTCTATACTTTTGAATGGGAAGGTTCTCCGAGACAGGAGTGTCCAATCTTATCTGGAAAGAACTAGTGTGGAACACAACTGATCAATTATTTGATGGCTGAGGCCAGTAGATTAAACATCCTGCTCCTGCTTGATTGGAATGTAGCCACACCAGGCCTTTATGAATAAGATTGAACACCCAAACAAATATGTTCACTGTACCTTGTAGACATGCTCCACCTCTTCTGCCGAGTTTGTAATGATGAGAGTTTTCTGGGGAACAGAAGGGCTGAAGTCCAGAGAGCTGAGCAACACTGAGGTCTTATTGCAGTCCAGACACAAGAGAATCGTCTTTAGAAGAGAATCGCAAATTAAAGAAAAAGGTGGGGGGGGAAAAGTACACACACACACACACACACACACACACACACACACACACACACACATTACTGCAAATATAAAAAACATTAGTAAATAGGGTTAATGCATATCTGAAATTTGAATACTTAACGTCATTTATGCAATGTTTAAGTGAAAATTTACATGTAAACATGGCATCAAATATCAGTACAAAAAAATGGCCGAATGTAAATGCAATTATCTGCTGCTAACCAATATGATTCCAACACACTGTCCCCTTCTGGTAAGATGTGTTTAAACTAGAAGACAGATTGGTCTATGTGCTAAGATCCAAGCAAAAATCCAGAATTAAACCTCAACAAAAATTTCTTGAAAGATGTAGAGTAGACAAAAATACTTCCTTTAACTGGAGAACCAACAACTGTTCTACTCTCTTGTTTAATTTCTGTGTGTTCTTTCAAACAGGACTACTACAAGCAGACTGACTGTGTCTTACCTGATGAACACCACCATACACTGCTGCTTCTTCCGGCACTGTGACAGTAACACAGGGGCTAACCATGTATTCCTGAACCATGCCTTCCAGCTCTCGACTCCACTGGTTGCTGACAGTGATAATCTGCTGTGGACACATAGCTCTCTCTTCTTTGGACACCACTTCTTGGAAATGCCGTAAGATGACTGCCATCTTACAGTGTGTGAGACACAAACACATTGACAGAGTTACAATCTCAAAGTCAAAGTTTTCTCTTCTGCTGTTCCCATATTCTTTGCACTTCTCACCTGATCAGGTGCTCGTGAGAAAAGCTCAGAAGCTTCATCCAGAACCAGATGGCAGAGCCTAAGGAAGAGGAAGCAGTGCACCTCTAGCAGCCGGGCCAGACTAAAGGGGGTGGTGACGAGCAACTGACCTGATCCACAATGTACAACACACACTTGGGACTCAGTATTTAAGTACAAACCAAAGCTCATACTCAATGACTAATCTGGAATCAGATTCTCTTACGCTTATGCAGCTGTGTGCTAAAATAGCATATGTGATTCAGGAGCAGCAAAATCCTACCTCAAACTGTCAGGCCAATAGCAAAATCAACAATGTATGCTCACAATTCTTCTGGATCTTGGCATTCTTGGCCTCATCCTTGCCCAGTCCAAGCAGCACGGCAGCAGGGTGGAGATTCACAGCTGTCTGGCTCTCCTCTAGCAGGTCCAGCACAAACTGCACCTTCTCCCAGCCTGGACAAAGGATCACTGCTATGGGCTGAAAAGAGGCAAGAGCAGGCAAGCAATGTCAAAGATACAAATAAAGCCATAAATAAGGCCCGAAAAAAACAAAAAAAAACAAAAAAAAAAACGACCTTTCCTCAGTCAAACAAAATTAAAGCCCCAATTCAGAACTAAGCAAGATTACAGGCAAAGTGCTGAGGAAAGAGGATAAGTACAGATATAGGGTTTAACAGAGTATCGTTGTGTCTCTCTCACCCCGGTGTGTGTAGTGAGAGCATTGAACACAGAGGCCAGTTGCAGCTGAGTCAGTAAAGGAGGCATGTAGGAGAGAGGATCGCTTGCATTTTGGCACACCAGCACTGTGTCACAGCCCCGTGCCACAGAGGGCCAGAAGAAGCTCTCAGCCAGGCCTGGCCCACTGTACTTCCTCCTCAACAAGAACTAACACAGAAAGAAAGTACTTAATAAAATAGGATGTACATAATATTTTGCATGTATGTGACCAATTAATGAAAATAAACAGAAACAGTTTACATTTCTTGTACTTTTATGAAACAGTGATTTACAAACCACCTGTCTGCAATGAAGTGACATACGTGGATGGAATGAGATATTCCCACCCACAAAAGAGATATGGCGATTACCTTGCGGAATTGCTCGGTGACAGGAGCATGGCTTAAGCTACTGCAGGGGTTGATGGCGATAGCGGAGTGCACCAAAATTCCTCTCCTGCTGGGCTCACAGTACATAACCTGGCACAAACAGGACAAAAATCCACAGCTGATCTCATTCAAAACAAACAATTCATTCATAACAGTATGTAAGAGTGAAGAACAGATAATAAATAAGAAACAGATTTCCCACTATTGATGATGAAAAGCCATTGAAGTATTAAGCACTTACATTGTCATCAGTATATTCTGAGTCTGAATTTAATGGATCTGGATTCAGCAGCTGTAGCAATCTATACATAAGCAAAAGTATAGTACAAAAGGAATTATAAACAGTTCCCAAGGCACCAACACAGTATAGCAAAAATAAGGTTAATTGAATGGGAATGAATGACTCACCTGGCACAAGCCAACTGGTCTTTGGCATTCAGTTCCTGAGTGAAAGCTGGCTCTTTCAGGTCTGTATTGGTGTCACTTGTACTACTGTGAATTACACAAACAAACAAATCAGTGAATACTACAGGTAAACCCCTAAGTATTTAAAGACATAGCATAATTTATAATATTACAAACATATGCATAAATACATAGAGGAAAAAAAGAATTTAAGTTCCTTTTTAATTACCTCAGGTCAGAGCTACTCTGTTCACTGGAATCCACAGGTTTTTCCATGTTGAGACTGTAAGAAAAGGGGAGAGGAGCGTTACTGTCCATTCTGCTGAAATATTTTCACAAGAGCTTCTCTGAATAGTATAGAGACATCAACACACACACAGGGTCAAGGCTGTGTACTGTGTGCTGTCCTTACCAGACATCCGAGGCCTCCTCTGAGTATGGATCTAGAGTAGGGGCCTTATTTCTCAGTGCTGATTTATCACAAGTCTCCTGGTTGTGCTCATCTTCATCAGGCTGAAAACACAGTTTTGGTGTTTACTAATAACTACAGTCACTTCTCTCAGTTTTGTACATTGTGATACATACACAAGATCATTCTGCAGAACAGATAAGACAGGATAGCTACAAATTTACATTCAAACAGTCCCTTGTGCTGACCTAGCGTGTAAATAGCAGTATTCTTACTTTGGTAATCAAGTTCAAATGTGAGCAGGGATTCAGAAATTTCATGAATCTGTTGAGAGACAAATACAAAACAGCATTTTTATTGAGGTAAAAATGCAAGCTGAATAAATAACATTACTGAGCAGGACCGTGAAAATGTATCACCTGATCAAGTTCAGCTGTTGAGACAACTGTTCTGCAAGGGCGCTCTCTGTATCTTGTGTCTGTTCAAAGTTACTGAAAGAGGACATCAGGCAAAAAAAATACAAACAATATATAAATCTAAGTATACGTGTTACTATTTCCAGGTGAACCTAAATTTTACTTAATCTAGGAGAAGTAACAGATGAAAATAGCATGTCAGCAGAGAAATCAATGGGTGTAAGTTCATACTGCACTTAATCTGTTACGGACAACATGAAACGAACCCTGTACATCTACTAGAAGGTAATTATTTAAAGTCCAGTGTAAAACATATAAAAATAACAACAAAACAGTTTTTAGGACATTACACAGTACTTAATCATTCCAGAGGCAAAGCAAATGATTATGTAGAGGTCTACAAAATAAGCAAGTGTCATATGCATGGCAGAATAAGTGAATGATGTGTGTATTTTAACATCACAATCCAATCATAACTTCAAACATAAACATTATTCTTTTTTTTGGCCTTTCCTCACCTAGTACTGCATTTCTCTTCCTCAAGGTTCTTGGTAGATCTGTCTTTGTCATTTACTCCACAGGTCTCTGTTCCACTGTCAAGTCCTCCATTTTCCACCTAAAATGTCATGAGCACAACACAGACTTTAAAAGGCCCATTCGACAAAGGCTCTTTGACACACTGCTTCTAGTGTCACATAGCTGAATCAGAACTTACAGCAGATACTGCTCCACTTGGTTGCATGGCAGACATTGAAGATTTGGCTAAAGATATCACATGTGTTTGCTCAGGGGTCAACAGTTTGAGCTGTCCTGTTCCTGGACAGGAAAGAGATATGTCATGAGACACGCTAACAGTAACATACCAGAACTAATTAGTGGTTGAACAATGCAAGTGGCACTTACATAACAGAAACTTATTTTCCTCACCTTTCCTGGTTAAGACATGTGGAGAAGCTGACCACACTGTACAGCATCCATTCATTGCTAGGATTTGCTGAGGGCTGGAGAAGATGTCCCAGGCAAGGCTGATGGGAGAGCGACCCACAGAGCCACTTTGCTCCCCCATATTGGCCTTCTCACTTGAGAAACAGGCAAACTTCTTCACCACCAAATCATCATTCACACAGATCTAGAAAAAAAAAAACAAACAACAACAAAAAAAAACCTAGGCTTTAGAGCCAGAAGACAATTTTATCAAAAATCACCTTCAATTCAGAAATTCTATACTAGAAATGAGCTTGTTTGTCTCAATGAATTTCAAGATCTCACTGTTACTGTTATATCCCGATTTCTTCTTCCTAGGATAACAGAATGAGTATTTATGCACAACATGAACAACTTTCAACAGCCAGTGACTTGAAGCTCCAGAGTAAACTATATAGACCTTTGCTGTCTGGCTGAATTTTTTGTCATCTGTCTAAATGTGTATGTGTACATGTGTCCGGTGAAACACGGTCAAAAATATATTTATTGGTTTTTATTACAACACTTCTTTGTTAAAATGAACAAATATTCAGCTAATGTTTTAAATTTAAAAATATTGACCTTAACTGGATTTGCTAGGCAAGGCAGCATGCCTCTTTACGTAAGGTATTCTTGAGAGCCTCAAGGCTGAATTTTTATTTATGCAGGCTTATAAACTTCAGCATATAAACATAAGCTTACAAATATTAGCAAAGTAAGCTTACAAGAATGCTATTTTCATCAATTCTGTTGGAAGTAACCTGGCAAATATTTGTGGAACAAGATGATGTGCCTACTGTAAAAATATTGTCACCAGTGAGATAAACCATAGTAATATACTTCTCTTAACTACACAGTTGATATCAAGTAAACATGTTAGCAATTGACGATTTGCAAAACAATGATTGACACGCCTTTCAGCCAATCACAGATGTCTCTAAGCACTTCCCCAACCATCAAGTGAAGGAAAAACCTCTGATCAAATCTGTAGTGGCAGAAAATTAGTCAAGAGTTATTAGGCTAAGAGATGTAAAAAATGTGTGACTGGAAAACATTTAACTCAGAGACACGCTATACTGATCATCTCTCAGGTGGTTGTGTTTTTATTTCACTCCCGAAGGCAAAAAAGTTTTGGATTAAACTATGTGGAAGACGACACTCACAGATCAATTTCAAAACCATTAGAACAAGCAGGGGGGTATTCCATGAAGCGAGTTAATAAAAGCCACGCTTATTTGAATTAGCCTTTGCTTAATTTAGCCAAATGGTTGACTTCAGACTCAATATTAGAATTAGAATCAAAATTAGGTATGATCTGTGCAAGCCAGGATTCAGTGATCGAGGCTCGTGCATGTGCGCATGATATTTAAGCAGTCCAGAGACAAATGCAGACACAGGAATATTTTAGCTAAAAAAAGACAAGTAAAAAAAAAAGCAAAATATTATTTAAAACATTTACAGACGCTTAGTTTGTTTTAAGCAAGCGAATAATACTTAATACAAATAATACGTAATACTAAAACAAAATACTTCATAGTATAACATGCTATAAAAGATCACAGATTTTTGAATTTTGCAAACAGTGAATTGTCCAACAATGTCCATAAGCCCAGTCAAGCCTCCAGTCTCCAAGTCAAATTACCTTCACATTTCTGATGGTCAAGTACAGCTCAATAGCAGTGCAACCAGCATTTGTTTCGCAAAGAACTGCCTCAACCAGAGTGGACACTGAAAACAAAAAAATGTCAGAATTTCAATCTCAATATGTATAAAAAAGCAGAAATCCTGTAAAAGTGAAAGTTCACAGACACATAATAAAATGATGCTCTTACCCTGTAGAAGATTATGCAGGTATTTTGTGGCAGAGATGTCCCAGTGAGATGATGGACTGAGAAGACACCAAATAAATAAATAAATTTAAATAATAAAAAGACTAAATGACCAATAGTGACTAACATCACATTTCAGCTTCAATTGTAGCCTATAAGTGTATGTATGTAATGCTTATAGGTGTACAGCCTACAAAAGTGGAGGTTTCTGGTTGCTTGTGCTATGAGAAGTCTTACACTAGCTCTGCTGTTTCACTGGAGATGGACACTTTGAGTCTCATGGGGTGGATCCTTGCCAACTCAAACTTTCGCACTCGGAAAGGCAGCTGCAGGAACTTTTCAAGAGGAGCTCTCACACTGCAGAAAACATGGCTGTCTTTAACAAGCTCCACTCAAAACAGAATAAAGGGGGACATCACCCTGAACGTGATTCCAATACTGTTTCAAATGAATTACTGCTAATACGATGCTACAGCATTTTATATCCTACTGTAATACAAGATATCATCCCTTTTAATAATAATAATAATAATAATAAACAACAACAACAACAACAATAACAACACTATTACGGAATTACAGTCATTTTCATATGATTACATTATTAACAAATGCAACTAAGCTTTAAACCGTTTTCTTGGGGCTAGTATGTAACATCTGTGGGCCTGGAAATGTTATTTTTTTCATAATTTATTTAAAATCCAATAGAACCAGATCCAATAGAAATAGAACAAAATCTCAAAGAAAAAAAATAGATAACGTCTCCATTTTATTAATTATGTGAGTAATAACATGTTTCTGGAATACTGAATGACTAAGGCCTGCAACACTTGTACTCAAATGGATTCATATTAAAATGTAATTTAAGCAGTGCCAAATAATAACAAACATTTGCAGAGATCAACTGTACATACTCATCAGTGCTGATGACGACACGTTCTCCATGGTCCACTAAGAAGCACATGGCCTGACTGCCCACTGTTCCCATAAACATAGACTCCACTGTGGCCCTGCACCAGCTCCTCAGTGCTGGGCAGAACACCACACACAACTGGCAAAACAGATACACACAGATGAGAACAGTTCAGAACATTTCTAGTTAAAACAAAGTTGGCTTTTAGTTTAAAACAAAAAATGTTAAATTAAATTTATATAAAATGTGAATGTGTCCTTTTATTTAAACAAACCTTAGGTGTTATATTTTGGGTACCATACCTGTCCTTTCTCCAGTGTAGCTGGCTTTATTTTCTGTACATCCTGATTGACCTCATGATAGAAGAGATTCATTTTAGCCTGCAGGTTTTCATATTGATGAGGGCTCTCGGCCTGCTTACCAGGACCTTTCACAATCCTTCCCCACAGACATCCTGGATCCTCAACCTCACAAAGGAGAGAAACATAGACTTAAACTCTATATACAACCTCCATGAAATATTACACATCATCTGTATTAGTCTGGGAAAGTCACCGTCAACAGGACATTGCAAAATCTATGATTTAACTGAACAGAAGGACTTCATAATATATCAAGTTGGTAATAATCTTTTTCTCAACAGCATTTTGACATGAGCACGATCTGATGCTTTTTAATTCTTCATTTGATGAGCTGCATTATGTGTGTAAGGCAAGAAATACCCCACAAAACTGTCAAGTGGAGATGAAAGAGAACAGGGAAACACTGAACGCTCACTTATATTGTTCACTCACTCTGTGAACATACACTGCCTCTACACTTACACTGTACAGTACCTTGATTATTGATATTTCCCACATTCCTCCAACATCCATTGCCAAATCTGAAAAGCAAAGCAGAATTAAAATTTTTTAATTACAAAATCATAACCATAATCTAGATCAGTGGTTCTCAGTCCTGATCCTGGAGTTCCACTTCCCTGCATGCTGTAATGTTCTCCCTGCCCCAACAGACCCAGTTCACCTCAAGCAGAGCTTCTTAATTAGTTCATCAGTTTTATCAAGTGTGTTGTGAGCAGGGGAAACTCTATAACCTGAAAGGCAGTCGTACTCCAGTACCAGGATTGAGAACCACTGACCTAGACCATAACCATGACAGCAGAACAGTTCTACAAGTTTTTTTTATTTGTAAACCTTTACTTCAATCTATCCCATACTCTACCCACAAATATAGAACGAAACATTTATCGTCCCACATAAAAAGAAGTGAATGGAGGAAAAATGAAACTAACAAAGTTTTGTTAAATCATCAACATAGCCGAATATGAAGCGCGCAGTATAGTAGGTTGACTGTAAAAAAACAATTAAAATATCAAAAAAAAGGACTAACACAGCTAACTGTGCCTAAAATCACGGCAATATATATATATATAGGACACCTTTTCCTTCCTTTCTTTCTTTTTTGTCTGACTTTAATGTTTCTTACACAAAATGTTATTCCTAACGCTGAATCTTTGTTCCCTTAGTCCTACTCCCTTTAAACAGCAGTTGTGTTACTTTCACCCGACATAGCTTTGTTTTACATGTATGATAATCTGATCATTTCAATCACAGTGTAATATATTTTTTTATCACTACTAGATATTTATCACTACTGACATATTCCATAGCATATCATCACTGAGTTTCCTGCCAAAGTTTGAGTTCTCTTCAGCAGCATCACCATGTGACGTGAAATTATTTGAATTGTGATGGTAAAATGCATTGAAAAATTAATAAGCTGTAATCATGTCAAACTACCTGATACCACGTTTAGCACAGTTTAATATTGATTTTTCAAAGTTTAACCTTTGCCTCTGTTGATCTGCCATCTCGAAAAGTTCGAAAATTAGCCATGTCTCAAAGACAGCTGTTGAAGTGCAGGTGGTCAGTGGTGGCTGCCAGTTGCTCTCAGTCAATGTGATACTTCTAAGCGTCTGCCACGTTGGAACGGTCAAGCTCCACTTGTAAACAAATTTCATACACAACTCTATATATGTAAAACGCCTCCATTACCAACAGCTGGCTATACATGAACTGTCAAAATTGAAAGCAGAATGCTTATAACAGTTATAAGAAGTGACATCTTCTTCTTAAAGTAGAGCTGATTTAGGATCAGATTTATGTCTTATTTATGATGATCTCTGAAGCACTCCTAATCTGAGACACTTTGTGAATATGGACCCTGTTCTAATTGGTTGTCCTGTACTGTGTCTTATTCAAAAAGCACCCAGACCAGAAACGCTCCCCAAACTTCAATATGAATGGGCAGAGCTAAACTGCTGTAGGCAGAATAGGTGGACAGATGTAAAGGAGTTGATTCTTGTGAAATCACAGAAACAATAACATGTAAACAGACTGTTTTTACAGCATGGTTGCCACATGGACTGTATGGACTGGGTTGTGAATGGTACGTTTTAAAACTTTGATAATGTTTACATATCATTACAAACTCCTACATTTAAAAAAGTGATGAAAATGTGGTTTTTATAATAAGGACCCTTTCAGACCTCTGGCTGTACCGCAGCATTTCTTTGTGCAGAATACAATTAAGGTTAAACTAGCCATCATAAAATCTATTATTAATGCAAATATCAAGCATTAATAGAAGTATAATGGCATTCCAATGCTAGAGGCAGAGATATGTTATGTTATAATAGAGGAGTCCGCTCACTGGTCAAAATATCAATGGGACAGCTCATGACTCTCACTATGGCATCTGTTTATAGAGAAAGTCCACTCTTCAATAAAAAGAGCCAGTTTGCTGGTTACGGCGCAAGTGGGGAAAGCCCCCCCTTGTTTTTGATCTGTGCAAGTGAAGTAGCCAGAACAACCCAAAAAAATACACTTTTTGTGCCATTACAAAGCTACACTACAAACTATTTATGAGGATTTTGTCAGATTTTACGAGTGGTTTCAAATATGTTTTTGCAATGACAATTTAACCTTTAGTTTTGAGTATTTTTGTCTCTCCCATTCAAAGAGAAAGAAGCCTGGTCTTGTATGGTTGTAAATAACTGCCTGGTGGCATTGAAAAAATTGCCAGCAAGAGAACAGACTTTCCTATAAGGACTTGGGTAGAGCTCAATCTTATTGTGTATACAATGATCACAAAGTGTCAAGCAGATTTAAAAATGAATTAATAATACACGTGCAGCTAGGCTGCTTTTATTTCTATTTCATGACTGAGTGTGCTAGTTGGGGGAGTGTATCTATGTCCCAGGATCCTATGTTTCCAATGTTTAGCCCTCAATATGATATATATTATCTCAATATGATGCAGTAGGTGTACCTGAGAAAGGGTTCCAAAGGTCAAGGTCAAAATCATAGGGTCATCAAAGGTCACACAGTGACCAGCAAGGAGTAGATGTACAATATGTATGCATTCTGTCTAAGCTAGGCTAGCCTCAGTGAGCTAGTTAGCTAGCAAAGCAAACTTTGTAGTTCAAACCATTTTTTGAGAAGTCACAATACAGAAAACATACACTTTCTGAATAATTGCTTTGTACGATTTAAGTGCACTTCCCTTATTTTTTATTCCTGCTGTTCTGTTTTGTATTCTTTAACTTGTTATCTAGCAATAAAGTAACAAACTTAAGATAGTATAAGTGGAATTGGTGAAGGGAAGCTGACAAGAGCATATCAAAAACCGTACTTAAATGGAGGGTAGATGTTGTTGAAGATCGCTCAAAAATTCCACTGTTAGCACAAACGGCAACTTAAAAAAATGTTCATATTGTGGAGTTCAAATAAAGGTATGACTAAAAATATTTAAATGCCACCCATCACTTAACAGATTCACTTTTTTTTCAATTAAATATTTAATCAGTGTGTGTTTTAATACAGGAAGCTGTTTGGAAGCAAAATGTACATAAACACAGTTTCAGATTTTATTTACTAAACATATAACATCAGAATATTTATGTTTATAAAAATACCAGAGGAACAGACGTTACTCTTATTTAGCCAATATGACTGAGTCAACATGGGAGCTATTTGGAACATAAGACCCTGGGAACATAGGGCTGTTGCATTGATAGGTATGGACTCCTACTTGGCTTGCTGTTTCAAACAGCAGGAAACTTATTCGGTCTCCACCTGACAAATACCGATACCATGGAGTTTAGTGCATGATCTAGTAGAAACACAATAGTATCACACACCAGCGAAGCCATCGAAGCCATCAATCACCTCAGATACATCCACACACCTATGGAGGCATGCAAACGCTCAAAAAGTCAGTAAGAAGGTGCCAATCTAATGTGTAATCTAATGTAACCTCTCTGCTTCACCAGCCACATGGCCGTACCTCTAAATAAACACTGCACAAACATTATTGCTAAATACGTGCTCCTCAATACATTATCCTATCTATAACCAAGATACAACGTGTCTGTCCGCTGTGAGAGGCCAATGGCACCGCACACTGCAAAAAATACAAGTACTCAAACACCTTTAATGATTTCCCCTATGATTAGACATAAACATCATCATTACAGTCTTAATTCAGGCCCTGTGTGGACACTGATTTCACATGCCTATCCCAATCTTCTTTCCCTTGGTTTCCCGTCAAAATCTTTATGATGTTATTGGATGAATAATACAAATCACAGAAATCAATTAACAACTCTGGGAGGAACTTCAAAATGCACAGGGAGATGTGTGGTCCTGACTTTTTATGAATTTAAGTACATTTGTAAACAAACACAGCTAAATTTAATCAGCCAGAAGTTTTACAGATAACTTTAACAGCTCGCATAATACATTAAAAACTTGATAACTCTGGCCGCGAGTCTTTGGGAAGTGAGACCAGGACTGGGATGTGAGTTTGGGCTTCACACCAGTGCAGGGTGCTGAAAGCGCGGGGGGGGTACATGAGCAATTACAATACATTTATAACGTCAACTATGATAAAATCTAAACCAATTACTGTAGAAAGCAGCTGTCCTGATGACTAATTCTAGGGGTTGCACGACTAATAATGTTGACTATTTACAGTACTCGATCAGCTGCGTCACGAAGAAAACACTGTCGCCATCTTGTTAGGCGAGCTTTAACTCCGTGCTCCGATGGAGCTCCTCTCGTCAGCGCAGCAGCAGCTACATCACCACAGGTGGATCATGACCCGACAAAATAGACCAGAATGACCGCGAAAAAAAATAAGATAATTAGATAATAAGATATAAGACCTACATATGTAGACGCCTTAGATGCAGCCTCCAGAAAACGCTACGAGAAGATTTGCTCGAGTGGAGGACTGGACCCGTATGACCGACACACCTCTCAGTTCAGATCATTTAAATTTACAAAACAAACAAACAAACAAAAAAAAACTAATAAAATTGACTTCCAAAACTGCCAAATCTCTTAAACAAAAAACTCAAACATACATATAAAGCTGAAGTTATAACTTAACCTACCTTCTTATTCTCCAGCTTCTTGTTTGAAATTTCCGTTCCACCTTAAATGGCGCTGCAGTTACACTGAGGTACCTTAAACGTAGAATTTCGACAAAAGAACCTGTCGAACACAAAGCCGACATCAGCTCACCTCAATAAATCAGTCCTTAATCAACAAATACCTTAAACTGTTGCTTGAAGAAGTTTAATGAGCAGCTAACGAGCAGCACAGTGCAGCGGCAATCGGCCATTAGAGCTGCTGCCCAAAAAAACACACTTCTGTACTTTACCTACTGCACTAATGAGTGCACTTCTAATGGTACTGCACTATTTTTACACACTGTTTAGTGTGCTAGTATGCGGTTTGGGACGGGGCGCTAGAAACACAGCGGAAATCAGCCATTCAGATCTATTATGTGTTGTCACTACAGCAACAAATCATATAAAATCTAGGCAATACGCTGAAATACACTAGTTACACGATTTAAAAAGTGTTTTACTGCTTTTGCTGGAACCGTCATGGCTTTGTTATCTCATTACAAACCGCCACAGCGTTGCTGAACGAACTTGAAGCTGCCAACTAAAATAGACTAACTAAGCTAAATTGCCTCTGTCGCATCCCGTAATAATCAGAAATGGTCCAAAGCGGAGACGTTTTGTCCTGTGAACATTCTTCTCTCGAATATCTCTGGATCCTCTGAATTACGAGGTCGTTAAAGAGCTGAAATATGAATATTGCTAGATGTAAGCCAGGGGTATCCAATCTTATTCACAAACGGCCAGTGTGGCTGCAGGTTTTCATTCCAGCAAAGCAGCAGCTCACATGATCAGCAGCGTGAAGACTGAAACCAGATTAAACAAGTGGAATCAGGTGAGCTCCAGTTCGTTCTGAGTGAAGACCTGCAGCCACACCGGCCCTTAAGACTGGACACCCCTTATGTAAGTGTGACTATGCGCACTGAATTGAGGACGTTAGACTGGTAGCCTCCTTAAAACCGCGCAAACCAGCACACTTTGCCAGTGTGGTAATGTATGTCTATGTACAGACTGAGGGCAGATGAAAAGAAGTCAGAACGAAAGAAGCAGGTTTCCCTGTAGTTAGGTGTTCTTCATCTGATACTCCCTGAAACACGATAACGTTCAGAGCTTTCCGTTCTGTATTAGCTTGAATTGAAAAGCTCTACAAGCTTCCCTACACTCAGGCTAAATTAGTACAGACTCAGCTTAATATTACTGCTGATTTAGGCTATCAGAATATGATAATTATTATTTTAATGCTGGTAACATTTTCTGAGGACATTTTCTCAGGACCTAAACCAGCGGCTTGTTCGAATTTCCCCGTGCTACCTTAAATGTTTATATCCTGAACTGCAGCGCCATTTAAGCTGGAACGGGAAAATTCGAACAAGTGCTGGTGATAAAGAAGCTGACTTCAGCTTCATGGAGGGTTGAAAGGGGTGATATGAGCAATTGCTATATTTCTACTTGACAGCTGAGCAACATTAACTTATTTTCGCTGTTTTACAGAACCAACAGGTCAGTATTGTTTCGTCCCGTTTGCTAATGTTTGTGGTAGCTAATCACAACTGCTGCACCATTTAAGGTGAAACGGGAAAACTCGAACTAAGCTGGCGAAATTCAGCCTCGTAGTTTTAACACATTGTATTTTTGATAAGGAGTTTTAGGGTGTTGAAATGTCCTACCTAGACAGAGGTTTTATTTATGAGTACGCATGCGCCTCGGTACAACATTTCGATAAGGTGGCACACCTTGCCAGACCACCACCTTACTCTCATGTAGCTTAGTGACATCAAATTGATGCGCACAAGCTTTAGCTTGTCTGTAGCAATGCATAGATATAACGTCACATACCTAGATGCCGCGTTGCCTGTTGTTCTCTATGTGAGGCGATACGTCCGCCATGTTGGAGCGGTCAAGATCCGCTTGTGAACAAATCCACTTGTATTGCGAGATGATGAGTCTCCGGATTAAATCGGTCACAGCTTCGTTCCTACTTAACCGATTTTCACCAAAGTTGTTTTGTTATAATCCTCGGACATAGTTTGATCTAGGTTGCACAGACTGCTCTCGGTAGTTTTTATTTCTTTAACAACTGATCGTGCTAATTAGCCGTTCGGACCAGCAGTAAAGTATTCACTCTCATAACTTCATGTGTAATAAGGTGCTAATGTTAATCTATTATGTATATCTACACGGATTAGGGAATGGTATAATTTAGCTACAAAGCATTAACCATCATTGTAAATAAACAACTACTGCATTGAGTTAAGATCCTCTGAATAAACTATTAAATAAGCTTAATATAAAACCAGAGCAAAAACACTCGCATTAATAGGTTTTCTGTGCCTCACCAACCACACGGCCATATCTATAACTACATAAACGGCAAACAATACGCATCACACAAACATGAGCGTGATTCGCTGCGTTCCCTCCGTTATATAATCCTATCCCTCTTTCTGAGTGCAATATTCTTGAACTAGTATAATTTTGGACTGTATCTTTCCTAAACTCCCGCTCTGTAATGATTCTGAATGCAGTCATGCAGCGATGTTGACCGCCTTAAAATGGCGGCGCCGTTGACGTGCCTGGCTGGACCCAACGCGGCATCAAGGTATGTATATCGATGATAGCAATGTTAGTGTTAAGACTCTTTTCTCGTAATTCAAAGGATCCCGTGGTATTCGGGAGAAAAATGTATACAGGACAAAACGTATCGAGTCCTGAACATTTTTATTTGACACAGGGCGCGATAGAGGCGATTTTTCGAGAACTCCATCCATTTTGGCCAAATCCAGCTTCGACCCGGAGTTCCTAATATGGGCATAACGCGGGCTACAGAATGACGCACGACTGCAGCAGTCTGAAAACGCGAGTCCTCCAGAGCTCAGTGAGAACCGTTTGGTTAGTAAGGTTAGCTTAGCAATAAGGGTTGATAAGGACCGGCTGCGTTTTGCGGTGCGAATTGCACTGAATGTTTTGTTGTGGTATTTCAGTAAGTTTCAGTCTCCGCTCTCAGTATCTTAAAACTCAGTCATTTAAACTGGCTTTGGGTACTGCACTTCTGTTTTAACCCTCTTATTAGTAGTCCGATGGGAACAAACGAGTGTTTATCAGGCTAAATGCTAGTAGCTCATAGTTGCCTCTACTCACCAGTAGGCCTTTCAGAGCGAAACGCAGGCCTAGCAGCTGAACCAGGAAGCGTTCGTGCTACCACGTTTTACAAGGTTATTGCGGAATTTTGTTTGAAACTGTAGGTAACAAGTAACGTTAAACGAGATCGGGTACTCCACAAACGCAAAACGTGTTTGCGTTACGGGCACGTCGCACTAATCGTTCTATGATTGGTCGTTTTGAATGTCAGTCAAACGGTCTTCTCCTATCAGAGAAGGGGGTGAAATGTCCTACCGTAGGACATGTTTATAGATAGCTCCTTACATAAAACCGTAGGTAGAATGTTTCGATGGCCTAAATCATCCTATCAAAAAATTGCTACCAGCAATAAAACTGCACGTAGGATGTTTTCATAGCCTATCCCACCTTATCAAAAATGCGACCAACATTAAAACTGCAGGTAGAATATAAAAGCATCTATTCTATTTTCCTGATGGCCCAAAACACCCTATCAGAAAAAGTCACCAGCATTGAAAGGATATTTAGGATACTCTGATAGCTTAAATTACCCTTTTCAGAAAATATTAACAGCATCAAAGGATAATTAGGATATTTTGATAGCCTAAACCACTTTACAATGGGCATGTAGTAATATTTAGCTGAACCTTTACTGAATTGATATTAAAAACACAATAAAAGGTTTAAAACACTAAATTACAACACTGTAGTAATGATATGCACATGCTCAGTAGGGCTGCTCGATTGGTAGGACAAACTGTTAGAACACCTGTTGCGGAAACCTGCTCGGTCTGGTTTGTGAGCCTGTATTTTAGTGAGGTTTTATACAGCTTTATAGTGGAATGGTTTCATTTAATGTATTGTTTCCAAACAAATAAAGCATTTTGGGCTTTGTCTTTAGCAGACAACGTGTGCTTTCAGACATTGTGCTTGACTAATCGATTAATTTATTAGTCTGCTTTATCCAGCCTCAGTCTCACCCTGAAACGGAATTACAGACTTCCACCTCGTTATTGCCTCTGAGAAAGGAAGAATTTTCGTCTACAAGATTTCAAAAATCCTAAATTGGCGGTTCAGGGCTTGTGTGGGAATATTCCAAGGACTGAACATATCTGACATAGGAGAGATATGCATAGTTCTTATTAGGTACTCAATATTTTATATTATGTGCTTCTGTTTTCTCTTCACCAGAGCTGTTCAGCTCCTCTCCTGGAGGGCCCGTGTCTAGCACAGTTTGGTAATTTCCCTACTTAAACACCCCCACTAAACCTGGAAATGAACATATGAGCTGAATGAGCCTGTCAGTACCAGATTTGATGACCCCTGCTGTACACCCTAAGTATCACTTGTGATGCAATACTTTAAATAACCCTTCTAGCTTTAGAAATGACAATGATTTTAGGAACTGTTGTTTGACTTCTACCTAGAAATTAGTGATGTTTTACACTTAAGAGGATGCTCATAACTTTTTGTTTATTTTGCTTAATCTATTAATGTATTCATTTAAATTTATCAGTATGTATATAAAATTAGTTGCTAGATGAATAGCGTTGGAGTGTCAGTGTATATATAAGTACACAAAAGTGTTGTTTTACTTATTTTATTTTTTTTTGTCAGCACTTCAGGATAAATAACAATCTCAAAAAATCAGTCTTCCACATCACTAACATGGGTCATGAAGAAAAATAATTTGTTGCAAATCCATCAGTCTTTCCAGTAACACAGACATCGGGAAAATCCTTCTAACTGAAACACAAATGCATCACTGGAGATCAGATTATTGCTGAACATCTGTATCCAGTGTAGGTGCCTGTGCTTCACTAACTGCCCCTGTAGGTGCTGTAGGAGAATCTGCTGAGGAGTAGAGGCAGGTGAAACATCTGATCCTGGTCTGTTATGGTGAAGACAATCTAAGTGAAGAAAAACATTTTCAGCAGGCCACCACAATATAGCAACATATCACAGTATTGACATAGCAATGCTGTAGCATGCAGTTGTTCTATTTCAGTAATCCTTCACTCACCTCAACATATGGGTAAAAACAGGTCTGGCCCAAATTTTCCCAGTACTGGCCGGTCTCAAAGCGTATTTTGTACATGCCTGCAGTGAAAGCTTCTCTGGTAATTAGATCCAAACAGCGGCCATCCTTATCTGTGGTTCTGGAAGGAAATCCATAAAGACACTGTGCTTCTACTACTTTATTTATTAATTTAATTGTAACCAATGGCCACACATACACTGTATGTACAAAAACTATCCAGACACCTCTTCTAATTAGTGAAATCAATTGTGGTAAAGTGGACACACATAAGCCTAAGATCACCATCCCTAATGCCAAGTGTGGAATAGAGAGGTAAAAACAATTTTTGGGATGAGTTGGAGTGGAATTTGTGATTCAGAGCTAATGATCCAACATCAGTACCTGACCTCACTAATGCCCTTTTGGCTGAATGCAGTCCCATCCTTACAGCTATGTTCCAACATATAGTAAAGCCTTCACAGTAGAGCGGAGGCTGTTACTGCAGCAAAGGGGGACATACTCCTTAATACTCCTTAATACCAAACTATTAATTCTCTTGATTTCAGAGGAAATGAAGAATGAACAGATGTTTACAAACCTTTGGACATACAGGGTAGACATGCACAAATTACTATGGAAGAATAGGTTCTCAAGGCAGTAGCAACATAACGACAACAACAACTGATAGGCATGTACCCTATAGTTAAGAGGTTCCAGAGGGCCATGTGGGGGTCCAGGCGGTGCAGACTGAGAGCCATGCGGGCTCCAGGAACCCCATCTGCAGTGTTTAGCACATGGGTAGTGAGAGGACTGACTGTCTTAGACGTCATACCAGATCTGTTTAGAGAGAGATTCAGATAAGAACTATTCATTAAAGCTTGGCAGCACAGTAAACATAATTACTGTTTTATTAGCTGTATTTACTTTAATATCTGCTCTGCAGCAGTTTTAGTTTCAGAGCCCTGTCCATCATTTTTAAGATGTTAGAGGTAGCTTATCAAACATGTACATATAGCTACAAGGTTTTTTGTAATTTATTTTTAACAGTACTGTCCACGGTGCTGAACCTCTAAAAATAGAGTAGCCTATACAAAAGTATTAGCCTGAAACAACAACTGAGTATACCCAGTTTTTCTCTTCAGTACCTGACCTATAAGTAGACTAAAATATAAATGGAATCAAGAATAAGAGTAAAATGAAAATTATAATACCTTTTCTGTGTGGATATACGCTGTGTTGTCAAAGCTGATGTTGCCTGCTTGTCCACTCACTGTGAAATGAGGTAGATTCAGACTGAACTGTCCTGCCTGATGATGTAGCATGGCAGTATGATGAGTTAATCAATAACATCAACCCCATGGTTTAATCTTTAAACAACAAAGAGGGTTGGTTCCACATTTCACTGCAAATTATCACCAAAAAAGAGACTTCTGATTTGGTTTAAAATCATAGGTAACAGTTTAACCTGTTTAGCACAACTCAGATAGTGTGCATGTTGTACTTTGACCCCATGTGACGTTGTTGAAGGGTCAAAAACGCGCAGCAAGAGCTTACTCTGGGGTCAAGCAGTGTTGATATTGACGTAAACTGTTCCCTGTGTCTTTCTGAACATAGTGGCGTGTGTGCTAGAACTTCATTGTACTAACAAAATATAGTAGTATGATTGTATATTGTACAGTATATCATAGTACACTGCCACACGCTGTGGTTACAATATGCTTTGTAATGTATTACAAACACACTGCTGAACCTGGACAGGGATTAAACATAGTTTTGGACTACATGCATAATTAAATGGTTAAAATGTAAACAAAGTCATTCAGAGTGGTTTGATGTGAAATGCTCCATACTAGAGAAAGACTCAGGATTGTTCTCAGAGGTGGTGATAGGAACCTGGTGTCTAGAGTTCAATGCCTCTAAAAGCTCCCTTACTGAAAGTATTTGGCCTAAAATATATCTTAAAAGCCATTCATGGCAAAGGGGTACATGTATGGCATTGTGAGGCTAAATGGAGGGTAAAAAAGGTATTTTTCCAGGTTTACCACTATCTTACTATCATTAACAACACACACGAAATATCAGAACACACTTTTAGGTTCACTTGTGGTTTTGAATAAAAAATGAAATAGCATTTTTTGTGTTGTACACATTGCAACCCCTGGTTCCTATCACAACCACTGTACAGTAATGTAAGTTGGAAAGTTTCTCTATAATGAATCATTTTTACCTCAAACCACTCTGAATGACTTTGTTTACATCTCACTAATCAAATTATACAGAAAACATTTTTAAACTTGCAAACTTAGAGTTGGATGAGGGTTATCCCACTCTACTCACACTAGATCCATGTGTAATCCAAGTGAAGGTGCTTTTATTTGTCATCATAGTTTACATTTAGATTTGAAATATACAAGCACAGAAAACGAACAAAACACAGTGAAAGAAAAAAACAAAACAAAAATGGAAGCAACAATGAAAATACTGACATCAATGAATTTCACAATAACAATACGTCATAGAATCACCACACTTTAAAACACTATATGAAGGACTCTTAGCAGGTTTCTCTCGTGTAATTTCTTCATGAGCTCCAAATGCTAGAACCAACAGCTAAAAGGCAGTGACAAGATTTAAAGGGGAATGGCACCAGATGTAAAAAAATTCAGCCTAATTCAATCCTAAATAGATAACCAAAGTCATTCATAGTGGTTTGATGTGAAACGTTCCATTCTAGAGAAAGTACAGAGTCAGATTTGTTCACAGTGGTGGTGATAGGAACAAGACATCTGAAGAGTTAAATGCCTTTAAAATAGACAACTATTTAAAAAAAACCTTTACGGATACGCTGCTTGCTGCTTAAGACATTGTTTTACGATAGTTTTGGGAAGCTTTTGGCATAACATATCCATTCATGGCAGAGAGGTTCCTGCAGAGTGTTGTAATGAAAAGTAGCACCAAAAGCTCAGAGGACATGTGTAGGATCACTGTTGGTTATGGATGTAAATAAATTGGCTATATTTGTGCTGTGAACACTGTGACTCCTGGTTCGCATCACCAATGTAAAGAAATCTAAATCAGTAAGATTCTCTACAATGAACTGATTCACATCAGTTCACTTTGCATGACTTTGTTGACATCTCAACTTTGGAATTATGTAGAAATTTGGAAGAATCTGTGCAATTTCCCATTTAAAATGCAGATTTATGCAATACAATAAAATGTTTGTATATATTTGCATTGTTTTTAAAAATAAAAACACTATTTTGGTTTAAAATGGAAACTGGAATATTTAAAAAAAAAACTGTCATCATCAGGAATAAATGAGTACACAATAAATGCAGTAGACACAAAATTCCTGAATGTGGCTTTAACTACTTTGCTTTGAAGCGTGTATGCAGCCTAACAACAGTAAAAGCTGTTCATTTAACACAATCATCTTCTTACTGGCTGAACTGTTTTCTGAGTGACCACATGATTTAATTAGCTTATCTTATAACTGTTACTGAGGTGATATCATGGAAAAAGTCTTGGTTATAAAACTATATGCAGAAGCTTAATGAAAATTCTGTTAATATGCAGATCTAATTCTGTTTGCGTAGCTCTGTTTAGACAGCTGTTCCACAGCTCGTTGACTCTTAGTTTACGATGATCTCTGATTCCAAATTGAAGGGATCATTTTGTTCTATCTTTTGACAACTGCTGTGTCAATGGCATTATATGATCCTTTAGGGGATTATACAGTGGATTAAAGTTTCTTTGTTTGTGCTACTGTAAGTCCAACTCAGCTTATCAAAATGGGTCACATCAGGACAAATATGAATGGCAGATAGCAAGAAAAGTCCAGAGAGCAAATGGTGGATCAGTAATAGGCTTAATGCATAGAGGTATGGCTAAAGCTTAAATTCTACTGGAGTTATATTTGTGATGAAACGCAGTTTCTTTGCTCTGGCCTGGTGGAGACTTTTCCATGGTGTAAAATCTGAAGCTACAATGAACGACACACCTCTTCTTCAGTCCCACCTCTGGATATCTGCTGACATAACCTGAAATGACACCAACATCAGAGCAAAACATTTTGCTATTGCCTACATTCTACAAATTAGATCATCAGATTAAAGCAGTTTTCAGATGCTGATTATGAATAACAGATGCAATTTTTGGATTACTTTTTAATAACCAAGTTCATTAAATTAATTTACTGCATTCTCATTTAAAGTCACTGTGAATTGGAAAAAATATATTTTTCCTCTGTACTATGACATATTTCTGAGTGAAACGTATCAGGGAGGGTCTCTGAGCTAGCTGAGCATTTCACTTAATGATAGGTGGGGGTGGTAAGAGGGGGAGGTGAAACACAATTATTGGGGAAATTTATTTTTCCCCACCTGCTGGCGCACAGTGACGTAATCAAAACTTTGGTTTTTTTTAGAGATGCAAAAGTCTTCACATTTTCATGAAAATTGCAGAAACCATTTTTTCTTTCTTTAAAACAGTATGATATGATGCATTTTACTTAATATGACCATGTGCAACTAAGAAAGTAAAAAAGTTAATTATGATGTTGGGTTTGTTTTAAAAGTGGTATATGCTGCACTGTTTAGAGCACATTTCACCAAAATCTAGTTATGCACTATATGGCCAAAAGTATGTGGACAACTGACCATCACACCTATGAGTTTGTTGGACATCCCATTTTAAAACCATGGGCATTAAAATGGAGTTGCCCCCATTTTGCGGATATAACAGCCTCCACTCTTCTAGGAAGGCTTTCTGCAACATTTTGGAGTGTGTCTTTGGGAATTTGTACCCATTTGGTCAAAAGAGCATTTGTGAGGTCAGGCCTTGATGTTGGACAAGAAGACCTGGCTTGTAATCACTGTTCAAGTTCATCCCAAAGGTGTTCAGTGAGGTTAAGATCAGGACTCTGTGCAGGCCACTGAAGTTCCTCCACACCAAAATCTTCAAACCATGTCTGTATGGACCTCGCTTTGTGCACTGGGACACAGTCATGCTGGAACAGGAAAGGGCCTTCCCCAAACTATTGCCACAAATTCAGAAGCATATATATGTCTAAAACAGAGTTTCCAGCCTTTTCTATCTAGCAGCCCACACAACTGACCACAAACGTTTCCGCATCCCACAAGCCAACCAGATCACTTAAAGTGCAAACAAATATAATGCAATAATCAATTTAGGCTGTCAATGTTGCTTGATTTTATAATATAACCCAACAATAAACATCTTAAAATGACCAAACATTTTCTAACTCGCCTAATGAGTTAGCTGATGTTGTTTGGCAGTTACCAAGTGCTGGATGACATGCTGAATAAACAAAAGTTGAAATGAAAAGAGGTCTGGCTCAGTTCAATAGGTTTAGATGTGAATTTGTTTAGCCTCCAAAAAGACCTCTGAGCAATCAGCACGGAGTGGGGCTGAAACTGAATTACAAATATCCGAGCTGTATACGGAAGTTCCAGCTTCTGAATGAGGTGGTGAAACTCTGTGTTCCTTTTACTTTACCTAAATAGAAAAAAGCCCACCCAATGTCATCATTTGCCCATTTTCTGAGGAGCAAAGAGATCTTTGTCACCTGAAGCCTGCCTGTTTGTTTGTTTTTGTCATGGCTTGATAAAGCTTGGTACTCACTGCTGTATGTTCTTAGTTTCGGTTAATATTTGATTTTCTTGGTTTTCTTAGTGTGAGATATGATGGCCATGTCACTTGTAGGTGGCCCAACCTTGGAATCGCCTTTGAAAAACCCTGTTTATAATCGTTAATCCATGATGGTGACTTCCATACGATCAAAAAGAGAAACTTTGACTTGTATAGAAAATGTAAACATTTTGTCTGACTAATAAATGAGGTTGACCTAATATGATGTTCTATTTTTTCAAATAATCAGTAATATTTAATATTTAAAATAACATTTGCTTAAATGTCTACATATTGTTAAAAAAGCAGCCACATAGCAGTATCACTGTGGCCTACTGGGGGGCCGCAGTCCACAGGCTTAAAAACAAAACTCTACTTCACCAAATTTTACTGTTGGAACTATGCATTCCAGTTAGTAGCATCCACCTTCAATTGTGTTGCTCCACCTTCGATCCAACCCTTCAACTGTGCTGCTATTTTACTGTTTTTATCTTTTCAATCTTTTACTTATATTCCTGTGTAAAGCATGCAAAATAGATGTTTAATGTCATAAACATATTAACAATATGACCATCATTAAATGTTTAAAGACACATTTAATTGTCAAACAGCTGTTTTTCTTACCTGATCTCAACTCTTAAATATAATAAAAATCTGACTCATGTTTCATCTGTAGGGAAAAAAAAACAGACATGCTAAAAGTTAGAGACTTCCATATCCATGTATCCAAAGCCAAATACAATTTGCCATATAGCCTAAAAACGTTCAGAATAACACACAAAAGCAGTGTGAATGGGCTTTCTCAGGCTGCTGTAAAAATCAGCTATAGGAATATCAAAGCATGAATAGCAGAACTATGACAGGCACAGACTGACAACTTGAGGATGTTTCATCTACTGTAAGTGTGTTTAATCATTCTGGTCCTTAAAATAACAAAATAAACACCTGAACCCCTGAGCTAGGTTTGTGTTTGCAGTAGTAACACACTGAACCCTGAAGGATGAAGATGTACAAGTGTCCAGTTTTGTCCACAAAGGGCCAGGGTGACTGCAGGTTTTCATTCTAATGAAGCAGAGGCATATCTGATTTCACTTATTTAATCAGATGGTCTCAGTCTTCCAGCAGTAGGTTAGCTACAGGAGGTGAGCTCCTGCTTCCTTGAAATGGAAACCTGCAGCCACACCGGCCCTTTGCAGAGGAGTCTGTTGAGCCCTGGTGTAGTTGGTGGACGTTTTTACCCGTCTCTCCTCATCTCTTGTTCGTCTTGGCTCGTGGCTCTGTCTTTCTCTGAACACTCTGCTGGACCTGAGGGGACTGCAGGAGGACCCCTCCATACTGCTCACAGAGCTGCTGAGCGGAGAGTGGGGCGGGCTACCTTCTAACAGACACATGCACACAAAATCTGTCAGTGCCAAGAATCTGTACTGAAGCCTTAATAATACCTGAACAACAGTACTCGTGTCTTGTTAGTTGAGGGCTGCAAAAAATGCAGCTTATGACAAGTAAACATGTAACCGTCAGAACAAAACCTCGCATCTCCAAAATAGTAATTTTTCAGGAGAAGGCAGAAGCGGTTTTAAATTGTAATGGAAGTTAATGTAACAAGATTTTTTGGACTATTTCTGTTGTTCCAAAATTTATGAAATTTCAACATCAGGCAAAGAGCAACTAGAGTTTTCAAATTACACAAAAAGACAACAAAAATGTACATACAAGGTTTATGGTGTGACTGTGACGATATGCAATCCAAATTCAAATATTTTTTGACATTGAGACAGTTATTTTGACCATTTGGAAAAAAATAATGTCGACAAAATAAAACTAACATGTATACCAATCCCTTTTACTGAATTAGTGCATAATGAAGTCTGACATTGCTATGTCTTGAGAATTATAAAGCACAAAGAGGTTCTGAGTATTTATACCTCAAAACACAGGCCATAACAGTCATATTTATCATATACATTATAGACACCATTTCATCTATGCGACTAACCTGCTCTTTTCCCCACTATATGAAAATTTTGCTTGTTTCAAGCATTATTTCTTGGTTTAGGCACTTCCACCAGATAAAATTACTTAAAACGAGAAAAAATGTGTAGAAATAAGTTCAATATTAGATGATTTCAATTGCCACGATATACATATTTGCAATGTTTGACATTCCAGTAATTATGGAATTCCAGTCATTTTACTAGAAAAATTTGTAAAAACTTGGAACAAATGCACAAAATCACAGTGCTTACATGTGATTAAATGCAAGTTGCTTTAGATTCCAGGTGATATCTTTAAAGAGAGAACCCAGATAGCAAATTTGATGTGGCCCAAACCTGGGCCATACACTGCATGGAATTATCCACATTAGAGGGCCAGATGTGGTTGCCAGAACCCAGCCTGTTTACTGTTATTAGAGTGCTGCATCTCAACCACCTTTAAACCACCACTGCCAGAACTGGCCCACTACCCAAAACCACTAGAACACCAGACCATTACAACAGCTTCACGGTACCATCAGGCTCAGAGAGGGCAGGCTGCCATGTGCTTCCCCATCTTTCACTACCAGCTGCAGATGGCAGTGGTGTGATTTGAACTCATGACCTTCTGACAGTGGTGCAGTTGCTTTGCCTATTGCTTCACTCTGCCAGCCTGATCCATAAGCCTACATTTCTAAATTAGCCTGAATGTCCAAAATGTCTACTACACTGTGAAAACAATTTGTTTTAATTTAAAGTAATATGGCTCACTTAAAAGTTTAAATTCATTGAATATCAAATAAGTTTTAGGGTTCTATTAACTTACTACTTGATGTTCAATGAACACATAATTTTAAGTAGACAAATTAAGCAGACACATTTTAAAATAAATCTGAATTAAACTGCAGACTAGGGTATGCAGTGGTGATGTTCCTAGTACTGAGGCGGTTTGCGTTGGACTAACTAAAATTAACATTTTAACCCAACATTATTCTTTGTTCAAATCACAAACAAAATGTAATGTACGTCAAAACATTTTAGGTTGTATGTTTTACAGTGTATCGTGCCGTACATGGCTGAGATCTGAATTTTAACTATGTGCCCCCACCATCTTGTTAATCCCTTTGTAGAACATAAAAGATTGTCATGGAACTCATGTCAGCACTGGCAATCTTTGTAAGAAGTGGCCCAGATCTGTTTGAAACATGAGGGCCATACGAGCATTTTTATTATGTGAGCCACTTTTGGCTCATGTGCAGTTTGCCGGTGCCGACTTCGGGCCAGCAGTGTCATGTCTTTGCCAGAAGCGGCCTACATCCGCATGCTATGTGAGAGGGATATGTCAAGTACATGTACTGCCCATCTGTCCCTGCCCTTGGCACATGATACCAACATACTGCTGATATACTGGCCCTATGTGTCCAGTCAGACAGTGGAAATGGCAGTGATGTGCAGTACCAGATGCGTCGCTGTTCTGCGTGTCCATGTGCTCCAGACTGTTCAGCAGCTCATCAATCTGATTCTTTATCACCTTTAGCTCTCTCTTAATACACTGGAGCTCCTCCATCCTCACTGCACGTGGAGAGATCAGAGCAAAGGGGCTTTATTCCACCCATCCCAGACTCTTGAGACTTGCCATATTACAACATCTTTAATGATGGAAACAGCTAAGAACCTGACCCCTCTTTCATAGCATAATACTTCTCACTTACCCTCGACTTTCACCACAGCGAAATCTCACTCCAGCAAAGCAGCTTTTAAAAAGCTGTTTTGACCTCACAGCTACAAAGGCAAACTCATTTCTCTCTGATCCACCAACACTAAAAACTATTAGTGCTTAGAATAAAGCAATATAAACCCTTCTTATGGGCAATGCACTATTAATTTGGTATAATTGCATGAGGTTTGATTACTGAGGGAGTAGAGCCTCTGGAGGAGAGTGAATTTAATGAAGGAACCATCTGGAGCTTGACAAGAAAGAAACATGCACACAGCCACACACACAAACACACACACACACGTACCACAGCCTTTGGGCAGACAACTTATTAACATGATTAAAATGCTTACATGTTGTGAGTGAGAGAGAAAGGCAGAGAGAGATTCCTTTACAGTGAAAAAGGTGAGGTATCGAATTTAGTTAAATGTATACGTCATTTCCACAGACATAAAATATATCAGCACAATTGACCATTTGTGAAATTATGACTGATACATCTCTCAGCCAAGCACAATCGTTTCCCAATGGTTAAACATTAAAAACTTTTTCACACTTGCACATGCCTCATATCTAAAAAAGTGGGCCTCTGAAAAACCATCCATTGAAAAGTTATTTTGGGAGCCACAAGTGGTTCTTCTATGCTATCGCTCCAAAGAACCCATTTTGTTACCTGTATTTCTAAGAGCATAGCTGGAGAAACAGCTTTGTGATCTTCCATTTACTTCAGATATCACAAACATATAGTACACATACAGTAGCCCACTGTGCAAAGGTCTTAGACAGCCAAGAAAATTATTTAAAACTATTTATTTGGCAGTATGTCTTTGCCATTAAAACATTATATGACATAAGAATAAATACATACGAAAGTAAATACAGTGAAAAATAAGATATATAACATTAAAGGAAAATGTTAACTTGATAAATCAGGTCAATTAGCTTGATAAATTAGGTGGCTAAACAGGACTGTGCAGCGTTCACATTTGTGATTAAAAACAAAATATTAATGCACTCGTACACATGCTGTTCTTTGTGTTATTGTTATTTAAGTTTGCAGAAAGACGTCAGGTGATATCTTAAAAGCGAGAAGGGTGTCATGTACATGTACTGCCCATCTGTCCCTGCCAGTGCCCCTGGCACATAATACCAACATACCTCTGTTATATTGGCCCTGTGTCCAGTCAGACAGTAGAAAAGATGAGTCCTCCTTAGCTTTGATTATTTGCAGTGTTAGCTTTAGCACTAGCTCATCTGAAGGGGTAGCTTCTGTCACTACAGGCTTCTCCTTATTACACATGATAACCCCATTTTACAATGAGTGACTTGTTTGAAAGATGCAAATTCTGTTTTATTCACTTCAAATTGGCCTACATGCATATTTTTGTGAGTTCTCAAACATGAATTCTGCACAGAACATCTGGTGAAGCCAGTTTATTTTTGAATGAAAACTGGATGCTATCTGGTAGCCTGTTCTGAAAGTATGACGGATGTAGCAACAATAACTAAGGAATGCAGGACTTTTCAGAATTTTCCAAAAGGTCAGTTATTGCCAAAACTACATAAATTGAAAGATTGTTACTGTAATGTATTTTATTCATGTGGAAGTGACGTACACCTCTAAACAAAGTAACTTCACTGCATCATTTTTTTCAGAGATCACGGTGTGGCTGATATGGTTTAGATTCTTACAGTGAGCTCCTCTAGAGCTGGAGTAGCTGATCCTGGATCTGCTTTTGGTCAGTTGCTTGCTGCACTGCAGGGATGAAGAGGAGGAGGAAGAACGTGGTCGTTTTGGAGGGTTGGTGTTATTTGGAATCATTTTAATTGAGACAGGACCAGGATGATCAAAACCCCTATTGAGGAAGAAAACACATTAAACACATTAGGGGGGTGATCTGATAAGCTTTGCTGGTTTTTCACATCATGAGCTCAAAAGAAAATTTCCAGAAATATACAATAACAATAAATATATCTATCTGTCTGTCTGTCTGTCTGTCTATCTATCTATCTATCTATCTATCTATCAATCAAAAGCATAAGAGTTCGCATCCATATTAGCATTCAAAAACTGTCTGAATCTTGTTGTCTGTAATATCAATCACAAGTTTGTTATCTCCAACCACTAGCTCCACTTCCCTGTCCATAACTCAGAAATACTGCAGCTGATCAAAGCTGTGGTAATTATGCTAGCCAGACACATCTTTACTAGCATTATGCAAGAGCCCCCTGCTGCTCACAAAGCACTTCTAACTGTGCACACTCTCACTACTTCTTTGCAAATCTGGAAAAGAGCTTCCTTATAAAAACTTTAGCACAGTTTAGGAGCTTTAAGAGCTTTGATTTAAAGGACTAGTGAGTTGTCCATGAAGTGTGAGATGTGGTCTTGTCATGCTGTGTGGTCTGAGATTGCGGCCTGGTCCCAGTGAGGGCTGGAGACATCCGCTGCTACTGACAAGGACATAATACATACATGTAGATTAACAGAATGAACTGACTGAAATGTTTACTGCTTACAGCAGTTTTAATCTCAGAGTAATGGAGTACACTGAGAAACTCATGCTTCACATTAAGGCTGTCGTGAGCATAAATTTTAAAAATAATTAAATTGCAATGATTAGTTGACAGTTTGTATGGCATAATGCATATTTTAAATTCCTCTACTGCTCTCACTGACAGTAAGAAACAGACACACCCATTTCAATGCACTTTTTAGAGCGTTTTTTAATTTTTTAATGAAGTCTTCTTTTTAAAGAGCTCATTGTTTAAGTATGATTTGTTATTGTTCAGTATAAGTCCATTTTTATGGCCTAAAACTCAATTAATTGTCTAATTAATGAGACGATTTCTGGATTACTATTATAATAGATAGAGACAGCCCTACCTGTGACACTCACAAATTAAGGGATTACGATCTTACGTTTAGTAGAAAGGTAAAAAATTACCTTTCATAGAACTCTTCTTGGTAGCAGCCACATTCAAGATGATTCTCATCTCTAAAAAGAAAGAAATGAAGTCTGGGGAAATCTGGGGATGCTGAAGAGTGAATTCTATTATAGTGCGCTGTACACTGAAGATTCACCTCCCACAATGCTTTTGCATACCTTACATCTCTGAACTGACAAACCTGAGCAACAGGGAAGATAAACAACCTAACTGTTAATATAAAACCCAAAGATTCTTCACACATTAGTTCAGTTCAATAGGCCAAATCTATGCATGGATCAGTAAAGGTAGAAATGGAGAGAGAGGTATTGATGGAAAACACAATTACATACTGATATTGTCAGGCTGATGTCAGAATCTGAAGTTAATGTCAAATTCATGCTCTCAAGCTTAATGGTTTTTGATTATTGCCTGATGCCTAATTTGTGCTCAGGCAGCAAGATACTAATCTATAACTGCTGCTTTCAAAAACAAGCAGTAAGTGTAGTTTAAATATAACCGCACATTTTCTAATAGCAGAAGTATAAAGAAACTTTACACTGCTGGGGAAATGTGCATCCTAATGATTCTCAGACTACACATGCATTTCTAGGAAAAACCTTTAATTGGTATAGAACCATCACATTATATGGAGGTTATTGAAACTTAAAAGGTTCCTTAGAACCTTAGAACACATACAAACTCAAATACAGTAAAAAGTAACAAGAATTTCATATTTCAAAAGTTATTACTATTGTTATCAAATTTGTTAGATGAAAATAGCTTTGGCTCCTGACCGGTCGTTAGATTTAAGGTAGGTTTAATTCAATCACCAGCAAACCTGATTTCATGTAAGGAAGAATTGATAAGGTAAACAAGGGTTGCATCCAAAACTGCATACTACTGTACTATACATACTATACTGCCGGATGCACTGCTAATGGTGTTGTACTATTTTTGACATACTATTCAGTATGGTAGAACATGGTTTTGGATGCAGTCTATGTATTGGATGGTAACTGTAAATAATGGGTTTCCTCAAGGAGAGGTTTGGAAATGGTTAATAACACACACGTCAAACAACAATGTGTTGTTTATTAGTATCTATTTTAATATTAGTGGGTTTTTGAAACAAAACTAAATGCTTACTGCCCAGATGAATAGCTCAATATATCATTTTTTTCTGATGCTTAATACAGTCATTACACACAAGCACACACACAGTATGCAAAAGAAAAAATGTAAACACTGTAATTTAGATTGTCTAAAGCTAGTAAGAGTTTTCCTCAAGGCACAAGCTGGTTCCTCAGGCATAGTTCATTACCTTGCATTCCTGCACTGTCTGTCTATCTGTCTGCTCAGAGAAATCAACATCTACTTCCCTTCCTCTCTACACCATACAGAACGCTAGTGGTATGATTTGTGTGCGGCTGAAAATGTATAGAAGACTGTAGCATCATAGTTTTTAGCTCATCATTGGTGTAAATTCTAACACAGCAGTTATGATAAAGTCTATAATTGAGCCATGATGTCTCTCTTTATGGGCTCCTTGCTTCAGAGGAGATCATTCTGCTCTACAAAATGAAGCTAAGAACAGCAACCACTTCATCATTGGTGCATCTGTTAGTGCTCCTAAACTGCAAATTTATGCAGAGCAGCAGAGTACTCTGACTTACACAGAACAAAACTGAACACTCTGGACTGAGAGCGAGTGAGAAAACTTGCCAGTTCACGCATCAGAAAACTACACTCTTAAAAATAACAGTTCCTAAATGGTTCCTGATTTGGATGTATTGTAACTTTTTCAAGTGGATGTTCTTAAAATTAAGGGGAAATTTACCACTACCACCCCGTTTTACCACTATTTACCATTAACAACATCAGATGTAAAAACTAGAAGACATGTAGGTTCATTGCTCATTTTGTATAGAAAAAAAGGCTATAGTTGTTTTACAGACCTCATGACCACTGGTTTCTACCAGCACCACTGCAAAGAAATCTAAGTCAGTACGTTTCTCTACAATTAACCATTTCACATAAAACCAATCTGAATGACTTTGTTCACATCTTATCCACTGGATCATGCAGAACTTTGGAAATTTGGGGGAATGCCCCTTTAAAAAAGGTTTTTTCACGCTTGCGCATCCTATTTATAAAATGTTTTTTTTTAAAGAATAATCCACTGAAAACTGAAGGAACCAAAAGTGTTTGTTCTATGGCATCGCAGCAAAGGATCCTTTTAAGAATGTACCATTATGACATTGCTGCCTTTTGTCTTTTCATATAGCCTATATTGTCAGCTTCAGTTATTGCGCTGTATTTTGTATGAATCTCTTTGATTCTACCATAAGTCTGCTTGTGTGTCTTGCCTGCATAAAACAAAGCTGCAGGTTCCCCCACAGGAATCCAGATTGATTAATCCAGACTGAGTGTTCACACTGATCTGAAAAGAACCATGACTGCTGGAGCATGACCGAGCTTAATGGAGTGGAGGCATTATTTCATGCCACTTGCACACATCTCCATAAACAAAGCTGTACAGGAAACTTTATGCTCACATGATCATAGCATCTCCGTACGCAGATACAACATCCTTTAAAAAGCACTGCTTTATTTGGATGAATAACTTGAGAATGAAGCTAAGTGATGTTTTACCATTTGCAGAGTTAAGGATTGCATCTCAAAATAAACGCTGTCTCCTAAGAGTCTAACGATTTCAATACACTAAAAAAGTCCTGCACAGTTTGGTGGTTTTATTACTCAAACACACCTGATTCAACTCAGCCACTAATTGCTTCATTTAGTGGGTGTGTTAAGAGTAGGAAAATCACCAAACTGTGCTAGACACCAGCCCTCTAGGACCACAGTTTGCCACCCCTGGTGTACAGACTTCTCTCCTTTGCTGTCTTTTATGGAAACCACTGTCAGTGATTAAAACAGGCATCTGGGTGCAAGCTATCTATTTTTGTATAGATTATAGATCATCTTTTTATAATATTATTGTTTTGCACACAGACAGGCTACTTTTAAATCTTTGAGAATTAAGACATTGAACATAAGAATTGAAAATCAGATTGACCCAGGAAATATGCCTTAAAATTTTGAGTTGATTGAACTTCTAACAGTAAGTTAACAAAACAAGAATCTGAGTTTTACATTCTGTTGACTTACTATTAAAAATTTACACCATAAAATAAACACCATTTTATATATATATATATATATATATATATATATATATATATATATATATATATATATATATATATATGGTAGCCATACCTTACTGACATACTGAAATTAGATGTATATAAACTGGACATAAATCACACACACATTCACACTCCTCAACCTGTCTGAAGAAAATTCTTCATTTTTCCTGCAAACAATAAACAGTTAGTGTCATCATCAGTCATTTTCCGCTGTGCATGCACAGACAAATAAGACACAAAGCACACACCATCCATTCTGTCATACATCGCTGACTCCTCTGACAAATTCCATTGCATTGAATTTCGAACAGAAAAAAACCCCGTCTAAATAGGAGACTGTAATTGTCAGGACTGTAAAGGTTGCAAAAAGATGACAGATAATAAACTGTTCTGCCAGTGTTCTCCTGCAGGTCTGTGACAGCTTTGTTGAATGTGTTCAACACTTCTTCCACTTGCCTGGAAATGTATCACCCATAAAAGTTTAGAGATGGACAGGCAGGGCGATTGTGGAAACAGAAATGATGACCCCTATACAGACAGGGGCAGCATTTGCTAGCCTTCACTCTCCCAGCGTGGTAGCATCGTGTGAATACAGGAGACCTAACTAGTGACTGGAGTTGGCAAAAGACTAAACTGGGGAGGAATTGGGTAATAAATAAATAAATAGGAAAATAATGCTATGAAATTATTTGCGAAAAAGATGTAAATCTCCTAAACAAACAAAATTACTACATACTCATGAAAGCCAAACATATGGCAGTGGGACAGCAAATTCTAGCTGCTGCTGTCAATGATGGCCTGCACTGCAGAGAGCTGTGCCTCAGTGCTTACTTACTTTTACATTCAGCTAGTTATAAGCCAATAAATACTGACTAGTCAATACTGGCAATCAGGACAGGGATCATGTCAGCTCCGTTACAGTGGTTAGGCTTTATGTTAAGTACATGGATAGTAGTTCCACTCCTGTGAAATTTAAATGAGCTGTTAGCTACCAGAGTGACGTGCCTAATTAAACCCAAACTAGCAGCATGTCTCCACCACTACACTACACTATGACTTCACTACAAACACTTTGGCCTGTGGTTCTGGGATTCGAGTTCCGTCCTGCATATTTTGGTGTTTTTTCTGCTCTAATGCACCTGATCCTATAAATCAATGAATTAACAAGCCCTTCCTGAGTTGAAGTGATAGAATTAGAGCAGGGAAATATGCCACAGAGAGGGGGCTCCAGGACCACTGTTTAAAACCACTGACACAGGTTTAAGTTTTGACTCTCGTAACTTAGAATACAATTTAAATGAGAGAATAGGTTTCTGTGTTTTGTGGAGGACATAAATATAATGTTGGAACAGAACATCATGAAGCTTGTTCTCAAAATGCTTCTCAGATCTTCTGTCCTCCTCATCATATTCCCTCTCATTTTAGTAGGACTAATATGACTGACTCAAGATTTTTTTAATAGTCTCTTTTCGTAGATGAGACATGGTGTGGAACATCAGCATCAAAACAAACTTAGGCTCTCTGCCTAAATAGAATAGTGTCTCTGACTGTGACTTTCTGATGAGCCTGAGGCTTTCACAATTATTGAAGGTGGGAGTAACTTGAGTAATGAAAAGGAAATCTGAAGAAAACTAAGCCCTTGAAAAAAGAAAAAAAGGAGAGTAAACTACAGACAGTTATAGAAAGTAGAGCAGACTGCATGCTCAGAAATGTCAAAACAGGGATTTACATTAACAAGAGAAGCAGAGACTATCCGTCTATGATCTGATGTATGAATGTATGTGGTCATTCAGATAAATTAGAAGTAGATTGAGGTGAAACAGACAATGAGCAGCTGTATTGAGTACGCCATTGAAAAAGGAAGTTATAGAAAGACATGGATGGTGTGAATGAAACTGCATTCTAAAACTGAATACATTGCTTTTGCAAAATCTGTCAATAGCTACTTTGACCAACACACCTAGAAAGGTGCACAAATCCATTTTACTGCAGTTAACAGCAAAACACAGGTCCTGAGGTGCTCAAATAGGGATTCATATCCCAATTCATAACCAAGGTGGTGTGCTTTCCTGGATTAGCTGCTCTCTCTGGAGCCTGCAGCCTGTGCAGGCCAGCCAGATCCCAATACAGAAGCTCTGACCTGCGTTCACTCTCCATCGGCCTGTCTGTCCACCTGCAGCTTCGTCTCTCTGTAACCCAAACTAATGATAGCCCATTAGAGAGCCAGGCTGGACAATACAGATATAGAGACAGACTGGAGGGGGCTACACTGAAGCACTGCTAGCTCATGAGGGAGGAAAAGAAAGAGACAGAGAGAGTCAGGATGAGTCTATAATCACAGAAACACAGCCATGAGACAGAAATACTTTCCCTCAAATCCCCTCACCATCTCTCTCTTTCTGTCCTCCCTGTGCCTCAACCTCTCTATCATGGAAAAAACAGTCATTGTTGTTTCAGTTGTTATGCATGTGTGACTCACAGGGTTATTTTAATCCATGCACATACAGTGTTCAACCTCATTTCACACTGTAAACTGTCAGAAAGAGGGTACTGTCCAGGTGAATTTTAGTCCCCTAAGGTACAAATAGTGTAAATGTGCCTTCAAAGGTATAACATAAGTTTTAAAGGTACACTACATTGACTTTCCCAGGGGAAGGGGCATATTTAAGCCTTTTCATAACTTAACTATTCAAGCACTATATTAGATTTTTTTTTAATTGAAAGAAGTAGCATTACTGAGTCTGGAGAAAAAAACAAAAGGAAGGATCGGCTCGATGCTATCAAATACAATATCAACATTATGATGACAATAGTAGATAATTCACTTGCATTCTTGGAAGACACATAATTCACCAAGTTTTGACTTAGTTCTCTTTGTCTGCGTCCAAAACAGCATACTACACTTACCTAACTAATGAATGGGCTTCTAATGATAGCATACTAGTTTTTTAATTATGTTCCCTAACAAAAGGTACTGAAGACGCACCCTTGATGGTTTCACTCACAGCAATTGTTCCCTGAAAGGTAGAGTTTTTGCATAGGGTCTACATCACTACTGTAGCAGGCACAGAATGGAGTGGAAAGGAGAAAAGAGCCGACTGCATGGAGGAAACATTAATGACAGAATGAGTGATGATGACATGTAAAATTAAAATGATAGATATCCAAATCAAACAATTAAGCAAACACAATGTATCAGTACAGCATATTAGACAGATTGGTGCGAGAGAGCTCATCATTTTACTGCAGAGATACAGACACTGTCACTGCTCATTGTCATGCATGGAAATAACAGATCATTTGCTGGGAACTTCCAAGGATCACTTTCTGCTCTGTGTGTGTTTGTGTGTGTGTGTGTGTGTGTGTTGGTGTATACCTGTACCCATCAGCGCTGCAACGTTTCACTCCTGCTTTGTATCTGCAGGACTGTAGATCCCCAGCCATACTACTGTCTGAAAAAAACACAACTCGTTTTGCTCTAATGAGTAAAAAAGACAGAGTGGAGACAAAAGCCATTGCACATTCACCCAGTGACTGTTTGTTGATGCATGTATCTTTTTTGGTTTTGTGAATACTCTTTTATGCATGTTCTATTTTCCCCTTCTAAAACACACAAAAGAAATGATTAGTGTTTTTTACTGCTGAAATTTGCAATCAACATTATTACTTGTAATCTGCTCCTGAGCTTTATATAAACACTCTTTTAAAACTTAATAATTTTTTTGATTCTATTACATTCCAACACTAGATTGGTGAGTAACCGTATGTCATTGAATGAATGCTATAGTCCAGTTACATTGTAATGTATACCGTATCTGCACTAAGAGTACACAGAGACACCTAACAATGGATAGTGCTGTCAAATAATATAGATCCTTATAGTTCTAGATATCTATGAAACAGGCAGAGATACAGCCGGCTTAAATCCATCCATGTGCCTAACGTCTCAGAACATCACCAAGTTGTTACCACCACAGAAGAAAGCCTGATATGAGCAAAGAAATGAAAAAGTATCGCTACTATTGTAAAAAGTGACTCAAACTTACATTTTAGGCTGCGATGTTCACTCTTGAACAAGGTCATTTGAAAACTGAAGGAAATTCTGCTGAACGACCACCAGAGTCAGAAGAGATCCGTATATTTCCTCAAAACACACTGAGTCAGTAAGTGTGTTTTAGAGCTGGACTGGCAGGCTGTACCATCACTGGAATGCAGAAAACATGTGGGGGGTTTATAAACGTGACACTGGATTGTTCCATTTCATATTAGATCATTTTTATATTAGAGTGAGGGAGAGTAACAATAAAGAATAAACTGAGGATGAAAGATCCCACACTAGGCATTAAGTTGCCCATTAAAACTGACAAAGTGATGTTTTATTTTCACTGTTACTTTTTAATTAGGTAAGAAAAAAATACCTGCAAGGGTCTTGTTAACATAAAACATCTATTTATTACTAAAACTTTAGGTATATTTTGCAACACACAACTTCATGTTTCATCAAAGTATCTTTTTTGTATGAAGAATAGATTTTGCTAAATAACAATTTGACACTTTACCAAAATGAAAGCGTTATGAAAAAACTATAAGTTAAAACCTCATATTAAAAATCTTTTTGCCCAAAAGTGGTTTAAACATCTGAAAGACCTGAGTGCTGATGTACATCAGAACATGGGGAGAAGAAAAATATCAAAACAGTTCTTTCTTTCATATGCATTATTGAATATAAATTATTACAAACTGATAAAGCAAACATACATACTTATTACAAAAAAGTTTAAGAGAAATAAATACCACTGATGTCTCAGAATTTCTGCATAATTCAATTGTTGAGATGTAAATAAAGTAATTTAGAGTGGCTTGATGTGAATTGGTTTGCAGCGGAGAAACTTACTGACGTCTGATGTCTACAACGCAAATATTGCCATTTTATTTACTATCTATAAAGAGCAGTGAACCTACATGTCTTCTAAGTTTTTATTTGGAATGTCGATGATGGTAAAATAGTGGCAAATGTCCAAGATGTCTGGTTCCTATCACCAACACTGTGAACAGTTCAGACATGGTAAATTTCTCTATGGAGCATTTCACACCAAACCACTCTGAATGACTTTGTTCATATCTTTATCATTTAATTACGGAGACATTTTGAAAAATTGATGGAATTTTTATTTTAAAAAGTGCCCCCAAACTTTAGATGAGCACAGCTGTTTCAGAAGCAACAGTCACAGTTCACTACAGCGATCATATTATGAAAATCAGTGGAACAATAACTCAATCAACACTGGCCTTTCCTATTAAAACAGGATCTAGTTGAGTGGCTTCCTCTTATAGGTTTGAAAAGCTCATTAATTCAACTTGAGTCTCTGTAACAGAAAAGAAAGCCTCTCTTCACCCTGCTAGCTGCCAGTCACTGGGGAAATATGTGTATAACCATTTGTTAAATGGTAGAAGAAACAGCCTTAGGCCAAGCTATTACTCATCTCCATCTCTCCTCACTACTCCGTCTGCTGGGAGACAGGAGACACTGAGGGAGTGACAGTGGGGGAAATACATTTAAAAAGTGTCTTGAAGATGCTGATAAAATGAAAATATTCTGGTGCGTTCACTACAGCATCACTTGTAATGCCTGAGGCTGTCACATATAAGGAATGGCTGACAGTAAGTTTATTCATTAGACTATTGCTGAGACACAAAACTGTTTTGAATAACCATTTTGATGTGATCACATTAAATCAGGGCTTTCTAACATGTGCTTACAGAGCACTAGATTCTCCACAGCTGTTGTAGTGAGATTATTACTGTAGCCATCCTCACAGCCATTATCAGGGTTCATATGCTGTAAATACTATAATGGAAAATCCACAGTAGATGAGGCGCAGCTCTTTGGCACCACCCTACGGACACCGACCACAGTGCACTTAACAGATCCCTCTTTCTGAGCTGCACACATCACTAACAAACTCAACTTCCAGTAAATGTAAGTTGTGCCTATGCAGTTACTGAGAGTTACTGAATGTCACTAATGAAAGCCAGTTGACTTCAGTGATATAAAACAAAGTAAGTGAACTCTACAAGTTCTCTGTTATACACATCATCACCGTCAATCAACAATTCTGGGCGGAACCTCAGAAGGCACAGGCAGATATGTATGTGCCTGACTTTATTCGTGAACAAACGCAACACAGCTAGCACACGACTGAAATAAATCAGTGACACGTTTACAGTTTACTGTACTGACTTGCATGACAATGAAAACGTGCTAACTTGCTAACTCTGGCCGAGGGTCCTTGGGAAGTGAAATCAGGACAGGGATGTGAAATCGGGCTTCACACCGATTTATGAGGAGTCTGGCCTCTTCCTATTTCTCCCCCTTATATCACAAACATGACTGCAAAACACCAGAGGGCGCCCGCGAGTGAGTCCTCAATGAATGGGATGATTTGAGCTCAATGGCTAAAAATTCAAAGTTAACATAGTTTCTAATCACTTGCTTGGAATTTTTCTGTAATTTTAGAATGTAGACGTTTGTATATCACTAAAAAAAACAAAAAAAAACTTACCTGTATGTTTCCTTTTTCTTCAGCAAACGGGTTTTGGGCAGCAGGACGCTGGCATTACTGCTACTGAGTGCTGATTGGTTGGCGAGCAGAGCAGCTCCCTGACGTCATAAACGTATATGAGGCGCCGTTTTAAACTCCTATAACTCGAGTTTAAAAGGTCTTTAAAATCTAAAAGCTGTGTTAAAATGTTTTATGCTGTTTTGAATGTATTATTTTACATGAAAAATGTTTAAGCATTTATAAACTATGATTTTGCTCCCGCTCAGGGGCGCCCTCTAGTGTTTGAGAAACCCGGAAGACATTACAGAGTGGCAATTCCAGAGACCACTAGTTGCCTGTAGAGCACCTGTAGATCCCACTAGGAAACCGTCAAATGCATTAAGAATCAGCCATTGCTGACCTGCTAAACCTTTAGGATCCTTTGTATCAACCCATTAACAAAGTAAAAACACATTACAAAACCGTCAGGAAGCAAGAGAAACACTTAATGGTTTCTATGGCAGGAAGATCACTCGAGACGGATATCAAAAGCAAGTTTGAACAGGAGACACACACACACACACCATCCTACGTGTGATATATAGAAACAGAGTTTGTACATACATAATAAAGACATTTCTTATCGATTAGCTTCTAATGTTTATCTTTTTTTCCTTATTCTGGTTGCCAGAAGCCTTCTTTACTGCAAACTTCATAAATATTATTAATTTTAGGGCTATTATGAAATTTATTACGGACTCTGGCCATTTAATCATGATTATAAAGATAAATGCCGCTATTGCCTATAAAACAGCTGGAGCCCTATTAAAGATATGTTAGCTTTAATCGTAATGACAGAGTGGTGAAGCACGGCCATCGTTAAGTGTAGCTCCCAGTTTTCTATTTCTGTCCTTCATAAATGTGGTTCTTCACCAGATTAAAGGCGCGTCTCTCTGCTCTCTCTCTCTCTCTCTCTCTCTCTCTCTCTCTCTCTCTCTCTCTCTCTCTCTCTCTCTCTCTCTCTCTCTCTCTCTCTCTCTCTCTCTCTCTCTCTCTCTCTCTCTCTCTCTCTCTCTCTCTCTCTCTCTGAGCAGGACTGGTGCATTCAAAAACATCTCGACTGAACCGAGCTGAGCTGCAGAGACGGCGAAGTTACTCTAACGTTTCGACTGTAAATGACTGAGTTTTTTTTGTAGACTACAAATTTCTTCGGAATCTCCAGTAAGTTTCACTCACAGCAGCTTCTGACCTTTTATCGAAGCTGACTCCCGAGTTGTGTTCCAGTCTCGCCAGCATGTATCGTGGTGTGCTGTTTTTGGGGATTCTGTTCACATGCCAGGTGCTCAGGTCTCAGAGTCAGGTGAGTGCTGAATCGGGTACACAGGTATAGCAGCCATTTAATACAAGTTAACAAATGTTAATGCAGTGGAACGAACAAACAAACAAAACAGTGGAACGTATTTGGCATGAATGCATTTTAATAGTCCAATTAGTGCACTAGTATATAATAATAAAAATAATATTAATATAATTAATTACTATTATTATCACTGCTACTATTAGTATTGTTAATAGTGGTGTTGTTTGTGTGTTTTTACTAGCCTGTTTCATAACATTTGTAATAATGAGCACTTAGAGACCCTTAGTTTGGAGAACCTTTATTAGAATTTAGCCACTTTAGGGATGCTTTAGGGTTCCCCTAATAAACTTCACTCAGTTTAAACGTGCTAGAATTCGGTACACTCAGAATACGGTCTGTACCCACTTACCTGTTGCCAAAAATATAGTTTTGTAATGTCCCTGCTCAAACTCACCTGATTCAAATCGTCAGTTAATTACCAAGTTTAGGAGGTGTGTTTGAGTAGGGAAATCAGCAAACTAGCATTCCTGGACCGGATTTGATAACACCTGCTGTAGAGTGAAGACACTTCATGTCCGTGTTATGGAGAAGAGAGAAAGTGACCCTGCTTTTCTCTTTAAATCTTCTCTGTCTTAACAGAGTTTACTGTTGGAGTGGCTGGGATTTTTACATGAGAGTTTTAGACTATTTCAAACATACTGTGCACATGAGAGTAGAAAATAGCTATTGCTATTGGTCTAATTAAGCACAGCTCTGAAAGGCCTGAAACACTGCATGGCTATTATTGTTTATGATAGTTGCTTTTATTAATGTGAAAAAGGGCAACCTGAATCATTCCATACCTTCTGTAAAGCAACCATTCAGTGGGCTGAAAACTCAAAGGAATAAAATGAGCAGCCATAGCAGCAGTATGATTAGTGTTGTGTACAATATATCACTCATTATGTACTGTATGGTGTGGGTTTGGACTCTACAGGACTGTGTGAGCAGACAGGAGCTGCAGAGCACTCTTCGACAGGTCCACAAGCTGCTCTCAGCTCACGAGACATCATTCTTACAAAACCTACGCAGCCTCCGCAAGAAACTGAGCCTGCTACAGAGCAGCACAGTCAAACCAAGCAACAGCACTAGCACAGGCAAGAACAAAACACTGCAAAATGACATATAACATAAAACAGAACAGTACAATACAAAAATATACATACCACAGTGTCAGATGGGGCTGTGCTAACCTATCCCCGGAGACAGATATTGAAATATGCATTTTATGTATTTACATTTAATTTTTCTCCTGTTCCGTCGCTGTGTGACCTCCATGTCTCACTTCGGGTGCCCTTTTGCCCAGCAGCAGGATGTTTGCCCCCAGATCCGCCAGCCAATGGTAGGATGCTGGGCAGAGTGTTCCGGGTTGGCCATGAGGTTCACTTTTTGTGTAGCCCCGGTTTTCGGCTGACAGGGGCGGAGACCAGGGTGTGTCTGGATTCCCTCACCTGGAGTGGAGAGCAGGCAGCATGCAAGGGTACAAACTATCAATTGATAACTTGTACATTAGTTTTAATTAACATTTAATATTACACATTTTATTATAGTAAGTGGTCTGATAATTCTACATGATTCTTGAGATATGCCCTATAGCCCAATCCACATTTCCACCCCTCAGCTGTAGATTCTGGGATAAACAATGATGCTACTTCCTCCGTGGCCACATCTACCTCATCCTCTTCCCCACCCTTGATCTCGGCCTATGTGCGTCCCTCCCGCTGCATTGAGTTCCAGGGCTCCAAGCACTGCACCTGTGAGCAGGGCTACAGCATCTACAGCCAGGACAGAGGCCTGTGCACAGGTAAAATCTCTGAGGAGGTAATCACTAGACACCGGGCTTTACTTTGAAAATGTAGTGGCAGAGTAAGAGAGCAAATCTAGAATTCCTCCTGTGTATTTGGTTAGTAGATGTTTCATTAGTGTACACACTTAAAGAAGATGGTTCTTCAAGGGTTTTTAGTAAAAGGCAATGTAAAGGCAATGGTTCTATTTAGAACCACGAGTTCTTTATAGAACTATTTCATGCTTAAGTTGTTCTTTGCATTTTGAATTGGTTTCTTCAGATTGATGGAAAAGGTATTGTATATGGTTCTAACTGGAAAGGGTTCTATATAGCACCACAAAGGCTTTTTTCTATTGTTACAAGCTTGACATTTTCAAAAAGGTTCTATGTAGAACCATAAACAACACATTTGTTGTTTATGGTTCTGTATGAACCATCAATTTGAAGAACTATTTCACCATGCAAAGAACCATTGCCTTCACCAAAGAACCCTTGAAGAACCTTCTTTTTTCAAGTGTGTATGAAATACAAAAATCAGCAGGTCCACATCTGTACAAAGACTAGATTTGTTCTTTCACAGCAAGACCAATGGTTGGATCTTTAACCCACAAAAATTGTTCTTCGCCTTCTCTTTACACATTCCTTCTTCTTCCACTGCAACATATTCTCTTACTGCACAGGACTTAATGACTTCATTGGAAATAGAAAGAAAAAGTGATGGAACATGTAACATGGAACAAACCATTCTGCATCCTGCACAGACATGCCAGTGACATTCTCCAAAAAATGACCTTGCTTCCTCTCTGACTTATGCAATGAAATATTGTTAGAAATATTGTTAAATAAGGTTCCTTCCAACTTCTAATTTGCTTACTATTCAAGAAAACCAGCCTTGATCTAACAAGTCTCATGAACTGCTGACCCATTTCATTCTTGAGGAGATCAACCTTCTCAACACCAAACAGTCCAGATTACAAGCCAGGGCTCAGCAGAGACTTCCTGTCTTCCTGTCAGTCACAGAATCTCTCCACAAAGCCAGGGAGAACTCTCTGTTCTCAGTCCTTATCCTCCTTGACCTGTCGGCTGCCTTTGACACCATGAACCACTGAATGCTTATTTCAGCTCTTTTGGATTTGTGCACCGACAGCTTGGTTTTCATCCTACCTTTATGATCAATCCTACCAAGTAGCCTAGAATTGATCTCTCTCAGCCCTTCTAAGCCTCACAACTGGAGTCCCCCAGGGACTGGCTCTTGGTCCTCTTTTGTTCTCTGTACATTAAATCATGGGGATCAGTCATTCTTCTAGCACTTCTCCGACCCAGATGTACTTCCCTTTTCCTCCATCTACCTCCCAGATCTCACAGAAGACATCAGATTGTCTTTTTGATATTTCTTACTTATTTCTCACCTGAAACTGAATCTTGACAAGGCAAAACTGATCTACCTTCCTACAAAGCATTTCCCAACACTGGGACCACACCATTGATTCCTTCACCGTCTGTCAAGGAGGGCAAAAAACCCTTGGAGCTATTCTTGATGTCCTGCTTAATTTTTGCAATTGCATAACATCCACCATCAGATAATGCTGATTAGTATCTCAGAAAGTCAGAAGTATATGAACCTTCCCAACTGCAGAGGCTGCTTGTTTAAAGCCATTTCCAGCCAGAATCCAATACTGCCGTTCTCTCCTTGTGGGCTGTACCTCACATGCCGTTTCTCCCTCTATAACAGCGTTCAGAGCTCTTCTGGTCCAGAAACTCCTGAGTTTCTTCCAAGTGACTCCTCTGCTGAAATCAAACTGGCTCCCTGGGACCGCAACAATCACATATAAAGATCTGGTTTTCACATTCCTCACAGCTCCACAATACCTCTGCACATCAGTTAAGAAGTGCACACCCACACGCTAACTTAAGTCTTTGCCTTCAGTGCTCTTGACATGTGCTTTCCTGAGATCTAAGCATGTTCAGAAGGTAAAGTCTCATTGCTTCAGTGTCCCTGCCCCTCAGTGGTACAACGAGTGTCTGTACTGCAGTCTCTGTGTTGCTGGAGTCATGGTCTGAAGATTTCTCCACTCACGTGTTCTTTAATTCTTAAGCAGTGTTTCATTTTTTTTAGCCTGATCCTCTGCACTTTATTTGTTCTCAAGTTCCAGACTTATTTAATCAGATCAATCTATGTGTTTTAGGTAATATATTTTTGTTTCTCTAGGTACTTTGCATCAATCTGACTTCCAGTGTTCACAAAAATATTGTCAAAGAAATAAATGTAGATCTGTGTATGTAATGTAAAACGTCTGGCTGCTGAGATTTGTGTAACTATCAGAACACATTCCTCAGCAACTGCAAAATAGTTTGGAATTGTTGTGAGAGCTTTACCTTGCAAATGCGAAATCTGGTTTTGGGGAATGTAAGTTTAAATATGTAGGTCAAACTTGCATTTGTGTGTTTTTCAGACTTAGACGAATGCGAGCTCTTCCGGCTGACTCAACCTGGCCGTCTTTGTATGCACACCTGTGTGAACACGGCCGGGAGCTACCACTGTCAATGTCCTGTGGGTTACTCTCTCAGCAGAGATAGCAGGAGCTGCCAAGGTCTGTGCCCACCTCCATATGGGGATCTGTGTGGTCTTGTTGACTTTTTTTCAGGGGTGGCCAACATTCTTGGGGAGATTCATTCGTTATGCAGTTTACTTCCTACCTTTAGGTTTTACTCTTCAGCAGAAAAAGCTTATTTGAGTGCTGAGGTGGTTGCTCAAGTGGCACATTGTTTTGTTTACCACCAGCAAAGAGAGCAAGCAAGAAATGCGTTTTTCCTGTCAGCTTATTAGACGTTTAATATGAGAACAGAGAACTGAAAACACAAGACTTATGTTTTCTTCACATTTTAACCACAGATATTGATGAGTGTGAGAGGGCTGCTCACAACTGTACAAGGGAGCAGATGTGTGTGAACACATTTGGAGGTCACCGTTGTATTGAGGTTGAGTGCCCTCGCTTCCGCAATGCTTCCTACGTCAAAACTTCACCCCTGTAAGTTGACACACATTTAAAACAGCAGATTTAAGATATTTGAAGCTGCACTATGTAAGAATTTTTGTTAGCAAAATTACTAAATCTTAATGAGCCTGAAATGTAAAACTCAGGTATCAGGTTGGATATGGCTTCACGTATTAACATTTAAATGTACAGTCTAAAAAAAAAATGGTCCGGCTTGATGTTTGGGTCATAAAAATGCAAAATCAACATTATATTAAAGAAGTTATGATGACAATAGTAGATAATTCACTTGCATCCTCAGAAGACATGTCCTCTACCAAGTTTTGACAGAGTTCTCTTTAAATACGCTTTCAACACGCTCGTTAACATCAGATTCATCCGCTTGTGGGGGTCCGAAGCACAACTGGCGTCGCAAAATGTTCTTCGTTTAAACCAGAGAGGTCTCCAAATCCTCAAAAGTTACATAGTGTAGCTTTAAGATTCATTTGATTCATCTTTCCACCACAGAGGAACATTACAACCCTGGGTAGATATGGAGCACTGGGAGAAAACATAGATACAACATCGTCTACCCATCTCTCTAAACAACCTTGGTCTGCCATGCGTATAACAAAAACTTGAGCATATATTAAATATTAAATCATAATCGCTTACATTCCAAAAACGCTGCAGTTAAACTGCTACCTTCAGACTGAGATTCTAATGCTTATTTTTTTTTTATATCCTTTTCTTTTTTCATATATTTTCTTGACTCTGCACTTCCTAATCTCTGTTCTCCAGACGCTGTGAGCGTAATCCATGTCTCGAGGGGGACAAAGCGTGCCTCCAGGCTCCTGTCTCTGTGAACTTCCACTTCATGTCAGTGGTGTCAAACATGACTGCCCCACGGGTGCTGTTCCGAGTGTCTGCTGCGCGTGTGCTGGGGGACGCACTGCGCTTCGGCCTGTTGGGAAACCGGGGAGGAGCACACTTTGCTGTCCAGCGCTCAGGCAAGCAGACTGGACAACTGCTGCTGGTGGACGCTGTCCAAGGCCCTGCCACACTGGAGGCCGAGGTAGAGATGAGCGAACTGGAGAGGAGAACGCTGCTGGGTCGATACGTGACCAAAGTTACTCTGTTTGTGTCCCCATATACATTCTGATATGACGAGCAAGGAGGAAATGGACTGGACCATGTTAAAGCTCACTGGAGAACAAAGAGATTGTGATACCTGAGACCAGAGAGGACTGTGTTTTAATGCCTGCCTTACAGGTAACATAGAAAGTAGTTTAGATTATCAAGCCTATGAAGAGCTACTCTTGCTTTAGTTTTTTTGACCTTACAGTATTTGATATCTGTATTTTGTTATCTTTCTCCAGTTCTGGCTAAAGGAAAAAGGTGTATGTATATTCCATCTTTAAAATGTAAACGTTTGGCGATATGATGTTTAAAGGCTTTTAAGAAGAATCCCAACAGTCTGAGTGAAAGATATTTTTGGTTAAATGCTTCACAATGAAACACAGTGGCTTCCTAAAATTTTACAATAAGTGCTTTAACTTGGTTTTCAACCCGCTTGAAAATATCGCATCTGCCAAACCAAAAACACTACTCTAGTTTTTGGGCTACGGTAAATCATAACATAAGCAGCCTCAAAAAGACGTGTACAGCTCCACTAAGTGAGAGTTGAAAGTTTGAAAAAGAGAAACTCACTGAAAAGAATTTTTCACCTTAGTGCCAGACTGCAAAAGCCTTAACCTCACAGACCTTTGCTCAATGCACAACATTTATCTGTGCAAAGAGCTATATAAGGCATTCAAACACACAGTAGAACCTACACACACACACACACACACACATACATTCCCCATCTCAAACTCAAACACCTATTTGCTGAAAAGCAGGCAAACAACAAGACTTTCAGCAACAGCTTTAAATTCTTGCTGGGGACCGATTCCCATGAAGTATTTTCTAAAAGCACCGTCCATATCTTGAATGAAGCACATTACAGGACATCCAGTCAGAAAAGAGCTCATTTACATACTGTCAGTCTTAAAGGCACAGCACTGTTTGATTCTAAGGGATAAAGAGGGAATACAAAATGACAAAAATAGATAAGCACAAAGATATAATTTTAAACAAAGCAATGAGAATGTCAAGTTTCTTTACTATGTAACTGTACTGTGAGGTGCATAGAGAACTTTCACATATGGTATAAATACTGTGAATTTCAAAGAATTAAGTCCAAAATACAAACCAGCAAATTGATTTTATTAACAATTTTCCCAATTCAGTTTGTACAGAACAAAAACAACAAAAAAGACAAGAAAAAAAGCAGTTTTTATATATGTATAATACATGGCTTAATCAGATCTGAAGGGAAAATACTTTTAATAAATTTATACACTGGGGGGAAAAAAAAAAAACATACAAAAGCAAAATGCATCACTGCCATGACTTTTTTTTTTTTAATAATTAATGTCTCTTTATTCGACAAAGAAAAATCACATACAGCAGAAGGTAATCACTTGTTGAATTACTGTTTTCACACTGTCTGAAGATGTGTGTGAAAACAGGAGGACATTTGATTAAGCAATTAGAATGTTTCCAGTGCCTGATTCACTTACTAAAAATTACTGGCAATATATTTAAGGAATGGTCCACCAGAAAAACTGCTCACTGTTGGAATGGCTGAGAGCAGCTGCTGCACTCTTAAAAGTATTGGGTTTTCCAGCCAGACCCAGGCCTAAAGCGAACGCAAGCACAGAACTAAATGTAAGACAACTGAATGCTGAAGAAATCTGTAACGTAAAGCTCCGTGGACATTTTTAGTGGACCAGACCTTACAACTGAAACATACTCAACATGCCACTATTTCAGAATTTTTCGGAACCGAAGACAGGAAATGTTTAAATAAGTAAAATTACTTATGGCCATAAGAGTTTGCAATACCAGTAATTAGCAAGATCAGTTAAGGGGGGTGTAGTCCTTACGATTTCTTGCCTGTGAATGCAACCCACAAACTGTACAAGGATGTCCAAGACTTCTACAAGAAAAAGAAAAAAAAAGGAAAATTGAGGCCAGAGATTCCCCTGTAAATCACAGCTATATACATACTATTTGGACAGTACTTGTTTCCCTCCCCATAGCATAGTAACATGATTTCTAACATGGTCAGAGTATTCTCCAAAGCGCAGAATGAACTGAACAAACTAAAACCCAAGTTCACTTTTATTTGTACAAAAATATACAAGTCTGACACTGCAAAATAGGCAGGGATGAATGGAGACCATAGTAAGGCTCTTTTTTCCACCAGCAGTTGGTCAAATGTCTGCCCGTCTACAAAGGATAAAAGTGTTTACGGGGTACAGCTGTTGTGAGTGTTGAATATGTACACATTTTTAACATTTTTATCCTTGAAAACCTCCACTCTTTAAAAATGTTCAGTTATGTTTTTTCAGATTTATGCGCAGACCGTACAAGTTGTCAAAGGCTTAATATGCTAAGAGACTTGAACAGGTTGCAACAGTAACCTATGGCAATAATTGTAGGCGAATAATGGCAGGGGAATATGGGAGCATGCAGGAGACACTGGAGTGAAGTGCAGGTGGGGTATTAAGTTGAGCAAAAGATTTCAAAAGACTGGAGCTGCAAGCAGTAATCAATACTTCAATACTCATGGAGTGTTGAACATCATCCATACAATCCTTAGTAACTCCTGCTAAACTGAGCAGATTGGAAGCTAATAAAACCTAAAAGGCTCCTATTTCTCTCACCTTCCATGGTAAAGGACAAGACTACAACCAAGAAATACAAAGAACAAGGCAACCAGAAAACATTCCAATGGAGAAAAAAAAAAGAACCAAAAAACCCAAAACCTTAAAGTAAAAATAAATTAAGGCTACGACTGACCTGGACAAATACATAATAACACAGCTATGCAAGCACGCACACACACTCGCGCGCACACACACAAACAAATGTGCATTTGACCCATACATTTCAAAACAATGTGCTTTGCAGGGAGACTTTAAGGGTTGAGGATGAGCTTAATACTATTAGCACTGTCTTTAAATAAAGATGGCACTGTGAAAACTTCAGTCAGCGAGCAGCATCTCTCTAAAGGTGTTAAACATTTAACAAGCCAAGCTGACAGGACATCTGAGCATGGGAAGTCACCTCAAGCATATATTCTAGAAATGAAAACACCACAGGATCCTCTGCAGTGCAGTGAGCAGGCCCCAGTCCAGTTAAATACAAGATCAACATCTGCCTGCCTGAGCTCCATGAGTGCCCTTATATCCAGTTCAAGGCCATGCTCCATTCTGGAATATTCATCAAGCTTCTCAGAACAACAGTAATGATCTCAGATCGTTTTCCCCTTTGATCATGTGCTAAAATCTATAATGATTCAAAAGAGAAAAACGCTGATTCTAGGATAGCGCACTTCGCTATTCCATCGCAAGTTCCATTTATGACTCCTACATCCTGAGTTCTTCTGGCTCAGATATGAATAGCTCCTCTTTCTCTGCTCAATTATCTATCAGTATCTGTGAATACCGACTGACAGGTCCTAAACCTGATGTCTTCGTTCAACCATCCCAATCCTATCCTCCACACACACACACACACAAGACAAGCAACAGGTATCCCTCTACAAAAAGCCCAACACAAAATATTGAGTAAACTCTTCATGAAAATCAAGTCTCATAGACAGAATATTTAGCTACTGACTTTATAACTGCACGCAAGCAAAACAAACATTTTCATTCACTCACACTGGAAACACACACACACACATGCACACATACCTGGGCTGCACAGTGAAAATTAAATTAGCTGTTAACATGATTTTGACCTCTGTAATTAGCTAATAACAAAATGATTGCATTCTGCTTAGCAGTACACCGACCACATCAAAATCAAGCATTTTTAGTTAACACTATCAAACAATGGATGGTGTTATATTATCTTCCAGTGAGAGGTCTGCGAGTTATCTGATAAAATCACAGCAATTACTACCAATGCTGTGACCAGACTGAAAGGAACAACCTCCATTAATGGCAATTAACTGAACTGTGCAACCATAGCTCGCATATTAACCTTGTACAAGATATCTTGGCCACCATGTGCAGCTCCTGTAGTGCGTGGTGACTTCCCAAAAACACCAAAATATTTCTGCAATTTAGTATCATGAACCTGCTGCCTCTGCCTGATCACCTCAGCAGACAACAAGGAGCACATGAGCACCACAAAGCCCAAGCAAACGAGTAAAGATTTCTACAACATCCAATACAGCAAAAGCACCAACATTAAATACATGATTTGCTTAAGGAAAAGCCTTCAACAAAATGAAGAAAACTAAAAGAGGTGATTGGGTGTGCCAAGACGCTGGCAGAACACACGCAAATGCAGGCCTGAGGGCCCATAGCACGCAGGTCACAGAGAAGCAGATGACGAAGCAGGTGCAATGCAGTCAGAAATGTAGAAAGTGTGGAAATAAAATCAGTGTGGGATAAAATCAGGTCCCAACATGGATGCTGTCAGTACCAGGAAAAAACACACAGCTTGAGTCTATACCCTCCTCTTCACCACGCCATCACCAGGGGCTGGGAAGGGTGGGGGGTGAGAGAGGTGCACACTCGGCTTCTCCCCCCAGTGAGGAGTGGGGTAGGAGAAGAGGAAGACTGGTCAGTCCCTTCTCCTGCCCCTGGCAGCCCTCTCTACCTGTCTTTTAGTTCCTGGGTGACGCGCTTGGTTATGCGGCCGCACAGCAGGCCCATTAGAAAGAGCAGCACCACGCACATGCCCATCATGGTCAGGATATAGCTCTTGGCAGGAGAAGAGAGAACCTGAGTAGCCAGGTCTGAGAAGCCTTCTGCTGGTGCCACCTGGAGGACAGAAAAAGATGACAATGAGCAATGCTTTGGCCCCTGAAAGAAAAAACTACTAAATTGAATGTATACAAACCAACAATGAATGAAAGCTAGTGAAGATTCAAGTAACTACCATTACAACAATAAATATGGACTTTTTAACAATAATAGAACAATAATAAAATATACACAGGCTTTCAAAGATATCAAAATGCTGTAAGTGAAAAAGATGAACTATGGAGCCTTGATAAAGAAAAAAAAATGTAAAAGCATGGTGGAAATACATATAAATAGGTGTCTCCCTCAGGCTCTGTTTCTTTCTGTAAGAGCAACCAGAGTAGGATAAGTATACACACTGTATAAAATCAATTACCTTGCCATTGTGATTTTACTTGTAAAAACACCATATGTACCATTAGAATAAATGTAAAAAAATAAATATAAATATAGTTGAAAGAATGTCTTAGTTAAAAATTAGTTGACACACTACATGGCCAAAAGTATGTGGACACCTGACCATGAGATCTATATAAGCTTGCTGGACATTTGGAGTGCGTCTCTGGTAATTTGTGCCCATTCAGTCAAAAGAAAATTTGTAAAGTCAGGCACTGATGTTGGACGAGAAGGCCTGGCTCGCAATCTATGTTCCAAATCATTCTAAAGGTTTTCAGTGTGGCTCTAGTGAGGTCAGGGCTCTATGCAGGTCACTGGAGTTCCTCCACAGCAAATTCGTCAAGCCATGTCATGCTAGAACATGCTGGGTGCGATAAATCTGGAAGCATATAATTGTCTAAAATGTCTTCGACTTGACCCTTCACCGGAAGGGGCCAATTCCAAACCCTGAAAAACAGCCCCCGAACATGATCCATCCTCCACCAAACTTTACTGTTTGCATCTTCTGGCAGCTACCAAACCCAGATTCATCACTCCAGAGAATGCGTTTCCACTGCTTCCAGAGTGTAGTGGCATTTCACATAGTGCTTGTGTGTGGCCGTGTAGTCATGCAAACCCATTTCAAAAAGGTCTCGTCGCAAAAAAGTTCTTGTGCTGATGTTGCTTCCAGAGGCAGTTTGGAACTCAGGTTAAAACATTTTTTACAGGCTTCAGGCTTCAACACTGCTTTTGTGACTGCATACTTTTGTTTTTCCTCAGGTACCTAAAACATTTGCAGAGTACTTTATCTTCTTTATCAATACTGATGGCAATACATAAACATACATATATGAATAATTTCTTTAGGGTTAGAAATGCAGAATTTATTTTAAAGCAAATATCTGCTGATTCCAATATGAATATGATCAATATGAAATACTTAAAACTGGAAATAAGCCTTCGCGTGTGTATTCGTGGGAAAGAATCTTTGTGTGTTCTACCTTGGCGGCATAGCTCCACATGTCGATACGGTCCTGTAACCTCTTCTTACATTCAGGTTGCAGTCTTACACGTTTGTCCTGAAGAGCTTCCATCAGACAAGACATCTCTGAGGAAGATACAACCAAGTTAGTATCTTCAATAACAATTTCAGGCATGTGCTGAGCTCTCCACTGTTATATGTACTCACGTCTTCCTCTGCCAGGAGGGATAGCAGCACACTGATGCTTAATGTCAAGAGCACAGGCTGTATGCAGCACTGGGTCCACAAAGATATCAGCCTTACTCTCCTTCAGGATGTTTAATACCTCCTACACACACACACACACACACACACACACACACACACACACACACACACATTTGTGGCTGAATCCAAACCTCAAATCGAAAATAAGCTGACAATAAATTAAAATGTTTACATATAATATACTAAAATTATTATAGTTATTCATTATAGCCACAGTTGCTGTGGCTACTGATGGCATTGGTGTGCTAGTGGGGACTTTCCATTCTGCTTCTGTTGTTTTTCTGTATTCTATGTTTTGAGTGGGTTGTGTTTTTGTGTTGAATGTTGTGTTTTCAAGTGGAATCAAACCTGTAATGAAGTTCTTGGGCATTGAAGCCCCTCTTGATATTTGGGATGAACAGTAATTACAAATAACTAATGTCCCTCATAGAAACCGTGAAATAGTTCCACATGGCCAACATTTTCACTGTTGATTTACTGCTGCACAAACTAAATGCATCTGCATTAACCAGCAAAGGAAAGCGAATGAAACAGACAGAGTTTTCAATCAGGATTCCTCATTTTCATTACCATTATTTGTAAAGTCTTAAATTCTGTCACCTTCTTGCACGCCTATTAACTTTTTTTTTTTTGGTCAAAAGTTTTGGCCCTTTTTCTTTTGTGGCTAAACCAAAAGTTCCGTTTTTAAACATTTACAGTGGCTGAAATTTCCCTAATTAAAATCTATACTCAAAAAACAGCAGGGCATAATTAAGCGGTAATTTCAAGGTTTAAAAAAATAAATAAATAAAAAATAAAAAATGTTAAGTCACCTTTTTGCAGGCTTCGTTTTTGATCTTCAGCAGATTCACTTTCAGACACTCCTCCACCTGACCTGTCTGCTCCTGCGCGGCTACTTCCTCTGCACACAGCCGAGGGATCTGAGAGACACAGGCACGATTATACAACGCACTGGTACATGTAATTAAAGTCATGCATCAAGAAAGATGCAGGTGATTAAAAAGTAGGGCCTGACCTCTTCAGTGCACTGCATCTGTAGCTGAGGGTCCAGTCTGTAGTCCAAAGCAGATTCCTGCAGAATCACCCTGATCTGATCCTCACAGTCTGGAGAGAGGCGCTGCACAAACAGTTTCAACTAAGTTATGCTTACAATCAAATCAGCTCATAAAAAAGTTTTATGAGCTGAGTTTTACAGTGTATAATCCAGCAGACTGGAAAGCAGTGGGACACACCTGGTCAGCATATTTGAGTTTGAGGCAAGAGATAACCTGGCCCTCCAGCTCATTGTCATCTGTTGCTTTGTTCAGGATGGGCTGGCAAAACTTTGGGATGTCAGCCTTACAGGCCTTTCTCAGCACAGGGTTGAGTCGATAATCTGGACACATGGGACAAGAGCAGCATTATTAAAAACACTGAAGCGGTTTACAGTACTGTTCATTGGCATTCTATGTACGTTTGCCCTGGAAAACTAAAATAAAAATTTGATTACCAATAAATAAATAAATAAATAAAATTTTCAGTTGATAATTAGATGTAATTTGCTTGCTGTTTACAATTTTTCTTCCTGTTCTACTCGCAGATGTTTACATTTATGTTTTTGTTTTTGACCTTGTTTTGCAACAATTTTGTAAAAAAAACTTTTAAAAGTAATAAAAAAAAAATCTCTTCTTGAAAAGACTTCTAGTTTATATTTGTCCATCTTACACTGAACTTGTGTAATAACAAATCTGAGGTTCAAAGTTGGTTACACTTTTCCATGATGAACCATGATACAAATCAAACCCAGAAACCAAGGACCGAACCGAAAGGAATGAACTGTTACACTTCTAGTGCCAAACTCAAGCCCAGCAGAGAGAAAAGTGGCAATGTATGCCCAACTTTGCAGTCAGCAAAGCAAAAAACATGTCATCTGAAAGTGTTCTCAGAAAACGTAGAGCTGTGGTCACCAACCATCCTCCTGTAGACCTACCTTTCTACAAATTTCACCACCAGCACAAATCCCACATACCTGATCCAGCTAAACAAGTACTTCTAAAGACAATCATTAGCTGGATCAGGTATAAGGGATGAGGGATGAGGATAGATCTCCAAGAGAACTGCATTAGTCAACATGACATATGAAGTAGGTGCAAGTTTAAGAATAAGTGTGTGTGTGTGTGTGTGTGTGTGTGTGTGTGTGTGTGTGTATGTGTGTGTGTGTACTTACATACTTACACACACACACAGAGAGAGAGAGAGAGAGAGAGAGAGAGAGAGAGAGAGAGAGAGAGAGAGAGAGAACGAACCTGTGTTCTGGGTGATCTGTCTCTTGGTGATCATCTGTTTGCATTTGGGGTCCATGAGCTCACTGTTCTTGTTCTGTTTCAGGCACTGCAGCATGTTCTTAGCATCAGATTCAGAGCAGAAACGCTACAACACAAAACAAAAGCATCTTAAAACAGGCCATTCACTACTCTAAAGAATATGCAAACCCTAACACTAATGTATGCACAGAAACCTTGTCTTGGATGTGTATGCAACTTCCTTACTTACCCTTATCATCTGCTTACACACTCTCATGAGCTGAAAGTCGAGTTCAGGGTCTATCATCTCTTTCTCCTGCAGTTTGAAGACCTTCTGGTGACAGCGCGGGTATAGGCGTTTTTTAGTGTCCTTCAAACACTCAATCACCTGTGCACCCACACACACAGAAAGGCAACTATGATTATGTGTCAAATCTGCGTGCCATTTTTAAGAATACAGCAAAAAAAAAAAATTCAACATGCAGTTTTTTTTCACAGCAAAAAGTATGACAATCAATACCAACCATTTTAATCACAGAATCACAGTTTGCATCATTCACTTAATATACAAACTGTCCCTCCCAACGAAGTAGGAAGGTCATCTTAAGTTATAAAACATTTATTACAAATATGCATAGTCTCTGGCTTTTCTGGCTCAACTGTCATGCTGGGCTAAGGAGAGAGAGACATCAGCCATTAAACATAGACCGTTTCTCAATATGTGTTCTTGTGTGTTCCTGCATCTTCCACTGCTCAAGTTGCATTTCAGTATTCAAGAACACAAGTACCAAAAATGGTCAAAGCACCCAGCTGTATTCTTGATCTGCCCCGAATATTGAGAATGCATTGCTTCATGACTTGCCAAAAAGAACGACCTCAAAGTCCCATTATTCACCGTGGCATCATTGCGCCTGGCAGAGGATACTGACCCACAGCTGTATGCTTGTAAGTTCTCATTTTTTAAATCAACTGTGTCCTAACACGTACTATAGGGGGAAAAATGAGGCAAGAAACAGACACTGAAGTTGTCAAATATTTGCTTGTTTGGTACAAATAGTACCTAATATGAAAGTTCTGACACTTTGCAAAGACGAGGCTCTGTTTAGATTAACATTAATGTTAATGCCCAACAGTGGTAGTCTTAGCCAAGTTAGCAATGGCTAAGATGAAAGGCGTATTTTTACCGTTATACGTACCATCCATGGTATATGTACCATCTGTCAAAGTGAAATCATTTCATGATGCATTTTATTTATTTATTTATTTTGAGGCAGGATCCAGGTCAAAAAGATAATGAACTTGAATAACAGAGTTGTGTTGGCATCTGAGATACACACATTGTGCATGGACATGTAGAGGCTGACTTTGGAGAAACACTGAAGGGAAGTTAATTATATTGAAAATGAAACGTTTTACACTAATATATCAATTAACATATTTTCTGTACATAGTAATTGTGTTGATTTATGTTATTTGGGTCTTTCCTTCTGTGTTTACTCTTTGTAATTTCAGTCTGGTAGCCCTTAAATAATATTTTAAACACCTTAAAAATTAAGAGCAAAATTCAAGAATTACATGGCTGTGTTTACACATTAGTATCTATTACAGCAAAGAACTACAGCCAAAGTGACACTATAGCAGACTGTCTCGCCTTCATCTTTCACCTCAGAACTGCTGTCTTCTGGATCACAGTCACAGCCCAGCAATGACGGCTATAGCACCTTTTCTCTTTCCATTTCTCCTACTTTTACTCAGATTTTCCCACACCATGCAATTCTATTTATTTATTTATTCAAAATCTAGGCTTTTAATCATAGTTTAGTATTTAGTTTAGTTTTGGAATTCCATGTGTAATATTCTGAATTTATAGGCTACTAAAAGGTAGTTTAAAGCTGGTGAAGTCAGCTGAGCTCATTCTTGCAAGTTAACTCGTCAAGAACAAGTCTGTTCTTCACATTCTTGGTATTGAGAAACACGCATATTGTCTCTGTCAGGACAAAACCTTGCAAATCTTTTTTTTCTTCAGAATTTGAAAATGCCAGTTGCTCTTTACAATGCATTAAAATTTCAGAAGAAGGACCAATAGAAATGGCCTAGAAAATAATCCTGTTCCATTAACATATACATAAGTTAAGAGTGTTTTTCGCGTTTACTGTAAAGACACAAATTTGGAGATACCAAATTTTGTCCCATCAGTGACTATATGCAGTTCTCAAATGAAAGGCAGCACTCCAATACTAAATTAACATCCCTTGCCCCACAAAGTGCATTCATTAAGGGTTCTTTAACAAAGACTGACCTGAGCATTGCCGTACAAGACATTCTGGCAATGTTCCTTAATGTCCTGCCTACAGCTCTCGTACAGATCCGGGTCTAGGCGGATATCCTCTGACTGCAACAGAGCACACCACCATGATTAGAATATGCCTAAGTGCAGTACTCAAGCATAAAAAGGCATGACATTCTAATACAACAGACAGCAGTCCGTTTTATGACTACAATGCGGATTCTGAATTGAGAAAGAGCTGACCATCTCCAGCTCCTCCACTCGGAGCTGCCTGCGGCACTTCATTGAGACGCGCTGGTCCTTCACATCCTGCAGAGTGTCATTCCTGACTGTGGTGCTCAGACAGATAACTACATCCACCCTGCAGGCACACAAACAACATTAAACCACCATATCATAGGAACAGGTTTCTTTTGGGGGTAGAAATAGTTTCCAATTTTTGACAATAGAAATATGTTCCTAAAGTGATGATAGACAGCTCTGCACTCACTTCTTCTTGATGTTGGGGCACAGTTTGAGAACATCCTCCTTGCAAGCCATCTTGAACTTGTAAGAAAAGCGGAAGTCTTTCATTTGGATCTGAGGATGAAGAGGAGCGGACCATGGAGTGAAGTGGAAGCAAAAATTCAAACACACACACACACACACATACATATATATATATATATATATATATATATAAATAAAATGTCATATAATAGAATACTCTAATACTATGCTATGAATCTTAAATTGAAACTTATTCTTGCCTGTTTGTAGTTAAAATAGAAACAATAAACCTTAGTTTAGACTTCAAGAGCAGATACACATTTGCTTAAGTAAAACAGTAATTTGACTTGGCTGTACTGAATCTGTTTGAATTATGTTACCAGTTGAAAGTGAGTGACTCCCACTGCACATTTTTCATTCATCTCCTTCTGGTGTTTATTGAGTACAAGGCACTCCATCAGATCTCCAGTGTCTATCTGATTATCTGCCATATCCTATAAGTCAAAGGGAGGGGAGGAAAAAATAGAAAGAGAAAGGAAAACAAAAAAATCTTTAAGGTGCAAGTATCACTAAAACAGTTTTTGGGGTTTGTCCATAAAAAGTACGTGGAGAGGTTGTTTTGGCCAGGGTTTGTGAATGATTAAGATGTAAATGGTCAGCTTGACTTACGTGGCAGTAGGATTGGATGACTGGTTCACAAGCTCGGATCAAAAGGGCTTCAATCTGAATGTCCTGAAAAAATAAAAATAGAAACTAAATATGATTCAAAATTCATTACATAAACCTCATATCCACAGAAAAGCAACTAAATACAGACATGAGAAATCACAGGCACAACAGCTGAACATTAGCTAACGCTATCAGGCCTCATACGAAGTAAAACGTACAATGAGAAGGGGGAAGGAAGAGATGGAGGAGGAGAAAGTTTTTTACCTCAGACTCCAGCTCAGTGAGGTTACCCACAACATCCCTACAGTCTGAGCCCAGATCCTCCAAATGATCCTGAAGACACTCCAGCTCCTGCAGTACGTGTATACGCACACACACGGGCACACACACGGGCACACACACAGGCACACACACAGGCACACACACAGGCACACACCCCCAAAAAACACTAATGAGTTTGAGGGTTATACGGTAACACTTCAGACACACAATACATCTATCATACATAAATCTAGAGAACATTTAACTCTAAAGAGAAAAGATGGAAAGAATTTTCAGCATGCTTCTCAGGACCAAAAGGCAAAGAAGACATTAACTAGACTGTAAAATAATGTGACATTCCGAATTATAATAATTACCAGCTAATCAGTAATCCGCAAGACAACAGTTTAAAATTAAAACTCTCAAGAACAGTACATTTGCCCCATTTCAGCTTGCCTGCCATTCATGCTGGTGTGGCAAAATGTTTTTTTGTGGTGTTAGTTATCTTTTTTTTGTGTGTAACTACAATGACTGTTAATTTTCTCAACCTGTCCAGGTTCTGTTTTCTCACTGCACCACTTTCCCAGGTCAGTCATACAGCGCCTCTGCAGGTCTGGATCCAGCTTCACATCCAGTGCCCTCTGGTGGAGGATTCGCTGTACCTCCGTCTTACAGTCACGAGACAACTGCAGATACACAACATTATTTTAGGCCTAACAGAGGTAGAAACACACACAAGCACAGACCCTCTATCCATTATTTTTCTCTCTATTGTACCCTCTCCCAGTCCAACAAGAAAAACCCTGAATCACACCCACTTGACTCCAATTGGAAGATAATGAATGGACACACTAAATTGACTGATTAGCCATGACCACCCTACTTCCCACAGCAAAATCACTCACAAATTACATTCTGAATTAGAACGTTATCATATAACTACAGGTTTGCAGTTTGCAAAATCTGAAAATGTGACTCCAATTTCACCCTTTCATTTGCTTATTACAGCATGCATAATTTGGCCGTGGACATCTATTTTTGAGCACCCACACCACAAATACAGTACTTACAGAATCATTACTCTGGGGTTCAGAGGAATCCTGTGGTTAAATTTAAAGTTTAACTCATAAGTCCATCAACAGTGGATTTATGTCAAGTACAGTCTAGTGTGCAACCACAGTAAATCTGGCTACTACGACTGGTTTCACACGTACTACCTCTGGGTACACCGCTACAGCCTGCAAACGCCGGTTATTTACACAAGCAGTGTTTAGCAGCGAAACGCCAGACGTTCTACTGATTTTTCCCAAACAGATATATAGTAAAACAACTTGCTTTACTTTGTTGTAATTTGCTTCACTTTGATTAATAGAACATTAAGTTGTAAATGAGCATATTACATTTGTTTACTCCTGGCAGTTTTGTTAATTTTTTTGACTGGGCAATCGTTTCAAGCTTAAAGCTTCAGCACAAAATGCTTAATTAGAAGGCTATTTTCTTTGATAATGGATTTCTACATGGAGAATCTTTTCCCAATTGCTTATCATTCCATATTTCTCTGTTTTTTTTGTGTTGTGTGTTGCTTGTGGCACGTGGAAAAATTAGGATTGACGCTTGTTTTCTAGATGCAGTCTGGGACGTCTGCGTCATTATGCCCTGCAGAGGTAGTGAGTGTGAAGCAGGCCTAAGGTTTATTACTCACTATTACATAGTAAGGTAGCCCTATCCATCTCAAATGCAGCAGTGTGTGCGCTCTCTCACCCGTCGGCCCTGCTCCTCAGTGCGGTAGGCGTGTCGGTACAGGCAGGAAAAGACGGCTCCCGGGGGCATGAACTCACTGGTCTCATTCCAGCCATGAGTGTGGCAGATTCGTGCAGCATCATTCTGACACTTCCTGTACAGGATAGGGTCCAGCCTGATAGATGAAGGTAAGGGACAGAGAGAGCATTATAATTCCCCCCCTTTTTTTTAAACCGATTAAGCTTGAGTAATGTTCACAGTTTTATTTGCCGGACTGAGGAGAGTGGAGGAGAAGAGAAACAGGGCATGAGAGGATACACAGTAAAAAGTAGGCAATGAGATGATAGGAAAGGTATAAGTAAGAGATGAATGGAGAACTCTCATTCTCTCAAAGGTAGTCTCTCATCTCTCTCTCTCAAGTGCACACACTACACATTTTAGTGAGGATGGAGAGTACGAGTTTTGCATATTTAATATTTGTGCACACATCGCATAATTTCTCAATGATTTTTTTCCACCAAAGATTACAGGCACCGTAAGGACTCATCCATACAAGCATCGTGGGCCAATGCTGATATCTGGTATTTTTCATGTGCATATCTGCTGATGCCAATACCGTAATGTAAAATGTATTAGCAGGTTACTAATGAATTAAAAAGAATGAAACGCAGACATCACAGCTTAAATGTTCTGTTCATCCAAAATACTCACTTCCAGTCTCTGGAGATGAAATACTGCAGCTCCAACAGCCTGTGCTCACAGTCTTCCACCATCTTATCAGTGTAGAGATGCTCCATCAAACAAGAGAGGATCCTACACATACACACAAAGTTAAGAGAAATTTATGTGAACAATCAACTGTGAAAATCTCCTATGCTGTTTAAAGAACATAGGGTAAGTAAGGCTGGCTCAAATAGCATTTTGCCAGGCTTCAAATACTCACTGGTATTTCCAAATTCATTCTCAAAACCACCCTAAAAACAATATTACTTATGCTTTGTAATATGAATATGTACTGCAGTTGAAAACATGTTCAGCAAGTGGCTATAATCTATCAGTCAGGCTACAAAGCTGTCGCGCTGTATGCTGCTGTGATAGAATCCATGACTGTACCCATCTCATTCAAGAACAGCTTTTGAGTCACTTGTATCACTAGCGTTTATTCAGATGCTACAGGTATAACTTATAATTATTGCTATTACTATAATTATCGTTTTTTATTTCTCACCATCACTGTTTTTTTGTGTTTTTTATTTATCAAGTTATTTTCTTTAGCTAGACCCCAGTCCCCTTCAATTTTTTTCAAGGGAAGTAGCAGTGAGCGTGACACGCAGGCTGATTAAAGCCCGGAAATAACTGAGCAACAGAGAGTGGAATGAAGGGCTGATGGTGTTGGAGCTTGTCTGAACACTAGCACTACTTCAGAAGCATAACAGCAGGTACCCATCCTAAAAGACTGCTAGTGCCAGGACACAGGTAGCATCAGTATTATTCTCAACCAATTTTCTTAGTGACCAATAATTTAAGTGCTTCCACATCTATGATAAGAGGCTTCTCTGCTATTTTAGCTTCAGTGGCCACATGGAAAGCAATGCAGTTTCTTGCACTCTGAGGTGAGGAGACGTGAATGCATGAAATGAATTTAGAAAGTTTGTTAATGTAATGATGAACTAAACCAGCAGTATAATCATTTTCACTACATTGTTACTTAAGCTTTAACCACTCAAGTCATTAAGAACATATTTGTGTTTACAGTGATGGTTTAGCAAGCAGCAGAATTGACTAATGGCAGAACGGAACACAAAAGAAGGATAAAATAACAACAGAAAAGCAACAAGTAAAACAAACAGTAACTATTCTATCTTAAGGCATTTGCTGCTAAAATGTTCAGGCAAGTGTTCTGGCTTGCAAGAAAAAAAAAAGACAACGCTTCAAAAAACTAAATAAAGAAGATAACAAATGAATATTTGAGAATTCTAATCATCTGAGCCAGCCCTAGTCATAAGACTTCTGAAAAATTGGCTAAGCACTTACTTTAGGTATAGTAAACAAGGGGACAGCTTAGAAAACAGCCTAGGTGTGACTGTGGAAAGAGCTGGAGTAAGTGTACTCACATGGGGTCTCCACTGCGGATGTGTTTGCATGCAGTCTGGATGACTGACTCACAGGCCTCATTGAGGGCACGATCAATCCGGTAATCTGCCCCAGGGTCCGTCTCTTGGATTAGAGTTTGGAGCTGAACACACATAATGCACAACAATTATTTCTTAAGACACATGTACAGGCATTAACCACTATAGCATGAAACTCCCATAAGGTTATTCAAAATACAAAAAAAAACAAAACAAAACACAAAGATACAAAGATATCTCAACTTGGTCCAACTTCCTTCTCTCAAAAACAAAATCTGCTTTGCACATGTCCACTAGTGTAGTTCACTAGTTAGACCAGGCTGTAACAACAGGTTATACATTGTGCATGGAAGTACATGCCGCTGAATTAAACTCACAGCTTTCTGGCACAGGTTGTCCATAATGCCCTTGTCCCTGGACACTCTCATGAGACAGTGGAGGGTTCGGCCCTTGTGGTGCAGACCGGAGCAGTGCGTGTCGATTTCTCCGCGGCAGTGCAGCACGATTTCAGGGCTCAGGGAGTAATCCTCCATCAGCATGCGTCTGTAGTCCAACATCTCGCCCTGACACTCACCACTAACCGTTCGTCCTGAGAGAACGGGAGAAAATAAGACCCAACAGCCAGAAAATGGAGCTGCACCAATATTGAAAAGCTGTGCCCTGCTACTGCCACTAAAGAAAAGTGCCTTATATGACTATCATAAAGGTACAATTAATACAGATCACAATGTTATTATTTCAACACTACACGGCTTAACTATGTTTTAATTACAAGAATAATAAAAAGCGCAACACACCCCCAGATGCTGGGCCAGTACACAGGTATACAGAAACCAAAGCGACAACATATAACAAGTGCTGCCATTTGTATAAGCCCTTTCTATTAGTTTAGATTTGGTACTTTAAAGCTTCACTATGTATGTTTTGGGGATTTGACCTCTCTAGTGAAAGTGTGTAATTGCATGCAACATGCAAACGGACATTTTACTGTGTTGGTTGTATTTCTGACCCCCTGGGCAGATGAATCTGATGATTGTGAGCGCGTTGAAAGTATTAAAATAGAATTCAGTCAAAATTTGGTGAAGGACTTGTCATCATATCTTCATTACATACACCTTCAGTATAAAAAAAAGTTGATTTTGCAGTTGATAAACTTTGAGCCAGACCTTCTTTCTGAGCCTGTGTGTGTGATGTTACTGTGTTTACAGGGCGACAAGTAGTGGCGGACGGATATTTGACATATTTTAGACTGTTATTTTGACCTGTCTTAGTAATGGTACTTCTTTCCAAAAGAAAAAAAACCCACAAAAAAACAAAACAAAAACCAAACATCTTACACATTGTTGGGGGACACAATTTAAAACTAGAAAATCAACGTAAAAGCTACATCCCTACCTCGGTGTACAGCTGACTCCAGGCACAGCAGCAGGTAGGAAAGCTTGGCCTCTCTAGCTCGGGGCAGGGTGGTGTCCACACTACAGCGGTATTTGCGCAGATCTTGTTTGCAGGCCTTGGCAAGTGAGTAGCTGATCTTATAGTCCTGAGCTATCAGCTTCTGTCTTGTGGACAGGGCCTCCCTACACTGTAGGCCAAAACAGGGCATTTGTTTTAGAAATTCATACATTTACCAATACAAATACACAATATTCTATTACAATTGAGTAATGAGAGAACCATTACAACTAGATACAGAAAAAAAACACTATTACATACATACACAAAGTGAATATCAATATTTAAGAAAGATCGCATAAAAATATAAAATATCATGCAAAAAGTGACTTAAGTGTTTTAGCATCTTAAATACCTTTGCAGACATGGTGTCCTCAAACTTGTGGTTGAAGAGACATTTGTAGATCCTCCCCTCTCCTGCTGCAATCTATATCAGAGGGAACAATAAGATTACTGGGCATCCTCTGTTTAAATTTAGAGGTACGCTACTAAAAGTGTGCGTGTGTCTGAAATCACAAGCATACGTTTTCACAGAAGCGCTCTCTGTCATCCCGGCAGGCGAAGTAGAGGTGTCTGTCCAGGTGGAAGTCATCTGAGGAAAGCTCAGCCACCCGCATGATGGCTTTCTTACAATCTTCTTTAATTGAATAAGGTGCTGCCTGCTCCTCCACTTCACTCACCAGACCTTTCTCCAGACAAGCTATCACCTCTCCCTGAGAGTGCACATCCTGAGAGAGAGAGAGAGAGAGAGAGAGAGAGAGAGAGAGAGAAAGAGAAAGAGAAAGAGAAAGAGAAAGAGAGAGAGAGAGAGAGAGAGAGAGAGAGAGAGAAAGAGAAAGAGAAAGAGAAAGAGAAAGAGAAAGAGAGAGAAAGAGAAAGAGAAAGAGAGAAATTTTTGCAAAGGAAAAAAAAAAAACAATTTTCCATGATAAGCACCCTTTAAAAACCAGTATTCATTATTATTAACATTAATAACATTAACCTTATTTTACATTTATCTGTATTGCTCGAGGATCAATCCATATTTTCTTTCCACACTTTTATAACACAATGGAATATGTAAAAGCTACAAGAAGGCAATGAGTTGCCAGCTTATTGAATTGTTTCAGAGCACCAGAAATCTGCAAATGAGGATAACCGATATTTCTATAACTCTTGACTAATGAAAAACACGGACATTATTTATTGCTTTGTTCTGAATCATAGCGTGTTTATCCTCTACAATCACTTTAGATCATAACCCAATTATGTATACAACTCTTACATTTTGACAGTGATAGGACAGACACATGGGTAAACTGTGCTCAAGAGAAAATGCTCAAAAACCCTTAAAGCTTATGACTCATCAGTGTAGGAGGATGAAGGCCACACAAGGCCAAGAGACAGAAATTTATCACACACACATGGATGAAGATACATTCATTTAGTTTTAATCCTAGTGCATTTCACACAGAAGTCTTGATTCCCAGAAACATTAACATGAAGAGTAACTATACTATAATTAGACTGTCTGTGCAAAGTTGACCAAGAGGGTTTAGACTCACCTTCTCGCCGGTGTTAACACTTCCACAGTGCAATATGTTAATGTCATCCTTGCACTTGTCCATGAAGCCACAGATGAGGCGGTAGTCGCTAAAGATGATGCTAGTCATCTTCGTGATGTACTGATTGCATTGGTATTCTGTGATGTTAACACGGTGATCCACCAAACATGATACCAAGTAGCCTTTTCCCCGCTCTTCTGCTGCACACTCCTTAATCTGTAAGGACAAGGGTCCTTATTAGAATTAAAACAGCTATAATCCTCCACTGTTTCTAACAGAGACAAACTGCCTTATGAATAGGCAAACCCCCTTTGCGGCTTTAACAGCCTCCACTCTTGTGCAAATGCGTTCCACAACACTCTGGAGTGTGTTTGGGGGAATTTGTGCCCATTCAGTCAAAAGAGCATTTGTGAGGTCAGGCATTGATGTTGGATGAGAAGCCCTGGCTTGCAATTAACAGTCCAATTCATCCCAAAGGTGCTCAATGGGGTTGAGGTAGGGCACTGTGCAGGCCACTGGAGTACTTCCATACCAAACTCATCAACCTATCGTCTTATGGACCTCTCTTTGTGCACAGGGGCAGACTCACCTTCAGAACAGGAAAGTGCCTTCCCCAAACTGTTGCCACGAAGTTGGAAGCATATGTTTTTGTCATCCAACATGTCTTTGTATGCTGTAACATTAAGATTACCTTTCACTGGAACCAAGGGGGCAAGTCTTAACCCTGAAAAACAGCCCCTTTATCCCATTATCCATTAACCATTATCCTTCCTCCACCAAACTTGTTGGCACTATGCATTTCTGTAGATAGGGTTCTCCTGACATCTACCAAACCCAGATTCGTACATGCCAGACAGCGAAACGTGACTCATTGCTTCCAGAGGCAGTTTAGAACTGTCGTCAACACAACAGAGGACAGGTGATTTTTCATGTGCTACACAGTACTTGGCAGCCCCACTCTGTGAGTTTGCATGCCCCCCCCCGGTTCATAGCTGAGTTGTTGTTGCTCCTAGGTGCTTCCATTTCACATAATAGCACTTACAGTTGACAGAAGCAGATCTGGCAGGACGGAAAGTTCATAAACTGACTTGTGTCGAAGGAGGCATCCTATGACAGTGCCACATTTAAAGTCACTGAACTCCATACAACCCATTCAACTGCCAATGTTTGTCTATGGAGATTGTATGGTTACGTGCTTGATTTTATACCCCTGTTAGCAATGGGTGTGGCTGAAACACCTGAACTCATTATTTAGAAGGGGTGTCTGCATACTTTTGGCCATACAGTGTACGAAGCAACATCGCTAATCAGGAAATTTCACTACTTTAGGCCTTTAATGGTGGTATACAATGAACAATAAAAGACAACTCAATTGTTCAATTACTTGCACAGAAATTGTCAGTTGAAAATTTCATGAAAGTTACAGGAAAAAAAAACCATTTAAAAAAAAAAGAACAAAGAAAAAAAAGAACAAAAACAAAAAATAAATAAATAAAACTTGAATAATACCTTAATATAAATCAATCAAAACAAAATGACATCATAACAGACTAACAATTAATCAGCTACTTGTTACTATACACTGCTGCTCTTTACAGGCCCTCTTTAATTGGTCTTAGATTAATGACAATTTTTATGATGCATGTTGTTCAGCATTGTCAAAGTAATGACGATACTCACTATATACTCAGAAAAGCGTACAGTGATGTATATTATCAAGATAACAATAACAAATATTGCCCATTTCTATTTCAAAGACATTTGCTTAGGGTACTCACATCATTGATGGTGCTCTTGCACACCTCCACAGCCACAGACTCAAACTTTGGGTCTGTTGTCAGGTTCAGCTTGTAGTTCCACAGGAGCTAAAAATAACAGGATTTAATGTATTAAATGAACAGCTCATGCATACCAATAGGACTCAACCCTGCCAGAATGCATTCAGGTATACTGAAAGCTACTAACAAAGAAGCCTGCATCAAAAATCTCAGTGTTGGTAATGAAAACACTGCTCCAAAACACCAACACACATACTCTGAGACTATGAATAAATCTAGTGGTTATTAATAGACATGTCCCTCACTTCTGAGTTCACTTCAGCATGCATATGCATCACTGTGGAATACACTGACAGGTAGGAGCTACTGAGAAGCTGACACTTACGTGGTTGCAATCTGTTGATATTTCCGTGTCCTATAGGGTGAAAAGAGACAAAAACTATTTAGAGTTGAGCTGATTCTCACTTCATTCAACACATTATCAGCACAGACATTAGGAGATCATGGCTGGGTTACACAGAGTCTTCTGTAGAGAAAGGAGATTTTCCAATTTAATCTGTTCTCGCCTATACTGATAAGGCAAAAAAAAAGGACCCCATTATGTTCAAACTAAAGCTAAAATGTGTACATTGCAAAAGTAGGCTAATGGCTAGCACCATCAACAAAAAGCCATAAAATGTTTCTGGAGCTTTGAATTGAATAAAGTAAGATTTAACAGAAGACATGCTCTTTTAAGAGGTAAAATCACTTGGACAGGAGGACTGTGCCTAAAACAAGGAGAACTGAACCAAGGAAATTCATCAGCCAGTGAAATTAATATTGAAGATGGCTCCAGAAACAAATCTGATGATAAATATATGCAATTTGTAACAGGCCTATTTGACAGGCATGTTTTTATTTATTGAAATGTGCTTAACAAAAAGACATTTTATTTCAATTCCCACTCTCCTAACTCCTATCTTTCCTTGAACAGCATTCCTGATGTCCATCGTTTCAAATTTTAAAAAAAAGGAAAAAAGGGTGGAGGGTTGTAGTTTTCTCAGTCCCATCGACTACAGAGTTTATCCTCTGGCACAAGATCCAAGCAAGCTGCAGTAAAAATAATCTAGTCCCACCTAAATAAAACAATCTGGTCTGGTACAACAACAAGACAGAGAAACAAATTAGCCAGCTCCCTGGGAACTTCAGAACATAACAGAACTCAACCCAGATTCCTATTTCACAGGTTTATTTTTATTCTCAAAACACCCTCTGTGTCTACAAATTCTTGTCATCAGCCTTGTTGTGCTCTCGTGCTCCACTTTCTTTTATGGAAGGAAAAGCCTGTTATTTTACTCTGGCTCTCATCAAAGCACAGAACTGGGTGCAAACATTAACTGCTCACTTAAACGAGCAAGGCTGCTAAACTTTTGCTCAAATTGAACAGGCAATTGTTCAATTCTATTCAACACAATGCTGCAGATCATTGGTCAGTATGAAAGTGAAAATCAGAAATGAAGAGGAGAGTAAACTTTTCTTTTTTCCCCAGATCATCTTATTTTGAAATACCTCTTCAGTAGGGCTGGGCGATAAAACGATAACGTTAAGTATCGCAATATAACTTTTCCTCGATAGAGCGATACGACAGGTTCGATAAATGTTCGATATAATACACCACTCTCACACTTCCACATTTTAGCGAAAACCCCGGTGGCGTTTTCTACTGCAAGGAAAGCGACACTACTCTGCTGTCACCAGGAGAGGGCGCACTTCCGAGTTTTTCGACTTGATTAGAGAGGGAGGGGGCCACGAGTAAGAAAGGGTCGCCAAATATACTTTAGCAACATCTGAAATGCGGAGTTATACATTCCGTGTTTGAGTGGAGCGACCGGCGATCTGTTCTCCTGTGACCGAGTGTGAGTGACGAGATCAGTGGTGTATCTGTACTGTCCTACAGCGAACTCACCTCTTTCCATGCATCCTAACAACTTTAGCGGTGTTAAATCACGTCTGCAGTGCCGTGTTACAGCGCCAAACCGTCATATTTTAGTATTAGTGCACTCTCGAGCAACGAAAGTGAAAGAAAGAAGTGGGTTAATGTGAGTTACAGCCCTGTTTTAAACGACAGTAAACTGAGGAAGCTGTGAGGCATTGGAAAGCGGGAGAGCGCTATCTTTCCAGGCTAGCTGTTTTTAGCTGCTGGCTAACTTGAAGCAGTGCTCCGGCACAACATGGTACATTGATGATACTGTAGATCAAACACGACACAAAATCACCGCTTTCAGTTTAAACATACCTAAAAGGAGGACTCTGTTTGACTGGTGTGAGAGATTTACACTGCAGACAATGCTTTTACACAGCGAACGTCAGATATACTGCGGTTCACCCCTTAAACTACTACGGTAGCATAGAGAAATCCCAGTCGTCGCTAGCTGGTGTCTGAATACTGTGATATGCTCTGACATGGATGTGGTAGGAGTGACAGCAGTGACCTACTGAACCGAGTTGACGTTGTTGAGAAACTAAAGAGTTTAGCACTGTTGTTGGCCACTTGTTTAACATTTGTAGCGGGGTAGCCGAGCGCTCGACACCAGACAGCTAAAAATAATCTGTTTTCTTTCGTAAATCATGACTATTACAAAAATTGCAGCTGTGCTTTTCCAGCTGATAAAAAAAGCTCAGAAACTTTCTCCCACTGTCCCATGACAGATTAGTGAAACGTTCCACTGTTTGCCGAGTGTTTGTCATGATCGGCCATAAATGATAGTTTAAAACCACAGTTAACCACCCAGGAGCAAAATCAGCCTTCAAACGTGAAAGAAATAATGATCTGACATTTAACGCGATATGTATCGATATCGAACGATATGAATTTTGTTTATCGTGATAACGTTTTTGGCCGTATCGCCCAGCTCTACTCTTCAGCATGACCCACATGACAAACGTCGCTTTTGTACACACAGCAGTTCGTTACAGCAAGTGAGCTGAAGGTGCCAAGATGATGTCGCTAACTGACATGTCTGCAGTTTTCAATTCTACTTCAATAATTTCAACATTACAAATTTACTAATGCCATTTTTTTTTTTTACTCGACCCACGGATTTACGATTACGAACCCAAACCCAGAGTGGTCACATGACTTCTCACATGACTAATGTTAACAGTTAATACAAACAACAGTAGGAACAACGGAAGAACTTCTTTTAGTTTTTGTTTGGTCACAGACAGCAATTCTAGCTAGTGTTTGACTTCAGTGACACCGTATCATACGTTGATTGTGTTTGACCAAATCAGTTGTTTGCATCATTATTAGCTCCACTCATATGTTTGGTATACTTGGAACCCCAGCAAGTTAGGGTAAGCAAAGTCAGGCTGTGTGCTCAGGTACGGTACAGTTCACTTGGCAGTGGAAACTATGACAAAATGTGTGGTGACAGATTTGTAACTGCACTGTAATCAACTCCATTTTTTCAACACTGATCTGTTTTATTGCATCAGGATTAGGATTGTTTCGTAATTAATGGCCAATTATGGAACGTTGCTAATACTTTAGTCAACTGCATTATAAAATCTATCAATTTTTGGTCTGCTATTGGGCTAATATAAATACATTTTTGTTGGTTAAATTTGTCATTTAAAATTCTACACAAGAGGGTGCTATGCAATTGCTGATCAGTCAATGCAACAAAACGGTGAGACATGAAACTGCAAAATTGAGCATTTCACAAAGAACACAGACAGTGTGCATTGTTGAAATACAATTCCACTATGAGTTCATTAACATAGTCGCACAGATAGAGGTGATAAGCCAACCATAAACTGGGAAACTGCAAAGAGAACTTAAAATTTGACTGAGAAAAACATGACACTCATAAACACGGTCAATGGTGAGGGATTTCAGAACATTATTAACTTCTTCTAGCTTAAAATTTACCGGCACACTTCAGGGAGAAGAACGGCAAATAAAGCACAGCCTAGCTTCAGTCAGCACTGTGGCTCTCAGATCTGTCTGTGGGATAATATTGAAAACAGCAAACTTTAGCACAGCTACATGCCACTATGTTGAGCGAAATCAGCGAGTGAAATAATGCATCTTGCAGACAGAAAGCATGCTAATTCGATATGCGGCTGTAACAAACGTATGTGTTTTGTATTCTTCATGTTGTAGGCCTTCCTTGTTTAATATTTATCAACGACTAATCGATAATTTTTTGTTAATGTTAGCAGTGAAATTCTTTACATTTGCAACTCTAGTCCTAAACGGTGTACTTAAAAGTGTGGTTTTAAACCAGCTGATTTCTCATAGATGACTAATGTTAATCATGTAAATTGGACTTTGTGTCAAATATGTCATGTTTGTTTGATGTAATGGATCAGGAAACTGACAAAGTGAAAAACTACCATCCTTGCATAATGTTGATCAGAAGGACCTCATTTTTAACCATCTAATAACTCATCTTCTGTTTCATCCAGTGAGATCAACTGTTTGAAACAATGTCATTTAACATGATCACATGATGTGTTATCTGCTTTTTTATTGGCTGTTTCATAAAACTTGTTACATTAAGTTCAGACTGTTGTAACTGATGTGGTGGAGTTTCAAGTGAGTTAGGATGCACTACATTATAGAAATTTAGTGCAATTTAGTTTCATCTAAGTTTAAAGCAACTACAGATGCATTAAAAGGTTTTACCATGTACAGCCAGCAATAGAAACCAGACATTAAAGAAAAAGACCAGGAAATACAAGTTGCTTTGTTTACATTAGCACAGGTTGTAACCTATTGTATTTAAAAACCTTCATAATCCAAATGATGACAGGGCAGAAAAGATGCTCTGAGCTCCTGTGGCAACTAATAGGAATTATCTTCAGGAATAATAAAACCGATATGAACAAAAAGGGTTTTACAAGCCTCAGTGGATGGCTTTAAGGTAAGGACTTGGATCGAGGAAGCTGAGGTCTGATCAGAGTGAGTGTGAACACCACTGAGACCCCTCAGCAAATTCTCTAACACAGCCTGGAGATTTACCTGCCCAGAGTAGAGTAGGATTCGCACTGTGCAAGGCTCAAAGGGAGCTCCGCACTCACTCATTCACGCTCTCCTTCTCACATATACATGCTAACCCTACTCCACAAAGGACGGCTGAGACTTGGAGAAAAGCCAGAAATGCTAAAATTCCAATGAGCTAAAATTAATTCAGTTTGAAGGAGTTCGGAGAAACTGGCTCTTTGTGTTACTTCTTTTAAGAGCATATTGTTTAGCCGGTGCCTTTTAAAGTTTGTGTACTGGATCAAGTGTACAAGCAAAGTTTAAAAGCATAGGCTGATGAGTGTGAGCTTTGTCTGCAGTAAACATAGATGACAAAGTTTTCAAAAGTCGTGAAATTACAACATGTGTATAACATAAATATACAATGAGAGTCAATGAAAAAAATGTAACATTAACATTAAACATTAAATTTCACAGGATTTTACATGCACATATCCTCATGTGATGACCTACCTGCTGTTAATCATTTGCTTTGTTAATTCCAAGTTTAACAGTCAACAAGACACACCCTGCATGTCCAACATGATGACACGTTAACAAAACAAATATTTAACAGTGACAGTTTACACAGACTAAACGCCAGCTACTCACTAACTCCTGGAACCTGGCATCACTAGCTAATAGGTGTGTAATAATACTTTTAACCCATGTTTGATTCTTGATTCTGGCTTCACAACACTGCACTGTCACATCATCACACTGCACATTTCCACAGTTTTTCATCGCAATATCATGTTACTTGTCACAGCCCTATTAGCTAAAAGAGCTGAAAGAGTAAGTTGAAATTTTAAAGAATGCAACTTTCAAATTACAAGAGCTGCAAATAAGCCGCAACATGCATTTGTTTTTATTTATTTATTTATTTTATTTATTTATAAGGCCTTCATTGGTCATTTGCCACCATACATTTCTAATTTACTGCCTGTAAATAATGTTTCTAATCCCACTCACTCCAGTGTTTGGCCTACACTTCAGGCTCCATACGTTTTACTGATCTTGGACAAACTGGTTTTAACTACAGTACACCACTAAGCTGGAACTATTAACAAAGTAGTCTTAAAACAAACTGAGGTTTATCGTAGTTATTTTAAATGATTAATTTCTCATTACTTTGTCTCAATGTGTATTTGTTCCAGTTAAGTATTTTATTGTCTCTTTTAAAGTTTATTATCATTATTATTCCCCATTGCTCATCTCTCATCTTTTTATAGTATATTATTTTATGTATGATTTCTGTTTTTCATTTTGTATGTTTTCACTTCATATACTGTCCTACGTTCTGGCAATGTCTCAGCTATATTGTCAAAATGGGTTTCCCCTCAATGTACTCAGAGTCATAATAATAATAATAAAATCTTTAAGCGAGAAAATGTGTGATAGTCTTTTTGGCCAAAATAAAAGGTCTAGTCCTTAAATTATAGAAATTTCAATCTCACAATATTGGCCAAATCATAATGACACATTTTCCCCAATTAGTTCAACACTACTAGCTAATCAAGGGGTTAAATCGAGAGAAGAACAATGACTGAACACTCCCTGAACTGTAGCAGGTGCTCAGCTCTAGTATCTGAGATATGCCGCCTTGGCTAAATACAGCTGCGGGAAATCCTGTCTTAGACCCCTGGCACCAGAGTGATCTTATAAAACACCAAGCTCCTCTTACGATCAGGACCCCTCTCCTCCACCCTAACACTCAACAATTTCTCTTTGAACAGCTGAGACTCAACTCAAATACACAGCCAAGGCACCAAGAGCATGGCAAGAAACGCAGGGCTGGAATCTTTAATTCACATGCAGACTGAAGAGAAGGCCTCGACAAGCGGCGTCTTGCTGTTAAAAATGGCACCCAAATTCTATCAAAGACGAAGGGCAACCTGTCTTGACTCTATTCACATTCAGGCATTTTAAACTCATTCCAGCACAGGTTGCAATAAAGATACAGCAAAGATTCTTACATGATAACGGAGGTTTCCTTGCAATTAACTGCATATTATTTTTAATACTTGACATTTAGCAAAACAATCAATAGACAACAGTGTTTAAACTGAATACAGGCTAGGTTGGTTCCATTCGAGAACCACAGGGCTACTGTTTTTACTACAAATTTTAAACAACGCTTTGGAACCTATACTCACTGTTATGAGGAAAAGTAGGCCAGTGGGACAGGAGGCATTTGAACTTAAAATACTGTCAGTGAGCACATGACACGAGGCCCCGTTGGCAAGTTAACGCTCACAGTCTCAGCAGCCCTCCCAAACGGCGTGAACATCAAACAGAACACATATTCAAGAAGTGTTTTCCAAAATGTATGACCCTCTTTCCATAATCCTGCCAACATCATACTGTCTCAGTAACTCCCTCAGTGTGTGCCAAAGCCTCTCATTAAGACAACCTCATCTTTTTATACATCACTGAGCTCCATCTTCTAAAGCACTGCAAACAAGGACAAAATGACCATCTCAGGCAGGAGGAGACAGTGAATGAAGCTCCACAAATCTAATTATACTTGGGTCCCAGCAACTCATCCCATTTCCATAAAAAGACTCAGTAATTTCTGGTGCCAACATGGCAGATCAGGGTAAGAATAACACACTGATGCCAGGGGGGAAGAAACAGATCGAAACAGAGTACATCTTATATCTCAACTCTGGGCATAAAACTGTCATTTTGTCCTGCAGCGTCACAACAAGACGCTCTTCAGTGTTAGTCAGTAACAGTGAACCATGCCACAATTCACTGAGTTCACTAATGGTGACAGACGAACAGAGAACGTATTGATTCAACACTCGCTTGCTCACAGATTTCACCTTCAAAAAATGACCAGTGACAACATCTAGTCCATAATTAACATAATCAGGGGAGAAAGGGATGGATCACAGCGAAAGAAAAAAAAAAGTAATTATTTTGGCCAATTAAACCTTTACTGTATGACCACTGGACATGTAGAGCTGTCCACTGTGTCTACATTCAGCAATCAATGTTATAGGCATAACAAGACACAAAGAAAGCCTTACTTTTTATTACAGTTGCTGGCTGCACCATTTATAGTCTGTTAATCGTCAACACAATACCGCCTCTCAGTCAGTAAAATCATCCAGGATGTTCCTGTTCTGATGAATCACGTTCGCAGGGACAAATTACAAACTGTAGGCTATTGTCAAGACCGTGCAGCCTCGTCTTAAACCACCCGGGAACATCTTGTTTACCACTAAGAATTAACCCTGATACGTTACAATCAGAACAAAAATAGTCTACAGATCTACGTCCTTACATTATGATACTGGACTAGATTAAAAAAACAACCAAACAAAAACATATCAGTGCAGTGCAAAATGTAATGAACTACTAATGTTTCTCACTGAACATCCCCAGCATTTCAGAAACAATGAAAAAGACTCGCTGATTTCTGATGCCAGCAGGGTAGATCGGTGTCAGGACAACACACTGTTACCAGGAGAAAGAAACCGACTAGACAGCGAACCAAGGTGTTTCATCAAACATATCTGTAGACTAAGAGAAACCGCCTAATAGAACCACAGCCTTCTTCTATTTCTCTGACCGTGAGAAATGTTAGCGATGCTACATTAGATACAGCTTAGCACGACTGACTCAAAACTCATAACATTCAGGCCACACTTCGCTGCCCTGACTGCCATGAGTGAGGCGGTTCTCTTCTGTAGCTTGCGCAGTTTTATGCACAGCGAAGGCAGTGAGGAAACCACACCGATAAGGCTGGTCTGTGTGTGTAACTTCATGCTCGACTCTACAGTCCTTCAGCTAACGCTGGTTAGCTTAGCCAGCTAACGACAGCGACGGCTAAACCCTGCAGGGTATGAGGCGGAAGTTTCGCGGTCATCTTTAGCTTTAGCAAGCTAGCTAATGCTGCGTTCTTCGTAACGCTACATACAGTATTTACAGTTAACCTGCTTCGACGTTGTTGATTTAGTCATGATTTATCTAAGGAATCACGGACACTGTGGCTGATAACGTTAGCTTATAAGTTAGTGCAGCCAACAAAGGGACGTTTTTACGTTTAGCCAGCTAACGTTAACTAACCCAGAGCACCGTTAAATAAAGTACTCAGCAGTAGTGACTCAAGACAAAGACGATACTGCTGCATCTCCAGATGTGAGTCATGCTGAACCACGCAGTGAGCCGCCGCTCAGGGTACTGTCCTCCTCCCACGACAGCAGCTACGCAGACAGACAGCAGAGGGACGTTAGCTGGCTGTGTTGTGTTGACTTCCACCGGCACACCCAAACTGAATCTGCGGCCAACTCCGCGTCCTCCTCACTCACCTCTTTTCGGTCCTGCAGGCACTCGAGCACGGCCAGGTTGTTGTTCCAGGAATGCTTGGGACAAAGCCTGCTCAGGTCTTCCCGACAGGCCTCCTCCTCTGCCAGCTTCCAGCCGGTGCTGCGGCGGGGCTGAGAGGCCGCAGCTGCCGCTGCCACAAGCTTCCCCTCCTGGAGCGAAGCTCCGGGGTTTTTACCCACGTCGGCATTATCCACCAGATTCTCGTTAACGCCGCCCTGCGACTTCGCTCCCTGAGTAAACCAGAAGCGAGCGGAAAGGGACATGAAGAGTAAGAGGAGCTGCACACGTCTACAAGCCGCCATCTTCGGTAAACTACGCTAACGTTAGCTACGGCAGCCGGACGCGAGCGGTGTGCGCGCGTGCGTGAGCGCGCGGCGTTAGCACTACAGAGGCCACGTAGAGCGTTTAACAGCGCGCTCAGCCTCACGACCCCCAACCGACTGACGTGTTCTCTCCGCACAGATTAGGCCCAGCGGGTGGTTATAGTTCATCACATGAGAAAATGAAGAGATACAGCTTCTCTTCCTATCCGACTAAGAAATTAAGTCTTGCTTTTTAGATTTGGTCCATCCATCGCCGTCCCTCCCTTCAAATGCACACATTCCTGATACCACCCCCAACCCCCAAAACACATTTATCATAACCTACCAGAGACTACGGTGGACCTACGTTTATTACAACTCCCAAATGTAACCCAAGGGCTAAAGGAACACGAAGTGCATGATTTTCAGTTGATTAGGCCACAAACCAGCATAAAAGGTGTAAAAACAAGTTGTTCTAAACAAGAAACAGTGCTGAAAATCCACACAATAAATGTTAGGAGTATTTATTAAACGTTATAACCACACAAAACATTCATTTAAAAATGCATTTACATATATACATTTGCCACTACACACAAATACACAGGGAACATATGAAGGCATGTCACTCCCTTGCGTTCTCAAACTTTGCTAGCGTTGAGACAGAGCTGGTGTGGCAAAAGGTGCAGACGGAAGATCAACAAAACAACTGCCTAAGTACAAAAGCAAGCTAAAAGATGAAAAGAAAAAAAAATCTGGCAAGTATGGAAAAATGTTAATGTATCCATACCTGGGAAGTTCAGTGACCGCACACTTAACTTAATACAACACAAAAGAGTCACATGCCATGCCTTTACATTCCCTTTATCACAGTCCAAAATGACAGCTTTAAGACATTCACTTGATCTGGATGAAAAGACAAGTACGTAAGCCAGTTGATTTTAGGCCTGAAAGCCTGTCTGCTTTCCATGTGCTGGAGAGCTCTTTCTTCAAACATCAAGTCAGAAGAAAAACATCCTCAAATGGTCCATTATTTACTAAAAAGCTCCTGTTAGTAACATGCACACACCTACTGAGTGCTACACTGATCCCTCCCACTTATAGATTTTCAGCATCTTTTCAGTGAGAGAAGCCAGGTAGTGTTCCTGGTTCATCTCAAATCGGCAGATGTCCAAAACTGGAAGATCTGCAGGCAGCTTCTGAAGCAAGGCACCACTACCAGCATCCCACACCTGGAGAGAAAACAGAGAAATCTGAGTATGTTTTTATTTCTGGACTTCTTCCCATATTACAAAGTACAGAGAAAATTCATGAATGTACACTTAAACATCACAAATTCAATAACGCACCATGGTTGAACTAGATCCCTCATCTCCTGCACACACCAGTGTGGCACCCTCACCAGCTGGGCTTTTAAACACAGCATTCTTTGTGAGCAGCTTGCAAGAGGAGCCGGCAGTGAAGGTCTGGACTGGAGAGCAGGAGCAGACAGGTGCCTGGGAGGAGTCCGTCTGAGGGCTTCGGTTCAGCTCCATCAAAACACAACGGAGAGATGGGTTTGCACGACCTGGACCAGGACAGACAGCAAATCAGTCCCACAGGTTAACAAGTTTTGATTTCTCTAGTGAATTATTTCCACCAAAACCCAATCCTGAAATACTGCACTGCACATTAGTGTTGTAATAAACCTATTCAAAGATCAGGGGCTGCTTGTTAATTAGCTGATAAGCTAAATTTGTCATGTTGGTGTAGGGACAACATTACAATATGCAGTAAAGGGGAACTCCAGGACAAGAACTGGGAAAGACTCAAAAACAGTCTTGGTTTTAGGGGAACTTCACCAGCATTAAGAAGTCCTGATTGCTAGTAATTTGGAGCCCCCTAGTGGTTGAAAATATTAATGAAGATTAATAAATGCTCATTCCAGTGTTTCCATACTCACTTGCATCGTAAGTGTTCTCAGAACAAACTCTGGGGGTGCAGCTACTTTATTCCCACCCTTCCCACTAGCAAACAAGTTCTTTACAGCTCATGTGAGACTATACTCCATAGTTTGTTTTAGGGATCTAATAACAGCTGGAAATGTCACAGTTTAATTCTGAAAGAGCCAAGCTATAAAATCAGCATTACACAACTTTATTTTAGTATACGATATTCAAAGAAATCTAAATTCTCTGGTTCTTGTTAACAGGAGTTCTTCAAATAAAAGGCTCACCAGGTCTGTAGGTGACCAGACAGTGTCTGCTCTCTGGTTCCACTTGTATATCTGTGCAGCCACCAGACTCTAAAGGCAAAACATGAGGTCTGTAGGTGGTGCCATCTACATGCTCCCAGAAACATGCCCCCTCAAGAGAGCCAGCAATGATGCCACCACAGGGGAAGAGACTGGAGGCAGCGCGGGGGAGGTAGGACAGGGACACAACTGGACAACTGCAAAACACAAACAATTCATATATGGTTGCTAAGATGTGAAAATGTTCAGAGTTGTAGTCTCTGATGCATAATACCATCTTTTGGGGGCTGGGACACACTAAACTGAGCAATATGATTAAACACGTAAGTTAAAGTATCCCTCATACACAATGCAACCTGTACACCCAAAATAGCTACAATAAACATCATAGTCTTTTTGGCTGAGAAGAAACAATGATTAAGATTTACTTCAACAAATTTAAAACCACCTGGCTCTGAACACTTTCAGCCTTATGAAACAAAACAATCACACTACAGTAACTGTGCAACTTAAAATGGAAAATGGAAATAGATTTTATCTCTGCAATCCATGTTTGTTTATGGCAACAACATTTGTGGTGATTCCAAATGCAAATCACATCATGTGAAAATGAGCAAAGTTGTGTTGCAGCATGAAAAAGGAAGAATCTCTAAAGCAACTGTTAAAACATTTACTAAGAAAAAGTCCATATATGTACTCAAATTCTTCAGGAATTAGGTGAACAAATTCACACAGCAAGAAAAAGACAAGGTGCAGTGCACTGTGAGTAATTATGGGCCTCAGAGTGCCCTTTTCTAAACCATCGGACACAGCTCAGTGTGCAGGGGCCAAGGGTAAGAAAGCGGTCTTTAACAGTTTGTAGATGCACCTGGAGCGGAGTGGGGCGAGCTCCTGCACATGAGTGCTGGTGTCCCGGGTGTCGTACACTAGTATTGAGCCATTGCTCAGGCCAGCATAGATGTAATTGTTGTTGTCGTGGCACCAGCAGCAGCTCCAGACAGGTTTACCGGTGTTGTAGGCCTGAACCACAGTGTTTGTCCATAAGCTGTAGAGAAAAACATGGCATCAGGAGAGCAGACCTACAATATATAGCAATTGTACAAGACACAGTCCACTAATTTGAACTCGCTGAAATTAGCTTTGTCTCATTGCAGTAATTAACCAGATCATTTACAACCCCGGGGGGCACAGAGTGTGCATGTTTATGAATGTTTTACCAACTTAAAGCTTAGGCTTTGAGTACCAAATGGTATACAGCTGTGTTTCCCAAACGCAGTTCTGCGGGCTCAGCCACACTACAACATTTTGTGTTCTATGTGCACAAAAGACACATTATTAGCTTCTCCTCAATCATCAATTTACTTCTTCAGCAGAGTGTGTGAGAGATGGAAAATGCAGGTGGGTCTCCAGTACTGTATCAAGCTGGCAAAAACTGGCAAAATCAGTTCCATACCTGGTGAGTTTGACAGTGTTATCAAGAGCAGCAGACAGCAGTAGGCTATCTTGCTGTCTGTTGAAGGCAAGGCCTCTGATCTGTTTAATGTGGATAGGAACATAATGACTGGCTTTCAGATTTGCAGCGCTGATCTTTTTCACCCCATAGCCTGTAAGCGAGAGAGTGTAGCAGCAAGGTCAGCTTACACGGGTATAAATACTAATGACAAGAAGAAGTATTGCAGGCTTTTACAAATGCTTACCAGGGACCAGTGTGGCATGAGGGGAGGGCTGAGAGGCCAACAGACAGCTGAGGGGCTCACAGTATGACAGCACACGACAGCCTCCCGCCTGAGACACAAGAACTGCTTTCGAGAAGACATACTGTCCAGCAGAGGACTCTTGTCTCTGAGTCAGTGCCAAAGTAGAGGTTTGGGACTGAGAGGAGCTGGAGGCAGTCTGAGCCATCAACCTTCTCAACTCCTGCACAGAAGAGAAATAGAGAAATATCAGGTTTACAGGACATGCAGAGACATAGTGTAACATGACTTTTTTGACTTCATTAAACACCAGTTAGATATAGTTAGACATAGAAACTGACCACTGATAAAGGGCTAAAAGATAGAAGAAAATCGATCTACTGAGTATAACTGTACACCTGCAAGGTGGACCGCGAGTATAAATTAAAATAGCACATTTCCTTTAAAATCACAATATTCTTTTTCCCAGGGATAAATTAAGGGACAGAAATAGAAATTGAACACAACAATAAGCATAGCAAGTAACATATTTAACAGCATTCTGTTTAAAAATGTCAGAGCATGTGATGCAAAAGAACAGGAAGAGAAAGGGTGTTTTGTGCAGGTCTTATACCTGAACTTCTTTCCGGAGTTTCCCACACTCATCTGTTACTACCTGCAACTGCAGACGGCACTGAGCAGATTCCAGCTCTGCCTTCCTCCGCAAGCTCTGCTCCTGTTCTAATGATCTAGACACACAAACACATACATAACCCTCTTATTCAAGCTGAAAAAAAGCAATATATATGTATGTAATTTGAAACTCGATCTTACTCTACCTTTTTAAACTTTCCTGTTCTGTGTTGTCTAGTGCCCTCAATTTACGTGCATAAAGCAAGACTATATCAGTCCGCTTGGCCTTCTTATTGCACTAAAAAAAGACAAAGCGAATTTGTTCAAATGCAAACTTTACACAGTGCTGTATTTTCCAACCAAGGCTTTGTCCTAAATACTTATGGGAGTCACAACTGTTTCTTGTAAGTGTTTCAGTTTCATGTTAAACACAATCATAGTTTTTACACTAACTGTAGCACAAAAAAAATAACTTAAGGAACAGGACATTAAAGTCAACACACATATTGAGATCGGTAAACATTTGCTGTCTGTAATCTGTATCTGACATATCATCTTAACCCCTGCTCCTTTAGCTATCCAAGTGACAACTGACCTGCGGGCATTTGGCTCCCTGGCCCTTCAGCCACCGGTCAATACAGGTGAAGCCAAACAAGTGGCCGCAGCGCAGTGTGGCCAGACGATGTTCCCCTGAAGTGGTCCAAGGTTCAAAACATATAGAACATGTCTCACCCTCTCCTTCCTCATTCTCATCCACAGCAGCGGAGCAGGCAGCAGTTGCAGCAGCAGCTTCCGCAGGCCCAGACTCAGTCTACAGAGGAATATTTTAACATTATTACAAGCACTTTGAAATTTTTCAACATGTGGATGTTCCTTTTATAGAATCTAGGAGTTCTCCAAATATAGAAGACATTCCTGTTCTCGCTTAAAGGATCTTTATTTATTCAAGGTTTTAACACCTAGTTTGTATAGGTTTTTGTGACACTGAACTTTATCTAGTTCAGTGGGTTAAAGTGCACCAAATATGCGTGGGTGTTCTTTGATTGGTCAGAAACTTGACAGGGATACAAGCACTCTGCCTCCACAAATACATCTGCCTCTATTGGGCAACCTACTAACCTACAAGTTTTTAACTTTCACTCAGCTATCCTAGTATGAAATCCGGATCTATCCCATAATTACATACTTGATAAACGTATATCACACACGATAGGTTACCTGAAAATAAAGATGACTGTCTACATGTATCCCAATAGAGGAATAAAATAAATCTTTCTTCATCTCTTTATGACCTTTATTTAACCTATCAGTTTGCAGATGTCTGGGCCAACCCATCAAAAATACTTTCTGCAGTCCATGTGACCAAATCACAATACTTCTAAGTCTTTTATTTCAAAAAAGAGAACAACATTCAGATTTCATTGTTATGGGCCTTTTGAAACAGGCAGATTCTGTGGACACTACAGCACTGATGTGCAGTGAGAAAAGCAAGCTCTGAAGCTGAACTGCCTTATTTGGCGCTGATTATCGTAACTAGTTTATAAAATAAATAAATAAATTCTGTTGTTCTGCACCAAACCAGCTGGGTGTGAAAGCTTTAAACACACTAGAAGCCTATGTGTAAGTACAATGTGTCTTTTGTGAACCTTCTAGTATTTAAAACACACAAACAAACAAAAAAAATCCACCGTACTATATACTGGTAACACTCACTAGGGTCAAGACAGCATTGTATCTGTATTTTTGATTTTACAGAAAATTCTATTAAAAATTCAGGGAACACCAAACTATATAAAATATTATACTTAATAATATGAATTAAAAATGAATTAGATTCACAGAGTCAGACAGTGCTAAAAGGCACATAAATCATAAAAGTGTGCCAAAATATGTTAATAAAAGTCAAGTTACTGTGAAAATGCATAGAAAAATGCTCAGATCATTAGATACCTTAGGGAAAAACAGAATGTTTCTCCTTTCAACATACCTGGGTTTCAGACTGAACTAGAGGTTCGCTCCTCTCAACTTGAGCAGAAACAGCAGGTTCTGTGTAAAAGACAGCAAGATCATAGATACTTTGTTTGAATTGCATAAAACAACTGGTGATGTCTATGCAAGACATGGCCACATCATTTAACATACAAAGTCCAAATAAATTCTCCCCCCATTTTGAGTGTCTGTAGCACAATGTGAACACAGACTGACACACGTTGGGGTACCTGTTGCACTGGACTCCTGAAGCAGGGGGACCACCACTGGGTCTGGCTGGCTGGTGTTAGGCGCAGGGACAGGTTCTGCAGGTCTGATTTCTGTGCTCTGTCCATTGTTTCCCTCCTCTTCAGAGTCACTCACCTCCTCTGTGCTGCCCGAGAGGGGCTCTGTGTCACTTCCTGCTGACACCCTGAGCAGGAAGTCCAAACGGCCTCTGTTCAGAAGTGTAGTCTGAGTCGAGTACTGGAACCGCAGGCCTGGTCTACAAATGGATACAAGGTTCTGGATTCACTTAGGAACACGCAGATATCAGCTTGAGCATAGTCATTTTTTCAACTAGACAAGAATGACACAGTCAAATTGAACCCGTATGCAGGGTTTGTACTCAAATATTCAGTTACTGAAGAATTGGTACTTGGAATCAGATGCAGCATTAATTTTTAAAAAGGTTTGGTGCACCACAAATACATAACATATTAACGGTTTCTGGCCCTGGGGCCAAATTACAGAACATCTAAACTCTGAAATCTGTTTAGTCATTATGATAACTTCAGTTAGAACTGAATTTAGGACAGTGGCTATTATATTATCTTATTAACTCCAGAAAAGAAAGTGGTATTACAGAAGCATTCTAACTGGACAACACCAGTGGAGGGTCTTAAGTTCTGCTTTAAGCTTAGCTGTTCTATTGAAAAGAGAAATGTTATTGATTTTAGACAACGGCGACAAGCAGCATAACAAAGTACACTATAACCAGCATAATGGCATTTCATTTATTCATATTGCAAAACAGCAGTTTCTCTTTTCACTTCCCCAGACTCTGTGTTAATACTAGTTAAAACCTGCCAAATAAACCATAACAGTGATGGCGGTGAAAAATTAGGAGACAGATTTCTGTTTATTAGGAGGAATAACACAGTACAGCGCGCACGCCGGCTAAACTCTTGGTAAATGAAACAGAAAATGGGAAGCGGTATTCACATCTTTAGCTTCAAATGCACTTTTTTTTTTTACCATGTAGCTGTCTAGCTAACTGACTTACATTTTTTTAATACTATTTTGATTCTGTGTTTACATTTCAGCTGTGTGCATATTATCAAGTAATACAAGATTTCCTAACTTGGTATAAGATGCTGTAAGATAAGTGGAAGGACAGGAAGTATCTATAATACGGCCCCTGGTCCTGAAGTACCCCTGCCCTGCACATTTTAGTGTTTTAACACCCCTCCAATAACAAGCTCTTCCTGAGTTAACATCAGTGTGAAAACAGACTGCTACCCCAGGACCGCTGTTTGGAGCGCAGCTGATCTAGAATTGTCTTACTAATCGTGTGCTACACATCAGTAGCAGATCTAATACCTAAAACAGAGACACAGTTCACTGCAAAAACAGTCAGTCCTTTATTTTTCCTTCATACCTAGCTCTCCGTCTCCTCCTGACAACCTGAGTCGCTGCGAGTCGTGGCCTGTCAGCAGGGGCAGTGCTTCCCCCTTCAGGCTGCCTCTCACCATCTTCGTCCTCCTCCGCTTCTGTGCTGCTCCCAGAGTCAGGGATGATTATGGGCACCTCCACCCCTACAGAGCCAACAGATACCCCTGCTGCTCCTAACTGCACATCCACCTCCATATCTTCCATCTAGAAGACACAAAACACAAAGAAAGAGGCAGAAAGAGTTAGTGGGTTGAGATGTCATGGCAGATATCATAATTAAAATATTATGATAGCAGCTGGACAATCACATTAAACCGTCAACAATAAAAGAATGTGTATTCGTGACCAACAGTTTACCACATTCATTTTATCTCGCTAGGTATGTTATACATACAAGGAATTTTGATTTTGTTGAGCGCAAGCATGTGTAATGTAACATACTAAAGACACTAAGCCATCTTGCTAGGCTTTAAATGTCACCAGACTTCTTGGGTCTGTTCTAAAACTGCAGGAAGTCCGGCAAGGGATCTGTGGTCCAGGTGCTCAAAAACATTCGTGACTACCCACATAGGCCAGTAATCTTTGTCCTTTTGGGGACTAGATTGATAAATTTCATGCGAGAACAGAGCAAGTCTAAGATTTGTTGGACACACACAGGCTTGGCTTTGAGCTTAGGTTATCTAGCTGACTGAAAATTCAGCTAGATAAATTCAGCTCTGTGAAATATCCTGCAGTTCTGAGCCAGACCTAAAGCACTCCTAGCTTCTGTCCTTTGGAGAGTCTGATGACACTCTGCTGGTTTAAGGTGAAATGAGGGAGTAGTAAAGACAGTAGTAAAGGATGGGGGAAGGTGCTGGCCAGGGGTGTTGACATAGGCTTGTTCTTAAATCATGTTGAAGGGTACAGGAGATTGGGTGAATGGGACCGGAGATTGCCCTTGGCACTTTCAAATCTGCAGGTGATTGGTGAGACTGTGCTGTGTTTTTTTAACCTCACTATTTAGTCTATGATCTCCTGGAGGCCTTTCCACATTGTATTTTGGGTGTGTTTGCAACCAGCTGGCTTTTTAGCTTACTGCTTTGATCGCTTTCCCCAGCCTGTACTTCGCTTAGTTGAAGAGTATTTTGTCCCCACTTTTGATGGCAACAACAAACTTGTTGGTTTTGGGGCTTTGCCTGTTTATTGGAATACAGTGAATAAGAATGTGTAGGATCATGTTAGAAAGACTGGTTATGGTAAAAAAAAAAATAATCCAGGAATAAAGCCAGATGGATTACTGTCCCCGAGGGTCACTGAATGCTCCTTACTCTAAGTGACTGGTGAGAATATGCCATTGACAACATTATCAAACAGCAAAGGAGCAACTCAGTGAATCAACCATCTGAGGCACCATCTATTATGGGTACTGTTGGCCTGGGTTGTCCAGCTCTAGTCCTGGACAGCTGATGTCAGCATGGATGGCTGCTGATTTCCTTCCTCAAAAAGGGCCCTGCAAAGGCTGGACAGCCATGCTGTGGGCATCTACACCAGCCTCACAAGCTTCAAACTGCCATTTAATGCAAAGGGATCAATAAGTAATAGTAGTCTGTTAGCAAAGCAAACATTTCAATTAATTTAAGTTAGTTTAGTTTAATGTTTATACTAAAGTGCTAGCCGTGTTCATGTAACGCTGCCATGTCTTACAGAAACTTTTAAGTAGCTGTGTTTATCTCACTACCAGCTCTTTGTTGCTCAACAAGCGCTGTTGAAGTAAAAAAAGAGGTACACCCTTAAAAAGACCTTCGGTAGTTCTTCGGTAAAGGTAATGGTTCTATTTAGATTCATGAGTTCTATACAGAACCATTTCATTCTTAAATAGTTCTTTGTATGCTGAAATGGTGACTGTGCTGTATCTGGTTATATATAGAACCTTTTTAAAACTGGTTCTATATAGCATCAAAGGGGTTCTGTTACTGCTACAAGCATGACATCGCGAACCTTTTTTTTGCTTCTATATAGAACCATTTCCAAAAAGGTTCTAACAATATATAGAACCATATACAACGCATCCTCCATCAATCTGAAGAACGCTTACACCATGCAAAGAACCATTTAAGCATGAAATGGCTCTATGTAGAACTCCTGTTTCTCGAGAGAACCATTCCTTTACTGAAGAACCTTTGAACCATCTTTTTCTTAGCCAAGCGTGTAGCTAAGGTTGGCTGGCTGAGTAAAATGTTGGGATCAACAATGTCTGTTTACCTAGAACTTACTAACGGCAACCAAACACTTGACTACAGCAGCATAGTCAAGCAGTCCTCCAACGCCCAGTCTATGTATCTGATTTCTGCTGTTAATGTGAGACACTTTATTGCAAACACTGTGAAGACTATGTGTCTGGCTAGCTAGCTAACGTTAGCTAGTCAGCTTAAGTGCTAATGATCATCACAGTCGACTAAAAACATAACCTAGCGAGCTAGCTACGTGTTTTAAACCTTCCTCATAAAGGTTTCTGCACTGGATTACTGGCGTCAAAGATATGACAATCCATAAAAAGCACAGGCTACTAGTTAGCTTGTTAGCTAGCCAGCTAACTCACGAAGCATTCGGCTAACAGTGACCCCAACGTTACAAAAACATTGACGTTACCTTAAGACCGGTATTTTCCCCTTCTGCCACATTAATCAGACATCATCCATGAGCCAACCATCATGGGCATCGAACTGACTCGAGGCTGGTTTGGTGATAAATCGTGAGGATCAGAGTTTGTAAGCAGGTTCGTAGCTCAGTTAGCAGATCTCCAGATCTCCAGCGTCCCCGTCTGAAGTCCGCGCCACACTGTAGGCCCGCCCCCCGCTCTCACCGCCTTACTCACTCAACTACCGCCCAGCGGCGCCGAGCACAGCGGGTCACTAACGACACACGGTGTTACAGACTCAGATCAAACACTTCAGAGAACAGATGACAAGACTTAACTTAAAAGATGGAACATGTGATTTGAGTTTGTCTTGGGTTGCAGTCTTTAATAATAAATTCGCCTTTATTATTATTGTTGTTATCATAAGTAGGAAATGATCATCTGGTTTGCCAAAACAAAACTGTAGCCAAAGGGAATCTTTACCGACAGGCTGATGTTGCGATCAATTGTAAAGTTTGAAACAGGAGCACCACTAACATGCCAGCTCTGCTGTACAGCTGCAGTGAGTCCTTTGGGCTGTGTGGATGAGTTTGTGTCTTTGCGATGCTATAAACACGGTCCTTACGGATAAACTATTTTTGACTGGATGTACCTAAAAGATAGTGTGCGGTTCTAATCATGTTCAACAGATGGCGACAAATCCCGCTACTTCTTCTAAAAAAGAAATAGACATTTCAGAGATTCTGTTCTAATTTTTTTTCGGGAAAGCATAAATTACATTTGATGGACTGCCTGAACTCTAGATATTGTATTACCAGGTCATTCTTATCCAAAATTTTAAACATTATTATTTTTCTTATTGCACAGTCACATATGTTGAATTATTTATAATAGTAAAGGAAACCAAACAGAATTCTTAAGAACATCTATATCTTTATTAAAATAATTTCTCATTTACACTTTTCACATTATATAGAAGCACAATACAGGTCAGCATTTAGAAAGTGACAGTTTAACAATTTTGCAATTATTTTCTTGTTTCCTACTTACTCAGAATTACACAGTCATTAAGAAAAAGTAATCTACAATTGTAGGGTAGCACCAGAACTATAGCACATCTCTTTAATCATCAATGGTTATATCCATGAATAATATTTTTACTTTAGAATAATTAAAACAGCCAGAATCTCCACAATTTATTCCGTGTTTGCTGGGATTTGTGTAGGCCACGAATGTCCCTCAGAGAATGACATGGATGAAGTTATGTAGTAACCCCCCCCACGTACTTTTCTGTCAGCTAGCTCTAACAGACTAGTTCCCATAGATTGTCATGCATTATGCTAACTTGCACCACAAACTCTTTCATGCAATGTAAAAGGGAAAATGGTGGAATTCATCTTACTTGGCCAAAGAAGTAGGAAAAAAGAACTAATTGTCAAAATGTTAAACAACATGTTAATTGTCAGAAAAAAAGACAGACTTAAAAGTGGACAATAACCACATAAATAAATGTAAAGAAAATAACTGTCTGACCCTTTTTAAGACTTATTTTTACACAGGCTGAAAAATGCATGACAGTACTCAACAATGTTCCCTTCAAAGGATGAAAAAAATGACCAAGACAAAACAATTATAAAACACATACATACATACATACAAACAAATAAAACAACGTCCTCAGAAACTGGACGTTCTTCTACACCTTATGACTCCAGCAGTCTCTTCCGGCTGTATGTCCTGCCACACCCCTGGCGTTTCCGTGGCTGGCTAAAAGGTGAAACTTCTAAGGATAATATACCCTTACTACCATACTGCTCCGAGTTTCCATTTGATGCTGTAGAAAGAAGTTCAACAAAACATTCAAGCATTGCAAGACTGTAGAAGTCATCCTGGTAAAACTAGTAAATAATTAGAGACTAAAATCATAATGAAATGCAGCAAATAGAAACTTTTCCAGTTTTAACTGAAATTAAGGTAAGTGAATATAATGTAATGGTAGTTTACAGCAGTCTGGCCAAGTAAAGGCTTGTAGTGGTGTAAAGACCCCGTCCCCCAGGCAAAGTTTAAACTGAGGCTACTTCCTACTACAGTGACATGACAACCATTTTAGAAAAGATTAACTGAAATAGGAACCTTAAAATTAAATATTAAATATTTAGATAGTGACAGTATTACTACATATGCCCTTTGAATCATCTCACCGTCAGATTGTGTGGTTTCCTTGGTAACAGTGGCCTTTGCTCCTTTGTAGAGTAAGGGTGACTGAGTGAGAGCAATTATTCCACTGACGGACACTGGTTTCTTCACTTTAGAGCTTGGAGGTGTAGCCACTGTGGAGAGACAAAGCAACCATGAGATCCATGAAGACAAGAATTATAAGCTCAAAGATGAAGATTAAAGCTGCAGTCAGGTATCATTACAGTTATAACACTAAAACTGAATTCACTGAACCCCTAAGCATTCATATTTGTCACCATATGTTACAAAATGAAACTAGTTTAGAGGGTTCATGGCACTACAATTCTTGATTTGGCCATTAATGCCAGAAAAAGCATACATGGGAAAAACAGAACGTTTGTGGAAGGCTGGGTGGAGGGGTTACATAAAAATATATGAACACCCTTTTTTAACATTTAACTAAAATTAAAATTTACTGCTAAATTAACATTAATCATTACATTTCAAATACGTATTTATTAAGAGGACAATCATGACACTTCATAGCTAAATTCAAATACAACTTATGTATTGGCACTGTAATAAATTGATTTAAATTCTACTTTAAAACAATTGGAAATCAATAGTGAGTGAGGTACTTGCACTTAATAATCCAACAACTGCAGAAAGTCAGGCAGTAATCGGATTTCTGCTTTGCAACAAGCCAATAAACTCACAGAAGATGTGACAAACATAACGTAAACTCAAACTTCATGCTGCGGCTTTAAAAGTGCCACTTTATGAACATACATCATCTAAAAAATAAAGTACATTTCAATCCCTCATTGTGTCAAGCATGTAGTTGGTTTTATCGTCGCTCCAAAAGTGTGTCACTGCCATCTTGCGGCAATGCCGCTTGCTTACTTCCAGTCTGTTTTCGCACATGCACAGACTGAGAAATCTGAAAGAAATCTGAATAAGAGTATACATGCACGAAGAAATCCGGTAACTACAGAAATCTGATTACGATGGGATTATTGAGTGCATGTGAACACACTCATTGATGAATTACAATTCAAGAAATGAAAAAGGGAAGAAAAAAATGCACACATCTCACTACAAGGGCAAATTTTGCAGCGCTGATTCCAAAATGAGTCTCCAAGTCAGTCTTAACATTAACTCAAGCTACATTATAATCTGTTCTGACTATCAGCCCTGATTGAGCAGTTTTCACCACAATCTTGACCATTTGTGGAGGGAAGAAAACAATGGCGGCTATTAGCTTTAAGACGAAAACTGTGAGCTAAAAATCAAAACTGGAAACTTTGTGCTCAAGTGTCCTTAGATTCTGTTCTTACGTAAAAACAAATCCCAAATAAGAAAACACTGGTGAATATTCGTCAAAACTGTGCAAGTGCGTTTTAAAGAGGAATTTCCAAGAACGGTTGCTGAATGACGCCTAATGTTCTTCACAGCCCTACCCATATATTACCTGGCCCAAGTTACTCTTTCCTACGTATCTATGACTAACCTTCACATATTTCAGCATCTTTTTTAAATTGCATTTTTTCACCACTGATTCTGACCACTCCATCTCCACTTGAGAACAAAGCTTTTATCTCATACCTAATTTGTACTTGGAGGCAGGGGTCCTTGACTCCTTGAGATCTTCTGCCCCCTGTAATCTGAACACACCATCAAGCTCCGGGTCCTCTAGTACTTCCACCTCACTCTTGAAGACGTTTTCTTTGGTCCCCAACATATCAGTCCTTGCCCTTTTTATGCGAGGCCAACTATTTAAGTTCTCTGGCGTTGACCAACCTCTGCTCTGAGGAGATGGGGTCCAAGGCATGTTTTCCCCAGCACCCAGGGGGGAAGGGCTATTATTAGAAAGCCTTGTGGGAGTGATGGACTGACATATGTATGTCTGGACACCTCCTTTCCCAGGTGTGTCATGTGTACAAAGGGGTGGGGATATGCAGCCATGTTCTCGATGTTTGGAACAATGTGCAAGCGGGCTGTCAACCTTTGGTGCCTTAGCAGTCATAATATGTGGAGCCAGGCCTTTGGCAGCATAATCAGCTGCTTCACCTGAACTAAAAGAGTCAGTACGTTTGAATTTAAGCTTGGGCAAACCAGACGCCTGCATTTCTAACTCTACTTGATAAGTAAGGGGATTGGGCTCAGCGGGCTTCTTCCCTTGTCCTGGTGTTCCTGATGCTCGAGGAGTGGAAAACCTCAGCAGTCCAGGTGAATATCCAAGACGTGCTGCTGCTTTTCTTTGTTGCCGATCTGGAGTCTGACGAAAGCCATAGCTACATCCTTCAGCAGGAAGAGATGGTGTGCCTGTGAATTCAAAAACTCCTGAGGATTTAGAGGACTTCCGTGAGAAGGAGATGTTCATCTTAATGCCACCAGTTAGTTCTGTCCTCACTACAGAGGCTTCTGCTATATCAATGCTCTCTTCTGTGGTGGTAGCGCTACACTGAGAGGAGTCAATCTGCTGCGAGTCTGAGGATGATTCCTCCTCCATCATGACCTTAGTGGATTCATTATGTCCTGCAACAGCCTTTGTTGTCCAAGGCTCTCTATCTAGTGTTTGCTTATCCCCAGTATGATCTGTTGAACTCTTTGGATGACTGGTGCTAGCAGATGTATTCCCAGTTGAGTGTGATCTAAGAAATGGTTTTAAAGGTTTCTCTTTCATAGGCAAAAACACACCTTTGCTTGAAGAAGGGCTACTGCCTAGTGGGGATTTAGCTTTGTGATAAGGCACGGTAGAAATACTTTTAAGTGGAGTCCTTCCAGACCGAGTACACATTCTGTGTTCTGGTTCAGGGCTTTTTTTGGGAGTTGTCATTTCTGGTGTTGGTGGTGATGAATGATCAATGGAAAGTATATCAAGACTCTGAGGGTCAACTTTCTCTGGTAAGCTTAATGTTCTCCTCGTGTTCTGTGACCTCTGGCCCAATGTGGGTTCTTTAAGGCCAATATTTCCAGTGATTTCAGATACTGTTTGTGTTTCAGGGGATGTTTTGC